TGGATAACCCCTCCAATAATAGTGTCGGAGATGGACAAGGTTCGATTAAGATCTGTCTTTGTGACGTCATCCCCAAACTGCCGATCATCACCCACCTACTCGCGGTTATTAGGTAGGCAAGCACGCATTTAGCAGATAGTGATCTACCGCTTTCTCTCTGAGCCGCCAAAAAGCGTGCGTTGTAGCAGAAGCACACGTGTGGATGAAATTAGACGTGGCGTCACTTCTTCTTTACTGTTTTATCATAAGTTTACTATGATTATGAGAATATTTGTTTTCAAAGCTTGGTTCTTTCAGAAACTTAGCTATTGAATTTGTCCTTTACCATTATATCAGTCACATACCTTAGCAAGATTACAATATTATTTAAAAAAACTTGTGTAATTGGAGATACTAAAAATAATCTCACAGATTCTTGGAAATACTTATTTTTAATATGTATTTAAGAAGGCCAGATGTGAATACACAGAATACTTTTCGAATCTAGAATGATTTTATTCATCACTCCCTTTATAATTATATTTCAACGCTATTGATTTCTGCTACTATCTCAAAAGCTCCTATATTGAAGGTACAGTGTAAATGATACTGACGTGTCAATTACTATTTTATATAAATATGATAGGTATATCTCCAAGGAAGTAAATACTTTCACCATCATAGTAGTTTCATATTAGGGCAGTCATAAAGGTGGTTTTTCTTTTATCACGTATTCATCCATTTAAAGCTGTAGTCATTCTCTCTTCGTTTCTATTTGTTTTTATTCTTGTTTTAAAATTTATAAATTCTCCTTTTCTCCTATGCAGGCCTATGACCTAGAGAAACATTAACTTATTTTGCACATATGACGTACTTCTTTTACTTTGACACTCTCCTCACAATTCATTAATCACTATTTATATTTGCATGGCAAGAAAAAGGTAACAAATTGTAAAAAAGTCAACAGCAACTTTATGATACCATAACGTGAACAATAACTGAAATGTTTTTTGGGTATGTCATTATTATCGTCATGATCTGGCTATATTGACTCTTCTTGTGGGCGTGTAGCTAATTTGTACAAACCCTTGATTGGACTCTTTTAGAATCGCATCAATCAACCTTGATTTATTAATACTCAAGAAGCATAGAAGGAAAGAAAATCAATGCAAATTATTTATGAACATGGCAACAATGAGAGAATAACAAACATGAATGACGTAAAAATATATCGTCATTGCCCTGATCGTCGAAGCTGTTTATTTTACAAATGATAGTTTGTTATAAGTATAACACAATTGGTATGATACTATGATTGGCAATGACACTTGTGATGATTCCCAGTCACTTTCATTTTAGGTAACATAAAAGGAACTATTCAGTACTTTAAAATCGTTTTAAAGGTTTATTTTCTGTATAAACTCAAAACGATAGCGCCCATATTCTAATTTGTTTTCTTCTCCAGATAATGGACTACTGTTCACTGTGTATAATATAAAGAACATTTATAATGCTTTCTATTTTAAGTTTGCTCGAGAAAGACAGGGATAAAGCGGGACAATAAACTTGGTGAAATCAAATATTTTTGTTAAAGAAATGATTGGGATTGTGTTCGTCTTTTTTATATTCATGTAATGATGTAAATATATATACATTTATCTTTTGTCTGATAACGATTTAGATAGATTAGTGATACGATTTAATGATGAGCTTCAAAACATTTCTCAATGGTTGTAAATTAATCTTAAATGTAAGAAAACTAATTATATAATCTTTACAAACAAAAACATTACGATTCAATTCAGGTTTTAATATTTGTTATTTTCTTTTTGGTATACAATTTTTACTCCTTTACTGCTATTTTTTTCGGGGGGATGCGTTTTGCACTCCACTTTTTCGTTTGGTGGGGCGCTCCCCCCCCCCCCCACTCTCAGCGCCTATCCGCACAAGGTTAATGACATTGCCTAAGACTGTTTGTTCGAAAGTAGTTGCGACTGTGTTCTATGCTTATTCATTTATTCATCTTTTTATTAATTCTTTCATTTATTCATTTATTCATTCATTCATTCATTCATTCATTTATACATTTATTTATTTATTCATATATTTAATATATTCATTTATTGTGTGTAATCTACCTTAGTGCTAGAATTAATTTGATACGTTTATGAATAGAAAGTACATAGGCACATTTTAAAATCAATTATGTTTTTTGGCGACATCATCTATGGATCCAACTATCACGGGGGGTAAAAACTTCCTTGGCATTCTCTTTTCTTCATTGATTCATTATTTTTTATCTGTCGCTTGGTTTGCTTTTCCCATAGTTTGTCAACTTTTATCTCAAAGAGGTTGTGCTTTTTAAATTTTCATATCAAAAGTACCACTCCCTTCCCGCTTACACGTCATGGTATATCTTCCGGCTAGTCATGACGTCAACCTTTGTTGATTTGACATTTGGTCCAGCGATAAACCAAGACGGTCTGATGTCTGTAGATGTATAGATTCGTCTCATACATCGACTCCCGGCTTATTGAACATGGCCGACATTTGGCCGGATGTCCGATTATATGAAGAGGCATGTCACCGGTGTGTTCAGTTTGATATGAAGTTGGCAGTGAGGGTCTGTTTGAGGGATATATTATATATATATATATATATTTGTTTGTTTTTGTTTGGGGGGGGGGGGTTCATGGGCGTCAAACCTAGGGGGACGGGGGGACACGTCCCCCCACGAATTTTCAGGTGGTGAAATGTATGTCCCCCCCCCCATGATTTGGGGTTAAAATCTTCTTCTTCTTTTTTCTTTCTTTCTTTCTTTCTCTCTTTCTCTCTGTGTTGAGAAAATCAAGCCAAATCAGGCGATCAGATTTTATTAATAGAAGCGTCTTTAATATTACATTCACATTACCGGAAGTTCAAACATTGATTTACGATGAAAATCCTTTCACCAACTGAAGAAAAAAAGAAGTAGTATCTTGTATCTTCCAAACCTTATGGCTGATTGTTCAATGGAAAAGACAAATTCATCTATCTACCCCCCCCCCCCCCCATGGCGTTCTTGTTCGTGTTAGTTACTTAGGACTGTTTTTCTTTTTAATTTGGAAAAAATTATGCACCAAATCAAGCCATCTATCCATCAATTTCAAACAAAATCTTCAACTTCTGAGGGGGGCACACCCCTGCGTTCTACTGTTTTCTTTTTAATTTGGCAAAAAATATGCACCAAATCAAGCCATCTATCTATCAATTTCAAAAAATCTTCAACTTCTGAGGGGGGCACACCCTTGCGTTCTACTGTTTTCTTTTTAATTTAGCAAAAAGTATGCCCAAAATCAAGCCATCTAACCATCAATTTAAAAAAAAAATTCAACTTCTGAGGGCGGCACACCCCCCCCCCCCCTCAGACACCCCCTGCATTCTACCGTCTTCTTTTTAATTTGGCAAAAAGTATGCACCAAAACAAGTCATTTAAACATCAATTTAAAAAAAAAATCTTCAACTTCTAAGGGGAGCACATCGCCCCTAACAAAATAACCTGGCGCCGCCCTGTCTGAACTTGTGTGTCCCCCCCCCCCACGGTCTAATTTGGATTGACGCCCATGGGGGAGGGGGTTCAGCGTTGTTGTTTTTTGCGCGTGTAGGTGACTTTAAAACAAATAGAGACGTGGACAATGGGGGACCGACCATGAACATCACCTGTCCATCCAAAAGTCAGTTTGTAGGCGAAACCAGAGTTAACCGAGTGGATGTACCGCTAGTCCAACTAACATTTTCCTTTCAGAGGGTCGTGATTTAGGTGATCTCAAAATGAAACACGTCCATTTGAATTCGTTATCATTACGTAATTGCAATACAGAAGTAAAACTCTTCATAGTTTCAAACCTTTATCAATCGATTATTGGTTGACATATGTATCATGTATCAGACTTCGATAGGTTAAGAACTGCTCTGATATTATATATATTGATATAGATTGAATTTAACGATGATACCCCCCCCCCCCCCCCTTGTACCAGGAAAACATGATGAAAAATATAGAGTCTGTGAGAGATGAAGAAGATGTAACAAACAACATGAAAATGGAAAAGGGTAACGGAAAAAAGAAGAAAAAAAAATCGATGAGAGGTTTCTTGTCCTCTATTCAGAGAGGCGATTTTTTTTTTAAACTTCTCAAATGGTTTTGTATTGAAACAAAGACCGGGAAAGAGAAAATGACGAGATGTAACCAAGATAAGGGGAAAATGAAGTGACAGGTAACAAAAATGTCAGGAAGAGATTAAGGAATAAAACACAGAAGATACGTGAAAAAGTAAGAATACGATAGTCAGCTTTTAAACACAATAAATTGTTAGCTACCAAGAAGTTATATTTAAAAAAAAATGATATTGAAGTAGATGACACCGAGAATAGATAGGGAAAAGAGTAGTTGTTAGTTTAGAAGAATTGTTTGCCTGAACAATACATCTACTGCCATATAGGAAAGTATATCCATATCTTTGAATTCGGATGTTTATTGCCAGAAAGTTTAGTTTGAAATCTACATGGTATTTTATCTTGTGCTTCCATCTTTCAAAGCGACGCGTCGCGACGGTTTTCAAAGATTACACGTATTTCAAGTGGTTGGTATGTAGGCTACATTTCATTACAAAAAAAAATTAGATAAAATCACCCAAATAAAAAAATGCAAGTACAATTCTGTCATATTGAAATCAAGCTTTTGCTTTCGAGGGCCGTGGTAGTATGGCAGATTTATTTTGCCACATTCATCACACCAAATATCCATCTACTGAAAAACTATTTGATTTATTATTTGAAGCATTTCCATTATTTTTCATCTTAGGTGAATACCATAATTTGGTTTTGAAATACATGTACTACAGAATTTTTAAGACGTTTCATTATACAGTTGGATACTATATTATATTATATACTAGATTTAAATTGGTTATTAAAACAAAAATTGCCTCAAGAACATGAAAACACATGACAAAAAGAAATAATAACAGATTAAGGATGCATTCATTCTAATCATTTCAACAATTTATTCCTCAAGAGGCTGTCCAAATTATCAACTTCTCTGATAGTGAATTACATAACACAATGATACATGTAAACAAATGTCAAGATAAATTCATGTTATTCATAAATAAGACTTTACTTTTACTAATGCAACTTAAACTACATCATCATTATGCAAAATCACAAATACAAAATGAATACTCACTTTAATCATACACATACCAGTGTTAATTTCAATTATAAAATGACAATTTTGTTTTTCCATCTCCTGTTATATGAACATTGCTCTGTTTTATGTGTAACATTACCTCTCCACTAACAAGATGACATTTTACATGCATTTTTAATTGTTGCCAAAATGGTAATAGGTCTACACAAACAATTAAAAACATTACAAAATCATAAACACATATCTTATACTTTGTTTTAATTTTTCCCTCTATGGGAATCTAGTACTTTTTTTCTAAACAAAAATAGTAATTTAAAATCTCCACACCAATATTAGTTGCTACTGCTTGATCCAAAGTAAAAATAAATATACTAATGTTACATTCCATCCATGTAAAATGTATAAGGTAGTAACATTGATTTGATTTACAATCTGAAGTTAATTATGATTTTGTTATTAACGATATGAGCCTGACTAAGGGTGGGTTCAGAAAATATTTGTCAACATCATAAAGATTTGTGAATGCACCTTAAATACATGATCTTTGGCACTTCTAACTTTTTACGACATCGGTTGATCTTAACATGCTCCCTTGAAGCTTGATAGCTTATTATTTCTAGAATTTGGAATTTGACAAAGTTATCAAATGTTAATCAGTGCTACTACCTTTATGAGCTAACAACATCAAAGACACTCAAAGAGACATCCCTTAAAATATTGCTTAAAATCATTTTCATCTCTTCAAATCATTCATAACATTAAACATGAAATATAAGCGAATGAAACCTGCACCATGTGACGTTTAAATCATATAATTAAATATATTTAAGAGATAATAAAATTATAATATTAGGATAGATACACCGTTTCAAATGAATTAATCAAAAGAGAACTATGAGGGTTAATTAAACTCATTAATATAGTAGTTGCTGTCATTTGGAAATCAAACAATTTCCACTTGGGGATTTTTTTATGACTATAAATCAATTCAAAGCTGTTAAATATTACAACTAAACAGCTTAGCAAAAGGCTCATTTTGAGGTATATACTTGTATAGGCTAATTGACAATTTGTTACTTTTCACTTATTATTCACAATATTTTACTGCATGACTTAAACCAAATGTGAATAAATATACATATTTTGTACATACTCACTTCCTTTGTTATTTCATAATCACATTAATCATGCAATACAACACAAAATCAGTGTTGAAATTGTACAAGTTTATACAATGGCACACTGAGCTGCACATGTTTTTAACACAAATGTAACACAATTATTTTTTTAATGCAGTTGCTTGAGCAGAAAATAAACAATGTGACCAAACTAACCACAAGAAAGGAAGTTGAAATAGTTGTTCATTACCCTGAACAAATGTGAAGCTTAATAATTAACAACCATTACAAAAAAGCTATGCACTGAATTCTACCAATTACGGACAGTTGCCCACATTGAGTGAGAAATAATGCTTTTTACTCTCTACATACTTGTTCTCTCCTCCCCCCCCCAAAAAAAAAAATAAAAAATAAATAAATGATGAAGGAAAATGAATGTCTGCAAAAAGAGGGAGATATCTTGAGATCCCACTCCATATAATACCAGAGGGAATTATTCTTTCTCCCATCTATGTAAGAAATGCTCAAATGTTTGCATTACGAGAATTTAGATGTAGCTTTCCACCTAGTAAATGCCCTATGCCCTTACAGTGTCAATCTGGTGGGGGAGTGGAAATGGTGTGCACATCATGTGTGTGAATGAATTTAAAGCGCTTAGAGAGGTTAGTTTGTATTAGTTGTTGTATAAATCCAGATTTAATTATCCGCTAATGCACACTTGTATAAAAGGTTTTCTATGCAATGAAAAAACATTTTTGATAAAGTACATATTACTAGCATAAACAGAAATGTCCTAGGCTAGAAAATCGGGCTCGAAATTTGATATACACTTCTAAATTACAAATTGTTTTTAAAAAGTTTTTTCTCCTTCTCTCTTCTTAATATTGGATTCTTTAAAAAAAATGAAACTTGTTTCATTAAAAAAACATCATCAAATTCTTACCAATTAATCTTTTGTATTAATCAGTCTTATGCAAACATGAAACAACATCTGGATACTGGAGATGGTAGGGAGTATACCAAGGGAATTATGAATCATGAATACTTCATTCAAACGGGATGTTCATTACATTATACAAGATATACATAACCGTACAACAAATTATGTATACAAAAATTATGGCCACATGTGTTGAGTGACTATGTTCATAATGCTTGCACAGAAAGACATCATAATTGTGACCTTCTTGATTGGTTGAATGGTTTTATTCGTCCAGCATCCTACGCACCATGTAGTTGAGAATGCCTCCATGCTGGTAGAAGGTAAGCTCAACATCAGTGTCGAAGCGGACGCAGACATCAAATGACTTTCCATCATCCAACTGTGGAGGAAATACAAGAAAATTGAATTTTAGTGCTGTCATTTTGGAGAACATCCATATGCATATTAGTCATGGTAAAATATGTGAATATGCAGCAAGACATTCACATTAATCCAAATGATTAAAAAATGAACAAAGCATGACAATGAAAAAAAAGAAACAGAAACCAGGAGCATTATGGCAAGAATCTTCAATTATTGGAATGCAAGAATAAAATGTATGCAGAATTTCTTGTTAACTTTTCTTTTACTTTATTAGATATTTGACTGCATCATTAATGTTGTGTAACATTTAAACATAATGTCAATCACTAAACTTCCACCAATATCTGGCAGTCAACAATTCAAGGAAGCACAGTTTTTAAAAATTCATGAAGCTTATCAAATTTTTTTTTTACTATAGAATCACTAACAAGCTCATACTTTTATTGCCCACTGAATTTATATCAATTAAACATTTTAACTTTCTTTTTTGTTGAGGTCAAAGTAAAATGTATGTAAGAATAACATGCATAGTGTTCATAAATGAAGATAGAAGAGCAATTAGTCTATAGCTGGCTAGAGAAAGATTTAAATGGAGAATGTTATCAAGAAGACCTAACTTCCATAGAGGGGTACTGGGATAGATAATGATTTATTTCTGTCAAAACAAAATGTTTCAAACTGTACCTATAATTTAATTTATCCCTCTCTTTGTTTGCATGGTTATCCTCAACCGCATGGATTTTTTTTATTTAAACGAGCAATGAATAGATTTCTAGGTGCATCTATACAAATGAAGTAATGTAAGACAGGCCTACCTGCACAGTGATCTGCTGTCTTGGTGTCAAGTTATCAGGCAGACTGATGGTGTACTTCTCTTTACCAGTCAGACCTAGAGTCCCTGCATTCTGACCGTCCAAAAACTGAAGAGGTACGATCCCCATACCAACCAGGTTGCTTCGATGTATCCTCTCATAGGTCTCCGCTATCACAGCTTGGATACCCTAGAGTCGAAAATATTATTACAAATATTGTTATTCTGTATTACTATTGAATCTCCAAAAAAATTGTTTACATGCCAATATTTTACATGTTGAGATCTAAGCAGAACAACATTTTCTATATTGCTTTGAGGGGAGTTTTGATTTCTTAATTGACATATTTTAGTATATTTTGAATATGTTTTATGGAGATTCTATTCCTACTCAAACCATATTGTACAATTGAAGTAATCAACTTCATGTATGGAGACTTAATGCAGTATTAAGAGAGAGAGAGAGAGAGAAGGGAAGAGAGGAAGAATGCCAAACAGAGGTGTCTTTTATCTAATAAATCATGTATATGGAATTGTCTAACTACTGTCTATCAATCGTTTCAAAAGAAGTTAAGGGTGCCTGTTTGATACTCACTTGCATCCATGGTCCCTTAGCAGCCCAGTCCCTGGATGATCCCGCGCCATAGTCCCTGCCAGCCACTACCACTAGAGGGCAGCCTTCCTTTCGATACAGATCAGCTGCATCAAAGATATCCATTGTCTTGCCCGATGGAATGTGAACAGTCTTGGGTCCTGCCTTGCCAATGAATTTGTTGAGCAGACGGATATTTGCAAAGGTCCCTCTGGCCATGACAGCATCGTTGCCACGGCGACTGCCATACGAGTTGAAATCGCGAGGGGTGAGTCCAAGGCCTGCTAGATAGCGTGCTGCAGGGCTGTTCCGTGCAATGCTACCTGCTGGTGATATGTGGTCAGTGGTTACCGAGTCACCAAGGAAGAGGAGGACTTGAGCATCTTTGATGGTCTTGACTGGTGGAAGGTCTTTGGTCTAGATGATAAACATGTAGAAACACACTGTGAATGGATGGAACAAACTTCCTTGACTATGCACCAATATGTTAATGTATACTTTGTCACTGCCTATTGTAATTCAACATATATATGGGAACATTTGAACAACACCAATAGGCTTACAGGCTAATCTCTGGAGAAAATATAAGATTCTTCTCCAAAATACAAACTTGAGGGCCTTATTTCTCTGTCACTAGCACTCCAGCTAAACAGTTCATTTCCTATGGAGCATTTTCCTTCATCTTCTTTTTCTACCTCAATTCTACCTCAAAATCTTCATTTTCATTACCTCATTTTATAAGCATCAATGTACTTACCATAGTTTCAAAGAATGGAGGAGATTTGATATAGGTTGATTCAGAGTCCCATGGGTACAACATATCATCAGAGGTCTTCAATTCATTCCAACTGGCATTCCCTTGCTGTCAATAGGAGAGAGTACATAAAAGACATATCAATATCTAATATTAGGATAAATAAATAATGTAGAATGGTCATTTCCTACAGACACTAACAAGAAAGAGCCACATGCTCTTTGATTTAGTATGATTAGGTCATTAATTCATTGCATTGCCCAATGCAGAGATGCCAACTTTTGGAAATCAGAAATAGGGAGGATTTGTAATCGACACCAATTAATGTGCGCGTAGCGCACATCTCGAGCGCGTAGCGCCCGACACATGCGGCCGGGGTCCAGGGCCCGCCTTAGGGCCCTGGAAGCTCTGGGGTTCTAGATGCTCTCTGGTGCAATCTGAGCCTTATTTTGGAGCATTTTACATGTGTATTTAGTTAAATAATTCCCCCTTTTTTTTTAAATAACATAAAAATTGTACAAAATGCATGATGAATTACTATCAGACTTCCGATTACACAGGTACTTGATACTGTATTCGGTCTTATACTTCCGAGACCATTTCCTGGTCTTATTTTGCTGATTTTCCGCCATTTGGATTCTGTGGCAATATCCACGCATTGGTTACGGCGATCCATATGCTGAAACAATCTTTCGCTACTCTTAATTTGTCTTTTAACATAGTGGAATTATTACATGCTTAAGTTAGCAGATGATAGGGTTGGCATCTCTGCCAATGTTTTGATAAGCATTACCACATAGAGTTATTCCACTCATATATCTTCCTGTCTGCAATAAGGCCATATGACCTATGCATTGTCAATAGCAGTACCATAACTGCCTTCTTGTGGTCAGCTGATGAATTATTAATCATAAACATAAACATATCACAATGCAAATGCTGACTGGCAAAGATTGGATTGTGTAGCAAAGTGCATTAAATTGTAATTCTGTGAATACCATCAAATATCATTAAGTATCATTACACTTGAATGCCATGAATACAACTTATGATCAATCTCATGAGGGATGTAGTTACCTCAATCTTGCCGTAGACATCTTCAAACATGGATGGAATGACATTCTTCTTCTCTACCTCCTGAAGCTCAGCCCTGCTTGGCCAGATGTCTCTCAGGAAGATGTCCTGCCCATCTGCATTTTGGCCTGCGATACCACATAAATAACTTCTATTTAGAAATGTTCTAATTATTCTTATCATGACTGCATCAAGAACATGTAACATTAACCTTAAAATCATGATGACGTAAAGCTAATTGCTGGTGAAGAATTAAACTTCAACATACAATAATAATACTAATGGTAAATTTGTTAAGCATGTAATAATTTCAATTAAATTCTCTCTGCGCTTTATGTTATAGAATTGGAGAACATAAACATAATACAGAAAATTACCTCCGTTCCAAACTCAACAAGTGTACAATTGTAAGAAAGACTGTTGATTACCTAGTGGCTCTGTCTCAAAGTCAATACACACAGTTCCAGCCAGGGCATATGCGATGACCAGTGGTGGGGAAGCTAGGTAGTTAGCCCTGGTCAAGGGGTGGATACGCCCCTCAAAGTTACGATTCCCAGACAACACACCGCATGTTACCAGATCTCCCTGTCATATATCAAAACAAGATTTGATTAATAATTCATGCATCACAGTCATACATATACATGTACCAACAAAATTCTTTCTCTCTTTGCAAAACTATTTACTGGGTGGAAATTTCATCTGTTGTAGATCAAATTCCAATTTATATAAAACTTTCTTGTATTAGCCAACTTATGTGAATTAGATTGTGAGGGTTCTTTGCCATTTGACAAGAGGCTTTCTTTGCCTACAGGGCAATAAAATTACTTCACACATAATGTAGTGGTTTAGAACATTCTGCTGAATTAAATTATTAAGAAAAGGATAACTTGAACATGATAGAAAAGGAGAAGATGAAATCATCTCTAACTTGGGAAAGCAAAAACAGAAGAAAAGAGAAAAATATGAAAAAGGGTGGAAGATATTTTAATGTAAAACTTTTGTAGAACCTCTTACCTTTTCAATGGTTGAGCCAACTTCTTCAGGAAGTGGTCCAGAATTTCCAATACATGTCATACAACCAAAACCAACAACGAAAAACCTAGGAAATTAAAAGAAGGAATAATCAAAATGATGTATAAATCAAAGTGCTGTTAAATTGACAGTGAACTATGTGAAATAAAAAAGACATGAAGAAAGTGAAAATAATCTTAGAAATCTGAAGTTGTGCTATTAAGTAAATCATTACATGCAGATTTATTTTGTAGTGAAATATCTCACAATGTATTTTTTGTTTTCGGAGGGGGTGGGTATCTTGCTGCTTCATATAAGATATTAAATTTTTCATTTGGAAGGTTATGAAAAAGAAAGACAAAGAAATATTATGCATTTATAGTTGATTTTGAGTGTTAAAAAAATTACACCTGAAAAGAGAGAAATTGAAAGAAAATCAAACTAAAGAAACAGATCTATAAAGCTGGATTGAGAATCCTACCCAAGTTTCTCCAGGTATGGAGTGACACCACTCTCCCTAAGGTAGTATGTCACGACCCCACTTCCTGGGCTTAGACTGGTCTTGATGTACGGCTTCACTGTTAAACCAGCTTCTACAGCTTTCTTAGCAAGAAGACCTAGATTAAGATCAAGTTATTAATATTCATTGCAATCATTCAAGTTTACTGCAGAAAATAGAACCATTCAAAAGTCTGATAATGTGAATACAATGGTACAATCCAAAGAAAAATAGATTATATGTGACTCAAATTTGCAACAGAAATATCAAACTGAATGAAAATAAAAAGTTATTTTACTATATTCTTAATAAATCATTCATGGTGGATGCCATAGTCTTTTTTGTAAAAGGCTAGATTTATCATTGAAATCAGAAATAAACTTTGACATTTGCATTGAAGTTACACACTAGTCCGGCAATCACCCTATAACCTACTCATTGTTTGCTCAATCATTTAATCCTTTCAGTTACATACTTTAAACTGCCCAAATATCACAGAGAGACAAAAAATTGTATATCTTCTTGAAATACACAACATGATCGAGAAATGTGAAGCAAGATATCATGGAATGTTTGTATGATATAAGAATAATTTAAAACATGCACAATGATTGAAAACTTGTCCCCAAAATTGTATTTGTGATACACGTGGCACTATAAGGATTAAGCAAAATATAATAAAACAAATATCAAATCAAAAAGACAAACAAGCCAATGGTTTACCTGCTCCCAGCATGACTGATGGATTGCTTGTATTAGTACAGCTTGTGATAGCTGCAATCACCACTGAACCATGGTTGAGTGTATACTCCTGGTTCTCAAAGAGAAAGGGTATGGAGGTTGCTTGCTTGTCAGCAGGAATATCAAAGCCTTTGAAGCCAACCTTGTTATTCAGACACTGTTTGAAGTCCATCTTCATGTCGCTCACCAACACCTTGTCATGAGGACGCTTCGGCCCACTCAAGCATGACCTCACCGTTCCAAGGTCAAGTTCTACTACCTGTAAGAATTTTAAATAAATGTTTTACCATAAATATGATTTCAGTGACATGACATGACACAGAGCTTTCAACTATACTAGCCTTTATATCAAGACAGTATCACTGTTAACCCTTACTGTACTGGGCTATTTTGAGCACCCACTGACTGGGGGGGGGCCTGGGAGGCCCCCCCCTATGATCTCGGCCGTCGATTGTCCGATGAACACGAAAATTTGCATGTTTGTAGATATTTACGTAAGGAACAAGATGGTATAATTAGTTTTTTCCGAATATGCAAATTTTTGTCGTTAGCCTAATTAATTATGCAAAATGCGCTAATTTTATGCATTTTACCGAAAACGTGTCAAACTCCACTTTTTGAATGTTGAAACTCATTATCCATATGAAACTTCTTTTCTCACACAAAAAAGTTATTTTAATGTAATTAATAATGATAATTTATGCAAATTTTGATGCGATTTTCATTTTTCATTTTTTTTTTTGATGACATGCGCATACTAATTGTTATGTAACGCCTTACAGGTATATCCGATTTCGACGAAAATGGTATCAAAATGTGCGTAAGACTTGAGGGAAAAAAGTCATGAAACGACAATTCAAAATTCCAAGCGGTTGCGGCGCAATCTCCGAAAATGTCGAGGGGGGGCCTCCCAGGCCCCCCCCCCAGTACAGTAAGGGTTAAAGGCAATAAACAAACAGTAAAGTAAGAATAATGTGGGTCAAATTCAAGAAGCACAAATGGAAATATCACACTCATAACAACATTGTAGAATGAGGATATCGAATTGAAGGTGGGGATTTGTGACAGTTGCTGCCTTTTATAAAATGTATGACTAGGTAATGCCAATATTTTAGTCAGCACATGTGTTTTCTTGAAATGTTTATTGGCTAAAATCTGTGTTGATAGGATAAATATGAGGAGTATTCACAGATATCTGTGACCTCTACATAATGTAATAGCTACATGAATCAATTGGTAGATTGGGTATCGAACCTGTGAGAAGACAGGGTCTTCATTGGCATCATTGAAGTTCCTAAACATCTTGACTGCTCTCAGATACGCCTCAATGCACTTGATCTTCTGGTCATCACGACCTGTGGAATGAAATGAGGGAGTAGCTACATGTTCAAGGTGTACCGTAATCATTTCATCTACCGGTAGTTAATTTAAGGTGATGAGTATGCCATTATAAATGGAGCACCTGAGCATGAACCATTAACAGGCATCAGGGCTATACATGAAGCCACTATAGTGAGGTCTTTATATACAAAACACAATTATAATACATTATCATTATAGCAAGGTAATTTTGCTGGTCACGGCACTTGTTTTCTAGTGCCCCCCCCCCTTCCCCTGAGTTAACAGGATTTCAATATAACAAGGTAATTTCCCAAGAAGCGCATTAAAGCAAGATTCCACTGTATTATTATTAGTACTTGTATCATCATCACAATGCCTACACATGTTTATCAAAATCCTCAAAAAGTAAAGCAAAAATAATGACAAAACAAATCAATGTACCACTGTACGGAATAAATTAGAATTTTGTTGTATCATCACTTTGATATTAAATAACCAACACACTAATCAGTGATAGAGCAAGAATCACTGATGAATGTCTTATTAGACTCACTTGTTTGTTTTAGATAAACAATGCTTGCATCATCTACAGGAAAGAATCCTACAGTGGCTCCATACTCTGGGCACATGTTGGCAATGGTAGCCCTGTCTGCAATGGAAAGCTGGGCTACGCCTGGACCAAAGAACTCTACAAACTTTCCTACCACTCCCACCTGCCTTAGGTGCTGAGAGGATAAAGATGAGATAACAATTATATTAGAAATACAAAAGCTATCAGATTCAACATAGACATTTCACTTAGACATGGATCACAGTTGAACTAGTTTATCTCTCTTTCCCTCTATATTGAGGAAAATTACCCTTAAAACTTATTCAAAATCTCTGTGGAGAAATAGAGTGTGAAAGATATTTTATATGACATTACCTCAGCAGAGAAGACTTTTCAAAACCAAGAAATCAATTTTCAGCTCACTGTGAACCACCTAAATAACAATGCCTTTGATAGTAAGACTACAAGGAACATCTAATTTATCAATTCAATCATAACATAGAATTGTGCTGTCAATTACTTCTATGATCTCAGACAAAACATGGGTTATAACATACATCTTCTTCAAGATCTACAACCTTTTAGTCGCCAGCCACTGGTCTAATGTCTTATCAAAGAAGAGTTCCCTTGAACAGTGGATTCATTTTCACACTCCTCTTTAATACCTTTGTGATGGTTAGAACCACATCTGTGGAGGTGGCTAGAGCGTCCATTGATCCGGTCAGCTTGTAACCGACTACTTTAGGTAGCACCATACTGATAGCTTGACCTAACATGACTGCCTCGGCCTCGATACCTCCCACACCTGATCAAAGTTCAATGAAAGAGAGAGGGTAAGTACATGGACACGGATGAAATGGAAATGATGAAGATCAGGGTCACATGGTGAACTCATTCATAATATGTAATATAGCTTATGAGACATCCATCTCAGTCCTTAAAATCAAACCCAATCTACCGGTAATTCACTTAACTGATTACACCTCATTAATCTATACATTTCTATGACATTTCAAGATGGAATGAAAGAAACAATTTCAAAACATATATGTTTAAGCGTCATGATTTGGTGCCTAATCATTAAAACTTTAATCATTTGTAGGATTTTCATAAAATACAACAACCACAAAAGCAACCTCTGTTCCTGAAGTAGATTTCCACAACGTCCACTATTTCATAAGAAATTCCATGAAGGCAAATTAAACAATAAGGTGGTACACAGTAGCTTCAATGTACTGCTCCTCAAAATAGAATGACAAAATGTTGAAACTTTAAACAAAGAGACCATATTCTGAATGTCAATTACATCCAACAAAATAGGGGGAGGGGGGGGGGGGCATTATTACACATTCTACAAGCACTTACCCCATCCTACGATACCAAGTCCATTGATCATGGTGGTATGTGAGTCTGTACCAACAAGACTGTCAGGATACAAGACACCATCTGTGTTGAAGACAACTCTGGCTAAGTATTCAAGGTTGATCTGATGAACAATGCCTGATCCTGGAGGCACTATCAACATGTTCTTCAAGGCTTTAGATCCCCACTATAAGCATACAAAAAAGAGAACATGATAGAATTGCACTTGTCTCTTAAATGAGAGCAAATTAAAATCGACCCCCTCTCTCCCCCCCTCCCCCCCCTCTCTCTCTCTTCTCCCTCCCTCCCTCCCTCCCTCCCTCCCTCCCTCCCTCCCTCCCTCCCTCCCTCCCTCCCTCCCTCCTCCCTCCCTCCCTCCCTCCCTCCCTCCCTCCCTCCCTCCCTCCCTCCCTCCCTCCCTCCCTCCCTCCCTCCCTCCCTCCCTCCCTCATAAAATATTATACATTATGATTTATGGTAAAATATGACAAAAATAATGGCTTTATACTCTCATTTATCGTGTTATGAATTCTTGGGCGAAGATTATTCTCTCTAATTGAATGCACTGTAGTAAAATGTAATGAAAGAAACTATCAAGCTGATTATATTGGATAGGAATATTACCTTCAGGAAGACAAATCTTTCTCTGTTGCGCTTGAATTCAATATCCTGGTTCTTCTTTAATGCATCAACACTGAAAGCATAAGAGAGACAATGAAGAGACATGAGAGACTAATGTACTGTAAGTGTACACACAAAGATATGGACACACAACAAACTTTCTTTTTTTGTCTTGGTCAGCCACTCCATCTAAACAATGCAAACACATATACATGTAAGTATGCAATGAATTGAAAGATGAGATGTAAGCAATGACACATGTTTCTTCATTTCCTCCTTTCTCTGCCTCGATGAGTGTTAAAAAGAAAGATGCATGGATCATACAATACATACTTATGTAGTGTAACTCAGCCAGTATGACTGATTATGCCAAAGTGTTAATAATAGAACTTTAGAGCAGAAAGTGTGTGTGCATTGATTCACATTACCATCATCATATCTGAATATTTGAAAGACATGTTTGAGTTTAAACCCTCTCCATACTCCCTCCGTAATGCACATAACCTCTCTTTACCTAAGCCAAGAACTAATTATTGAAAAAGAACTTTTGTGTACAGAGATTTTTTTCAATATAATAAATTATCCCCTGATTTGCGTCAACTACCCACTTTTGCCACCTTTAAGACTAACCTAAACAGACTATATCACCTTGTTGTTGTACCTCTTTATGTATGTTTATATGATGTTTGTTTTGTTTGTTTGTTTTTGTTGTTGTTGTTTTTGTTGTTGTTTTTTGTTGTTTTTGTTTTTTTATTTCTTTTCTTCTTTTCCTTTAAGTATTTGTATTATGTTTTTGACTGATACTTTGTAATTATTTACTTTGTTAATTTAATATTATGTATATTTTGCATATTGTAAACTGGCCCCATGGAAGACCAGCAGCAACAATTATAGTTGCAGCTGAATATGGGCTACCAGCCGTATACGGTCCCTTTTTCTCTGTATAATTACTTTATATGTATTTGTATCTGATTTTATTATACGGAAATAAAAAAACAAAACAATATCTGATTCAAATTAATAGATCCTGGGTTGTAATATGATTGCAGGGCCCTCAGGGAGAATAGTTTTAATACTGATGAGGCTACCCTGTGTAAAACATGAAATTTTATTATCAATATTATTATTATTTTATTTTTATTAGGATAAAAGTAGCAATTTGGACTAAAACAATATCCTACTTTAAAAAAAATATTTTGTCTGCATTGGTTTTCTTCCACTATATCTCTCTCTGTCTGCAATGAATAAACTGTGGACATTATGAAGTAATGAAATTTAAACATCTGCCAAACTGAAATCAATAAATTAAAGTCAATACAGAACACCTGCTTTTCAAAAGAGTAAAAAGGTGTTAAAATGGTATGCTACGATAAATACAATTTATTTTATTTCTTAGAATCAAAACACATTTTCAATACTTCAGCTTGGGCTTTTTTTTGTTTAGTTTAAGAAAAAGCAGGAAACATCAAGTGTGAAAGGAAATTTGAAAGGGCACAGGGAAATGGTGTCTGTAATTCAATGTTCCAAATATGATGTATTAAAGGACATACAAAGATTTTGTTCAAAAGCAAATAACTCAATAAATGCAAGGTCAATCAGGGAAGGCGGCAGAACCAGCATGCACTAAACAGAATCAAATAGACTTGGGGGTAATGTTGCAAAATAATGAGACGAAAAATGAGATGAAGGGCAGACTTTCATGAATAAGAAGGAGTGCAGGACAAAGAGGGAAAGAAACTTGTAAATAGAGAAAAAAAGATGCTGCTAGGTTTTTTCTGTTTTACATTTGGATGCTAGAAGGGAGACAAAGGGTAGCAAATATGATCTTTAAAAACAGAATTAAAACAGAAAGGAATGGACTGTCATTTGAAGAAGGAAATTGGTGTTTAGTTCATTGGTTGCTTCAGCAAAAAATCTTCTTGATTAATTATTTACATGATTCATGAGTATGTGCGTACGTATTGCATGCACATCATTTCAAACATCAAGGAAACGGATGTGGAAATCATACTGCTCCATCAAAATTATTCACTGTAATTGAAATTACTAGGAATAATAACATAGGAATATCTTAGGTCAAAGAAAGTATTTGAAAAACCAAAAGAAGATATGAGTTAAAAAAAACATTTCAACAAAACATAATTGTAAATGAAAGGAAAATTCAATAAGCTTATTTTAACCTTAAAAATGCATGTTTGTGTACTACTACACTGTGTAACATGTTACCCAGTACCATCACATTGCGCTTTTGAATTGCATGAATAATGTCAAGGTGTTTTTCCATATTGTCTGGAAACCAAACCCATGTTTCATTCAACCAAATATGTCTATTTTATTATAATAATGTCAAAATAAGTGGCAAGTTTTAAGAGTTACATGTACATGTATAGCAGTATTCAAGCCCTTTAAGGGGTATTTGAATGTAAAAAGTGCAACAAAAAACTCTAGAATTAATACAAACAAAATGCCTCCTGTATATATATATTGTAACATCTTAAGTCATAAAATATGAGTTTTTACCCCTTCCTTTTGCTCATTCATGGATAGTGTGGTTGATAACAATGAAGACAGTACACACTTTCAATTGTAGCTATAAAAGAGGTATAAAATAAAGTTTATTTGCATGTGACTCACTACATTTGATCAGTTCCGATTATTTCAATAAAGAAACTTTTGGTTTGTTTGTCATGATAAACAAATTTACCCATTTTCATTCATTAATTTATCTATCTTATTTATCAAGCTGTATATTTTGTTATTAATTTATTAGTTCATTTATTCATTTACATATTCATTTACTTATAATACGTATTTATTAATTTATCTAATTAAAAAAAAATAGTATTGATGAATAGTGTTAGCCACAAAACATGAAGAGTGCAAGCAATATAACACAGAAAAATCACAAAGCAATACAAAGAAAAAAGAGGGTAATGTGGTTGGGTGTAAAATCAGCGCAAATGACCAAAAACAATTTCTTTTTTTAAACCACATAATTTTAACCAAAACTATTGACATGTATAGAGAATAGTAAGTTTAGGATCATTTCATTCTATGAAGGAAAGAAGGGGCGGGGTTTGTTTTGAAAGCATGAAAACTGCTATTTCTGATATGAGTTTACTGTTTTATAGAGCTCTGCAGATGAACGAATTTAAACATGTGTATGTATCCATGCATGTGTACATACACATGTTTATATATAATCCTCACTGTCAAACATAACTGGATACAGAGATAAGTGACTCAAATAATAAAACAAAAGCTAACTTACACCTGTATAAATTGACATTATTTTCTACTCAAACCAATAACTATAGTCAAATGTTTCAGATGATTAATGGTTTTACTGGCATTCTCTTTTCATGATTCTATGCACAAAGATTGAATTACTAGAGTTTTCTGTGTACAAACCAAATATTTGACACAAGTACATCTTGATATGTGTATAATGAAGTATGTTTGGCTTTGAAATGATGCAGGCATGTAGCATCAGCTGTACAATATACTTGTTCATTTAGGAAAGGTGCACATGTATGATGGGTGCTCTCAGTCTCACTACTTGAGCTAGTTACATGACGGATTAAGAACTTCATGCTGGTATCAAATGCATGTAATAGGAACTAATGATGCAACAAAGCAACAATACAACAAAAAACACTGCATGTAAAACAAGAGCTTGTACTAGTATTTCATTAAAAAATCCCTTTTATTTATTTCGATCTTCAAAACTGACTAATTGAATATATTAGAAATTAACTATCTCAGGAAATTCAACAGAGTATATAAGGTTTTATGAAGTACATGTATGTACATGTACAAGCAGTTTATCAAACGTAATGAAATTTTGAAACTTATAATTAGTCATTTAAAAAGACTAATACAATTTGTTTATGACACTGAAAGCAATTATCAATGTGTTAAAACTGCAAATCTCTTGTAAATTGAACAATTAGTGTTTCATGGGCTTGGTTTCTGAATGACTCAGAACAAAATATTGCATTGCATTACCAATCTGAGGGCAAGTGATGGTACGGGCAGATTTCATCTAGAATAGGTAACCGGTAGCCCTGTCCTATGCATGCTACGCAGCTATCGGCGACCCCGCCGCAGGAGGACCGAGCTGCTGCGTCGCCCCCTCCAGGATTTGGCGCATTGCGCGTTATCCTTGGACGGAAGCTGGAAGAGACAGGTTAGATGAGATACTAAGACACTCAAGCACACAAAAGGTTTAGAAGATTTGTTTTCAAATTCGTTCATCAAATATTTCATGTCCAAATATACAAGTACATGTGTTGGATTTATACATCATTTACTAGTTCTTATCATTCAAATATATGATGAAATCAGAGCTTCTATGAGTTGAATGAGGTGTTTGGGGAGGAAATGAGAATCATGGTGGGTTTCTTTTAGAGAGAGAGAGAGAGAGAGACAGAAGGATGGATGAACATGAATTGTCCTCAAACATCATATGTAGATATGTAATATAAATTTTCAAAGAATGCAACATAAGATGAATAGCTCATTGCATTAAAAAAAAATAGTATACAAGTAGATTATTTTTTATAATGAAGGGAAATAGCATTTTTACATACAGTTTTTCTGCTTATCTTGTCCAAGTCTTCTTCTTTACTTCAAATTACATTTTAGATAATACATATATGCTGGTGTGAGTGTTTGTGAGTGTCATGTGTGTTTGTATGAAACACAATCTCTACCTCTCTTACCTTGAACGATCCTAAATACATGTAGAGCAAATTCAATAGCAAGCTTTCCTGGAATGATGTAAATTCAAGCAAAACAGTATGATATCAACAATGTTTGCATTTATCTTCATAACCATAAATGATCAATTTTTTTTCTTCATTGAGGAGGCAAGAAGAGAGTGAGACATTCTGCTTACCTTCTGGTGACATCTACTTGAACAGAGTGGTCAATGACAAGGTCTGCAGGACAGACAGGATTGATCTTCTCTGGATTGCCTCCTAGTCTCTTTACAGCATCCCTCATGGCTGCAAAGTCTACCACTGCTGGTACACCCCTGGTGAGTGGACAATTGAAGAAGAGAGAGAGAGAGAGAGAGAAAGAAATAGAACAAAGACAGACAGAGGGAAAAGCTTTACAGGAAGAAAGAGGAGTGAAGTGAAAGTGAGAAAGAGAGGCGGAGAGGCCAGGAAATGACAAAGGGGGGGGGGGGAGAGAGAGAGAGAGGGATATTCAGGGAGGAAAAAAAAAGAGATAAACAAAGTTAGAGAGAGATAGAGAGAGAGAGAGAGAGAGTGTGTCACTTGGTGTTGCAAATAGGAAATAAAGACAAACATAACTATCTGAACAACTTGTAATATTTGAAAATAAAAATATTTAAAATATGAAATGCAAAAAAAAATTACTATCATGCATCATAATCCATTCAAGAGATAACCATATCCTTCTCATACAACCCTAAAAACTCTGCTCTAGTACTGATATTTTTTAGGGGACCTGATGTACGTTTCCGTAACAAAATCTTTATTTTGGAGCTTGGAATGAAACTATTGCTGATGGATCATCTGGTTGGATCAGCTACACAATTTCATGAAAACTTACGTGAAATCTTGCATGATAACCCTGGCAGGTTTAAAGGGGACCTCCACTGAGTTGTTCTGGTTTTGTTCCCAGTTGAGAATGTTCTCCACGTCTGACTCCTTGACAAAGAATCCATCACAGTTCCTGATGGCTGACTCAAGGAGCACTCGTATGGAATATGGCAAGCGATCTACGTAGTAAACAGAGTATCACTTTACAAAATCAGACAACTCAGACATGATTTATCTCTGCATGTAGGAGCTGTAATTTAAATTTACATCAAAAGTTAATTCTTCTTATTCTTCCATTCTTCCACATATACCTCTTTACAGAGTAGTATTGTACTATACTGGGGTGTGTGCAGGTGGACCACTACACCGAAGTTTCCCCCTTCTCTTATACGAATAATGCATTGGGTTCTCAACGTGCAAAGGTAGTGACTCTTCTCTACACGGGGCCTTCATTTAACGTCCTATCCTATCCTAACTCATTGCTTGTAGAAATAAGAATTTAGTTGCATAAGCTGTCAATCCTACACAGTACGCTTTACTTTAGAAGAGATTTTGATTTAATTCTAAATGCAATTTCTCTTCTTTCTTTTTTTTCTTTTTTGGGGGCGGGGGTAATAATAATTCATATAATTCTACAACACCTCACAAAGCATGGTACTGAGGCCTACTTGGCAAGTACTGAAGAGGAGTTCAATGGTCTACAACATACCCTGAGTGTGAAACAAATTTATTCAAGTCATCTAATAAAATCAATACTACTTCATTCACGTGGTGATAATCTTATGAATATTGACTTACCATATCTTTGATCATTGAGAGCTGTAGGATTAAAGTACTGGTATTTTTCTTCTCCAACTTGAAGTTCTTGCTTCAAGCCAGCAAATGCATCAGTTCCTGCATGAAAAGTTAAGACATATACATGTATGGTAATTTTCATTTCCATTTCTTTTATTTCTAGATTTGAATACACCTACTGTACGAGTGTATGTGCTACAAAAATACCTAGGAAAACTGAAAAATAAGAAAACTAAAAAGATGGTGCTCTGACAAGTTGCCAACATGCCAAATGTTCATGTATTACAATATGTTCAATCTAACAAAACAAATATTTTAAAAACACAACAATTTATATATAAGAAAAAAGTACTACTGGTAGTTGATTTTCATTTGGCTCAAACCGCTCAACACTCTACATGTATTAAGTGCACTTTCATTAATCTAACAAAAGTGCAGCTGGATTCATACAGTGTAAACATTAACAATTTCTACATGTATATATAATTTTATACAAGCATTAGTTACATGTATGATAGATAACTTGAAAGAATATTATTGATGTTCCCATGTGACCCCATGTGTTATGACCCCTATACTGGTATCAATTGTCTCTGAGAACAATGATATGCCACAGCAGCACATAACACACATCACGTACACTTATATCGTAGCTGTGTGTATGCACAGATTATGTCCAAGATTATCATTAAAGTCCAAATTCTATTTCTGAACCAATTGTTTAAAAGGGTTATTGACATCTCTAAGTTTTTCATTACAGAGCATCTAGTAAGCAAAGATTAATCTAAAGAAGGACAGAAAAGTATCAAGGTCACAGGACCATGTGACATTACCGGTAGTCGGTACACTAACTTCAGCTTACAGATTTACCCATCATAGAATTAGAAATCAAATTTATAAGCAAAGCAAAAGTTTTTGAAAAATACCAGATATACATGTACATGTTCTTAAAGTTGACATCACAAATTACATGAGGAATCTTTTCTTTTAATTGGTCTTGGTCACAATATTTATGTCATACACAGAACTCTCACAATTTGTATGCATGAAATAATCTTCTGAGACTTTTTGTCCTTATACATGATAAAGCAGACATCTTTTGTTGTTTTATGGGTAACACATTTTTACATTTTCCCAACAAATCATAGTTCCATCCTGAAGATCAATACAGTTTTGTGTGTAGTTTCAGTACAAATAGTCAAATAGATCAATACATCTCAAGAATAAGCCACCACATTGAACATAGCGATTTCGTACATCATCAGGGACTTTGACTTTAAAAAAATATATAACCTCCATATTTTCTTTATTCTTTATTATTATTATTCTGATCTATTTCTTAAAAGTATCAAAATTTGTCTTCTTCCGTCTACACTGCATGGCACCCTCGTTTGAAGACTTCTCCATTACAACCCTTACCGGGTATGTAGAAAATGCAGATCTACCTGTACACACATCATACTACTTCTACTATCTCTAGTATAATTGTATAATATTAAAGCACAAAGCACTATTAACTGGGGAAATAAAGAAGAAACTTTCTCTAATCTGAGATAAACATATTGCACCAAAATCAGTATTTTTCAAGTACCGGTATATACAGTCGATGTAAGTTTATATGAGGTATCATTTCAAGATGTAAATGAATATCACATCCACAGGAAAATTCATCTATTTTCAAATGGTTGTTCCATCATCATCAACATTCAACATCAAATTCGTTTATTTTCACAGTTGTTTTTATCATCTTTATTATTATCATAATCATTTATTATTATTATCATTATCAATATTATTATTAATCTATCAATATCTTAGCTTGATCTATGCTGATTTTATCTCATAAGTATACTGAGGGCACGCTACAACTTGTAGTACTTTTCGTAGGAGTCTTGCGGTACCAAGCAGAGCTGCTTTCTGCAGGAGTTCTATCATTGTGATTGCTTGTAATCATGTTACCACTTTATCATTTATTATCATTATTATTTTCATTATTTTCATTATTCTTAGAAGTTATTCTTATTCTTCTCATTATCCTTAAGGCCAAATAACAACAAAAATGTGTTTCTCGTCCTGACTTTTTACAAAAAGGAGGAGGCAGGGCATTGCTATTTTTTTCTCTCAATATGGCTGCCATGCTAATTATAGGCTGGCCAAGCCTGTTTATTCTGAAATATTGTGCTATGTGAGTATACCGATGCAATTTATTATGACAAATCAAATGATTTGTATCACTTTCGAAGCTATTTAAACAAAATGTAGATCATAGGCTTTTGTGGGGCTTTTGGGCTTTTATTCCTTAATAGTAAATAGTGTTGAAAAAAGGAGGCGGGCGGGGACGAGAAACACACATCATTTTTGTTATTTGGCCTAATATCATCATTATTTATTATTACGGGTTTATTATTTTTTAATTTTATTAATAGACCTATTATGATTAACATTATTATCATCATTATTTTCATTATTAAAATTATTTTTATTATCATTGTCATTATGATTATCATCATCATTAGAAGTAGTACTAGTAGTAGTAGTAGTAGTAGTAGTAGTAGTATTACAATGAAAATGATGATTCCAGTCTAGGTCTAACACTTACCCTTTGTCTTTGACATTCATGAAAAAGGGACCGGAGAGGGAATTAAAATGTTGAGCAATCATACCTAGACTAGAGTACAGTCTGGTATTAATACTGACAAAGAATTAATCATAGGTCTACATATATTCCATAAAACTTTGAGGAAATATTAGAAGCCAAGAGCAATATTGCCAGGCATTCATGATCTTCATGCTCTAAATTTGAAAGTTAGTCTGTAAACACACAATGATTTATCTATACATAGACTAGGGTCTATATTCCCGGCTATAAATCATGATAGGGATCTCGATCTCAAAACTCAATCTAGTCTCTAAAGTCTAAACAGTAGGGGCACTGGTTCGAGAATGACAATCAACCCCATGAAGGATATCCTTGTAAACGCGGACAAAATGCGTCCTAAAAAATAAGGATCGTTCTGCCATTTTTGCGGACATTTTTATTTTTTTGGCGCTCAGCGGTTTTTCGGGTTCCCGATCTACACGCTGGCAATGCGAAAAATGGATTCAGCGTAATAAATACCCCTAGTTCACCATCTACATTGTACTTTCATGGGTTGTCCTTCTTCCCGAGGATTTAGATCTATCACCCGTGAAAGTCTCTGTACAAAGTCAATGTAAAATGCATCAATAAAATCATCATGGAATCCATTTTTCGCATAGCGAGTGGATCGGAAATCAGAATTGTCAGCGAAAATGCGGACGATCCTTATTTTTTAGGATGCAATTTGTCTGTCCTCGTTTACGTGGATGATCCTCATTCTCGGACCAGCGCCCCCACTGATTGAAAAACATTGATAATGCTCTTTCCCAAAATCTGACACACGAAATATCATATAAAACAAATACACGATCACCAATTTCTTTTCACATGAGTCAAGACACAAATTGAATGGAATTGGCTGAAATGGGCAATCAAATGTTCAATGCCAATCAACTGATCAATTGTTGCCATTAAATTGTCTTTTTCTATCTCGATACGGAACAAAATCTCTGGAGTCTGGATGGAAAATGTAATCTAGAGAATTGTTTTCATACTTTTGAAAAGCCGAACTACAAAGACAGCTGATTTATTAGACAATCGAACAATTCCCAACACCTGCAGATTCCGCCGAGCTGAGCTGAGCTGCGGCTAGGGTGGAGTTGGACCGGTCACTTTTTGTATGAACGCTACCCCAGACTTACGGCGCACTTCACGGAGAGCAGCCGAGGAAGATCGACCGCAGTTTAGAATGGAAAAATTATCATATTTCTCACACTCTATTATCACTTTCATTTCAAAATTGAATTGAAAAAATACACGTCAACACGTAATTTGGGTAACTCTTTACGAAAAATCCCTAAAAGTACACGTTTTCTTACCTTTCACGTCGGCCATAACTGCCAGAGATTATCTCACGTACACGAATTACGTTGCCAATTTGAAGTCTGGAAAAGATTTACAGGCGATTATTTACGTTTGCGTACGTAAATCGTATAAAAGCGTTTCTAAATATCGCGCGTGCGTTGCATCGTAGCTAGCTAGCGCTAGATGACCCACCGATATCCATAAACGCAGGCGCGGATCCAGGATTTTCCAATAGGGAGGGCCGGAAAATTACGCAGACCGTTTTTCAACTCAACATACCAATACTGACAAGGTCATATTAGAAGCACCATACCGGTATTTTTTTTGGACATTTTCATCGGGGGGGGGGGGGGGGGGGGGGGCTGAAGCCTCTTGCCCGAAAAAGTAATTCTCTGGTTTCACAATTCGGCTAGTGACCGAAGCGAGCGAGCAAAAATTTGAGGATAATATGTATTTTGTGACAGTGTTATTTATCACCAAAATATACGAGAAAAGATATAACAAATTCATATTCGGGCAATTATTTTGGCAAATTATTAGAGAAAGAAGAGGATTCGTTGTACCATTCTCGACTCCTAATCCTTGTCTGAATTTAGTTCCTCTCCCCCCCCCCCCCCCCCCATCCCTGCTCCCCCCATCCCGCGCGAAGCGCGGAAGTTTTGACCTTTCATTAAATGATATTAGAGAAAGAAGACGATTTGTTGTACCCTTCTCGACTCTTATTCCTTGTCTGAATTCAGTTTCCCCCCTCCCGCGCGAAGCGCTGAAGCATTGACCTTTCATAGTTTAATGAAATTATTAGAGAAAGAATATAATTCGTTGTACCGTTCTCGATTCTTGATCATTGTCTGAATTCATTTTCCATACTTCCTCCCGCGCGAAGCGCGGAAGCTTTGACGTTTCACTATATCATTAGAGAAAGAGTACCGTTCTCGACTTTTAATCCTTGTCTGAATTGAGTCCCCCCCCCCCCCCCCCCACCCCTCCCGCGCGAAGCGCGGAAACTTTGAGGTTTCATTAAATTATTAGAGAAAAAAGACGATTCGTTGTACCGTTCTCGATTCTTAATCATTGTCTAAATTCAGTTTCCATACCCCCTCCCGCGCTAAGCGCGGAAGCTTTGACGTTTCATTAAATCATTAGAGAAAGAGTACCATTCTCGACTCTTAATCCTTGTCTGAATTGAGTTCCCCCCCCCCCCTTTCTCGCGCGAAGCGCAGAAGCTTTGACGTTTTATTGAATTATTAGAGAAAGAAGATGATTTGTTGTACCATTCTCGGTTTTTCATCATTGTCTGAATTCAGTTTCCCTCCTCCCGCGCGAAGCGCTGAAGCATTGACCTTTCATAGTTTAATGAAATTATTAGAGAAAGAATATAATTCGTTGTACCGTTCTCGATTCTTGATCATTGTCTGAATTCATTTTCCATACTTCCTCCCGCGCGAAGCGCGGAAGCTTTGACGTTTCACTATATCATTAGAGAAAGAGTACCGTTCTCGACTTTTAATCCTTGTCTGAATTGAGTCCCCCCCCCCCCCCCCCACCCCTCCCGCGCGAAGCGCGGAAACTTTGAGGTTTCATTAAATTATTAGAGAAAAAAGACGATTCGTTGTACCGTTCTCGATTCTTAATCATTGTCTAAATTCAGTTTCCATACCCCCTCCCGCGCTAAGCGCGGAAGCTTTGACGTTTCATTAAATCATTAGAGAAAGAGTACCATTCTCGACTCTTAATCCTTGTCTGAATTGAGTTCCCCCCCCCCCCCCTTTCTCGCGCGAAGCGCAGAAGCTTTGACGTTTTATTGAATTATTAGAGAAAGAAGATGATTTGTTGTACCATTCTCGGTTTTTCATCATTGTCTGAATTCAGTTTCCCTCCTCCCGCGCGAAGCGCTGAAGCATTGACCTTTCATAGTTTAATGAAATTATTAGAGAAAGAATATAATTCGTTGTACCGTTCTCGATTCTTGATCATTGTCTGAATTCATTTTCCATACTTCCTCCCGCGCGAAGCGCGGAAGCTTTGACGTTTCACTATATCATTAGAGAAAGAGTACCGTTCTCGACTTTTAATCCTTGTCTGAATTGAGTCCCCCCCCCCCCCCCACCCCTCCCGCGCGAAGCGCGGAAACTTTGAGGTTTCATTAAATTATTAGAGAAAAAAGACGATTCGTTGTACCGTTCTCGATTCTTAATCATTGTCTAAATTCAGTTTCCATACCCCCTCCCGCGCTAAGCGCGGAAGCTTTGACGTTTCATTAAATCATTAGAGAAAGAGTACCATTCTCGACTCTTAATCCTTGTCTGAATTGAGTTCCCCCCCCCTTTCTCGCGCGAAGCGCAGAAGCTTTGACGTTTTATTGAATTATTAGAGAAAGAAGATGATTTGTTGTACCATTCTCGGTTTTTCATCATTGTCTGAATTCAGTTTCCCTCCTCCCGCGCGAAGCGCTGAAGCATTGACCTTTCATAGTTTAATGAAATTATTAGAGAAAGAATATAATTCGTTGTACCGTTCTCGATTCTTGATCATTGTCTGAATTCATTTTCCATACTTCCTCCCGCGCGAAGCGCGGAAGCTTTGACGTTTCACTATATCATTAGAGAAAGAGTACCGTTCTCGACTTTTAATCCTTGTCTGAATTGAGTCCCCCCCCCCCCCCCCCACCCCTCCCGCGCGAAGCGCGGAAACTTTGAGGTTTCATTAAATTATTAGAGAAAAAAGACGATTCGTTGTACCGTTCTCGATTCTTAATCATTGTCTAAATTCAGTTTCCATACCCCCTCCCGCGCTAAGCGCGGAAGCTTTGACGTTTCATTAAATCATTAGAGAAAGAGTACCATTCTCGACTCTTAATCCTTGTCTGAATTGAGTTCCCCCCCCCCCCTTTCTCGCGCGAAGCGCAGAAGCTTTGACGTTTTATTGAATTATTAGAGAAAGAAGATGATTTGTTGTACCATTCTCGGTTTTTCATCATTGTCTGAATTCAGTTTCCCTCCTCCCGCGCGAAGCGCTGAAGCATTGACCTTTCATAGTTTAATGAAATTATTAGAGAAAGAATATAATTCGTTGTACCGTTCTCGATTCTTGATCATTGTCTGAATTCATTTTCCATACTTCCTCCCGCGCGAAGCGCGGAAGCTTTGACGTTTCACTATATCATTAGAGAAAGAGTACCGTTCTCGACTTTTAATCCTTGTCTGAATTGAGTCCCCCCCCCCCCCCCCCCCCCCACCCCTCCCGCGCGAAGCGCGGAAACTTTGAGGTTTCATTAAATTATTAGAGAAAAAAGACGATTCGTTGTACCGTTCTCGATTCTTAATCATTGTCTAAATTCAGTTTCCATACCCCCTCCCGCGCGAAGCGCGGAAGCTTTGACGTTTCATTAAATCATTAGAGAAAGAGTACCGTTCTCGACTCTTAATCCTTGTCTGAATTGAGTTCCCCCCCCCCCTTTCTCGCGCGAAGCGCAGAAGCTTTGACGTTTTATTGAATTATTAGAGAAAGAAGATGATTTGTTGTACCATTCTCGGTTTTTCATCATTGTCTGAATTCAGTTTCCCTCCTCCCGCGCGAAGCGCTGAAGCATTGACCTTTCATAGTTTAATGAAATTATTAGAGAAAGAATATAATTCGTTGTACCGTTCTCGATTCTTGATCATTGTCTGAATTCATTTTCCATACCCCCTCCCGCGCGAAGCGTGGAAGCTTTGACGTTTCATTAAATCATTAGAGAAAGAGTACCGTTCTCGACTTTTAATCCTTGTCTGAATTGAGTCTCCCCCCCACCTCTCCCGCGCGAAGCGCGGAAGCTTTGAGGTTTCATTAAATTATTAGAGAAAAAAGACGATTCGTTGTACCGTTCTCGATTCTTAAAGGTAAAGACCAGTTATGGTCATGCGATTGCATTGTGAAAGAAACGTTGTGGAATCGATCATAAAAGGTTGATCATCTAGCATCTAGCATCTTCAAGGTTCTGGAATCATCAAAATGATAAGAAATTTGGCCGATTCTTCGTAAAGTTACAAGCACTATACACAGAAAGATGTATATGGGACTACCCTATATCTCTCACAGACCATGAGAGAAACAAATTTACCAAATATATGAATTAGTAGGCGGTTTCCCGGCAAATTTGTTATCATCATGTATTAGTCAAAACATATTCTTTCACATGATTGGTAATGAGAGCTTCCATTTCATTTTTTGAAATTGGGGCGTTTCCAATACTGGTCTTTACCTTTAATCATTGTCTGAATTCAGTTTCCATATCCCCTCCCGCGCGAAGCGCGGAAGCTTTGAGGTTTCATTAAATTATTAGAGAAAAAAGACGATTCGTTGTACCGTTCTCGATTCTTAATCATTGTCTAAATTCAGTTTCCATACCCCCTCCCGCGCGAAGCGCGGAAGCTTTGACGTTTCATTAAATCATTAGAGAAAGAGTACCGTTCTCGACTCTTAATCCTTGTCTGAATTGAGTTCCCCCTCCCCCCCCTTTCTCGCGCGAAGCGCAGAAGCTTTGACGTTTCACTGAATTATTAGAGAAAGAAGATGATTTGTTGTACCATTCTCGGTTCTTCATCATTGTCTGAATTCAGTTTCCCCCCTCCCGCGCGAAGCGCTGAAGCATTGACCTTTCATAGTTTAATGAAATTATTAGAGAAAGAAGATAATTCGTTGTACCGTTCTCGATTCTTAATCATTGTCTGAATTCATTTTCCATACCCCCTCCCGCGCGAAGCGTGGAAGCTTTGACGTTTCATTAAATCATTAGAGAAAGAGTACCGTTCTCGACTCTTAATCCTTGTCTGAATTGAGTTTCCCCCCACCTCTCCCGCGCGAAGCGCGGAAGCTTTGACGTTTCATTAAATTATTAGAGAAAGAAGACGATTCGTTGTACCGTTCTCGATTCTTAATCATTGTCTGAATTCAGTTTCCATACCCCCCTCCCGCGCGAAGCGCGGAAGCTTTGACGTTTCATTAAATTATTAGAGAAAAAAGACGATTCGTTGTACCGTTCTCGATTCTTAATCATTGTCTGAATTGAGTTCCCCCCCTCTCTCGCACGAAGCGCAGAAGCTTTGACGTTTCATTAAATTATTAGAGAAAAAGACGATTCGTTGTACCGTTCTCGATTCTTAATCATTGTCTGAATTGAGTTCCCCCCCTCTCTCGCACGAAGCGCAGAAGCTTTGACGTTTCATTAAATTATTAGAGAAAAAGACGATTCGTTGTACCGTTCTCGATTCTTAATCATTGTCTGAATTGAGTTTCCCCCCCCCCCCCCTCTCTCGCGCGAAGCGCAGAAGCTCTGACGTTTCATTGAATTATTAGAGAAAGAAGACGATTCGTTGTATCGTTCTCGGTTGTTAATCATTATCTGAATTCAGTTTCCATACCCCCTGCCGCGCGAAGCGCGGAAGCTTTGACGTTTCATTAAATCATTAAAGAAAAAGTACCGTTCTCGACTCTTAATCTTTGTCTGAATTGAGTCTCCCCCCCCCCTCTCCCGCGTGAAGCGCAAAAGCTTAACGTTTCATTAAAATATTAGAGAAAGAAGACGATTCGTTGTACCGTTCTCGGTTCTTAATCATTGTCTGAATTCAGTTTCCATACCCCCTCCCGCGCGAAGCGCGGAAGCTTTGACGTTTCATTGAATTATTAGAGAAAGAAGATGATTCGTTGTTCCATTCTCGACTCTAAATCCTTGTCTGAATTCAGTTTTCCTCCTCCAGCGCGTAGCGCGTAAGCTTCTGACGCTTTTATTAAATTATGAGAGAAACAAGATGATTCGTTGTCCCATTCTCGATTCTTAATCCTTGTTTGAATTCATTTTCCCCCTTCCGCGCGAGGCGCGGAAGCTTTGACCTTTCATAGTTTAATGAAATAATTAGAGAAAGAAGATAGTTCGTTGTTCCATTCCCGACTCTTAATCCTTCTCTGAATTTAGTTTCCCCCTCCAGCGCGAAGCGCAGAAGCTTAACGTTTCATTAAATTATTAGAGAAAGAAGATGATTTGTTGTACCGTTTTAGACTTGTCAAAAATGTTTCTTTGTCTGCTCCTTTTTTCGTCCTATGTCCTCTTACTGCCCCTACCGCCCCTAGCTACGCATGCTTTAAAGGGAAAATGAAACAATCATGATTGTGATAGCATACAATTAGGTCAGTAGAAATGAAAGGGGAAAAAAAGATCTATTTATACACTAACCATGAAATAATCGCGACCGGGAGCGTCATATCTTAGTTTTGTGTTATCGGCCGAGGGCCGGGGCGTAGCGACCAAGCGAGATTTTGCAATGTAGAATGCTGAAATTATGCATTCTAGAAAATCCTTTAGTCCAATATGTACGTTCTTTCCGCTACATGTATATTTCTTTCTAGCTATATATCTAAATTTCCGGGGGGACGTGTCCCTCTATCGGGCCCAGGATCGCCACCGCTGTCCATTATCACTACCAACATGAGTTCAAATATAAGCACAAGCGAGTTGGTATGAGCTGAATCCAAATGAAGGGCAAAATGAGAGTTGTGAAGCGGCCCCTTTACCGTTAATTTAAAATTTGACTGTTTAGTATATAGCTTCTATTTGAAAGGCATCCAAAATATTGTGCCCTTTTCAATTTTTTTCAAAAAGCAGGGGCTGTTTGTAACGTTTAACTTTAAATCCGTGGCTCGAGATTTTATGCGGCCGGCCCGGCCCCCTCTATTCAATTAAACGTTTCCCAAGCCTTCTGGAATGACCCCAAATCTCCCGATTACAGTTTCTCCCTTATTCGTCGTTATGTCACTTAGCGCCATTTCCTTGTCTTTCCCCTTTCTCACCCGACTTTTCTCTTCCCCTTCCCACCCCCACTCACTCAGTGTTATCTAGGGTACGCGCATGTATGTTCCCTCTCTTAGTTTGAAAGCACCCCTTTATCTTCGGTGTGTAAAGTCAGTGCGGGCCGGATTTGTGTGTATTACGGGCCGGACTTTGTTGCGTGAAAAGTAACCCTTTATCGGAAATTTTGGGAACACAAAATCGGAGTGGGAGTGAGGTGGGGGGGGGGGGGGGGGTGTATCTTCTTCTTTTTTTTCTTTCTCTCTCTCTCTCTCTTCTTTCTTTTCTCTTCTCTTTTCTTTTCTCTTCTCCTTTCTTTTCTCTTCTCCTTTTTTTCTTCTCCTCTCCTTTTTTTTTTCTCTTTTTTTTTGCGCCGCCAATAGGGGGGGCCGCGGCCGTTTCGGCCCCCCCTGGATCCGCCACTGATAAACGTACACACTAATGTTCCCGGAGTGAAGGAAAAATGGGAGGGGACAGAGGAGAATTAGAACAAACAAATATTGGGGCCGTATTCTGAAAAATATAATATCTGTTACCTTTTATGTTATTCAAAAGTATTTTTGACAAACACAAATTAAAATTGCATGGAATGAAAACTTATCATTTATGCTACATGAGCAGACGCCCCTTTAATTTAAATCTATAGACCTAGGCATACACTGCAAGAAAGTTTTGGGAAATTTTGAACATTTGAAAATATTTGGGGGGGGGGGTAAGAGCACATTTGTTTGTTGTCTTGGAAATTGGAAAATTATGCCGATCGATATTTCGTTGGAGGGGGGTGGGGGTAAGGGTTCCTCCAAAACACACACATATAAAAAGAAATTGCGTTCGCGCCTGTTTCCAAACGAGAATAGCCCGGCAACAGTTTTAGTCAAGAAACATTGTTTAATCATAGCTAAATTGATATCTTGACCTTGGGAGGGAGCTATATAATGAAAAGAATTTATTTACGATCACTGAATATTGTAAGATCGCATATGTTTCCTTTATCATTTGAACCAAATTCATGACCCCGTACCAAAACTTTGTAATACCTTTAACAAATGACTTGTCCCAAAATCTACTTATGAGTAACAAATAGTTTTCAGAATACCATCCTGGGTATTATAGAGATGATCGAACTATAATAAGTACTGCCCAATTTGCCAAATATTTAAATTCATATTTCATATGTAAATTGTAACAAGGTCTAAGGATTGATACTAGGATATGTACTAAGAGTATGAGAAAGTATACAGAAAAAATAAGAAGGCTTGAATACTGTGGAGTCCAATATTTCTAATTTTCTATACTATATAAGTACGCAACCTCTTTGTTGTATACATGTACTCCCACTTTTTATTCACAAACTGAAATTTAAAAAAAAAATACCCTCCTCCTCAGTGATTGCAAAAGTAATTCTTAATCATATTTAAAGTGACTCGGTAACATTGTTGAAGGTTGATGGAAAAACTGCGTAATTTTTGTATATGTTACTTATTATATACTAACCCTCTAGCATGCAAAAAATTCGGAGCAAATTTTCAAACCACAAAGATATTTATGTTTTTTTTTTGAAGGCATCACTGGTCATGACCCTCTAACAGTAAATTCTCCCAATCATTTTTGAGTTTTCCCAACCGTTTTCCATGAAATTAAGACAAAAGACAGGTGTTTAAGAATCTTTCAACACTTAAATGTCTGGAATGGTATATATAGCCAGTTCATTGCTTTGTAATTAAATTGTTATAATATTGTTGGGAGAATTAAGGAATCGATCAGATCAGCTTTTCCAATATTTATCATTAATAATGGTATGTTTTCACTTGAACTTTCAGATTATCTTTAATTGTACATCTAGCATTGAAGCCACTACCTTAGAACCATTTTTTCTCATCTGAACAATGTAACCAAAAAAGGGGAGGATCCATTCTACCTGTTTCCCTTTTTTTACTAAAAACTCTACTGTTGTATACTGTAGTACTGTTGATACATACATTATGCAACATAAATCACACCATTTATTTAATGATTGAATAATTTAATTATTTCATTTTCAATGGATGAAATGACACACAAATGAAAATACTCACAAATTGAAATACTCTTTAAAATCTTTACAAGCACAAGTGTATTTTTCAGCAAGGGGTTTTACTGATCAGCTGACGTAAATGAATACTTCAAACTTTAACAGACCTAGGTATATCTTCACAAATTCCATTCGATATATCCCGTTGTATGCTAGTTCTAATCTCTAAATTGCATGCTTTTTGGTGAGTTTGGTTCCATTCACATATATACATATCTTGTTTTTTTCTAATATCATATACTTTTATTCTTTCTGTCTGTATTTTCTTAATTCTTTTGGTGATGGAACATCCTTTCACAACTAGACATTTCTAATAGTCAAAAGAAACATTTATTGCAACTTCTGTTACACCCGTTATTCAAGAATGCTACATACATGTAATACAAAATGCAATAAAAGCATCTCCAAAAAAACTTTGCAAAATGTATAATAAGATTTCATGAGCACTGACAATTATTCATATGGACTGAACATGGCTTTACAAAAGAGTAATTTTACTTCAAAATACATCATTGTCTTATCTCTATCATTAATACACACATTGTTTCAGCAAAAATGAAAGGCAAGCACTCTTCTGTGTCTGAGAAGTTCAAAACCTCTGATGAGGATGTCAAGGAACAAAAGATGTTTCCTGTGATTTCCACACTACTCTTTGCACATACCGGTACACATTTGTCCAATAAGCCTATACATACATTTATTAAACTTTGCTTTTATTTTTCATTTCAATAAACATACTATGTTCTTCTTCTTCTTCAAGATAATCTGCCTCCTTCAATACTGAAGATTCTTGCAGATGCTGTATACTCGGTCTGATTGGGGTGTGCGGGTGGACCATTACACCAGGGTTTCCCCCTACTCTAACTATGACTGTATGCTAAAGTGTACTTAATTGTCATATCCAGTTACCATTTCACTATAGCCCACTTCTAATTTCAAGCAGCATTAGACACCATGACTATATTTCATTCCTTTTCACAAACAAATACAACAAAATCAAATTCAAACTTAATAATCTACAAGGCACAGTGGGTCATACATAATACGAAAAGGGGTGGAAAACTACATTATACAGAGCTGCCAACTTTCACCAAACAGTTTAATGATCTAATAGATCAGTATTTTCGTTGTGGAAATCATTGAATGTTATTTTCACAAGAAAATAACACAGGAACAGGGTTTTTAAGATCAATACTTTAAAATGAAATATTCAGTGTTCTTCTCAATGTAATAAGGAAAATCAAAACCATTCAGCACCTTGACTTTGTATTGTCTTGTAAAAGTGATGAAATGAAATAAAAATGAAAATAGATAACATAAATCATATTATCAGTACATAAACATGTAAAGCTATAATGATTCAAACAATAAAGTACACATTTATAGTGGATAACGAAGCAATTGAATAGCTCCCTCTCTCTCTCTCTCATGAAATAAAAAATATTAAAAAACAGCAAATGTGTTAACAAAAATGAATAATGAGAGCAATACTCACACATTGATGGAAAATTATTAATATTATTTTTGTTAATGGCATGTTATATATTTCTTTAATTAGTCTTATATTTATTACCATCAAGCATCCAAGTTAATCAATAACTAATCTACAATATGTACTTAAAACGTCTCCTTTAAAAATCCTGACATATGTCTGATTACATGATTATCATGTCAAACCATCTACATGATAAACAATTACATAAGGATGAATACGAAACAAATAAATGGATTTTTTACTCTGAATGATCTGGTACCTTAAGCAGAATTTCATTCTAGTTGTATATTCCAACATGGTTAGGTAGGCTGTAAAGCATAATATACAGCTGTAACATATGATGATGATGATGATGATGATCCTGATGAAAGTGATAGTATGAGCATACTCAGTATACAGTATAAAACTTTTTTCTCAGCAGTTTCTGTGATAAACTATCATTCTATACTTTCAATTTAATGCTGTATTGAAGAATTATTGATCAGCGGATCCCAGACATGGAAAGCCAAAGACAGATCCTCTGTTCTTCATAGGATTTAGATTTTAGCCTTGGCAGGAACTTTGATACGAACCCAGGAGTTATTCAATACTCCCCTCAGGTTCCAGATTGAGCTTATGTCATCCGGCATGGTGTTACTTGCATCATCCCCTGCATTGAAAAGAAAAATTGAAAGGACAAATGAGCCACAAATAATAGATCCATATGAAACTACTATCTTGTTGCCGTATGGTATCATCTAGGTCCATAATTAACCCCTTTGTTTCTCAATTAACAAGCAATTAATGTTTATATCACTCCTTCAACTCTCAAAAATTAAGATGCATCAGCTGCTCTTGTCAGATAGTGTTAACTTACCGGTACATGCTCTTTTAACAGCACAAGAAGGGACATAGATTTTGACTAGGCTACAGTATATAAAGTGTTGGTGAAGAGCATGGTTAAGGTCGAGATAGTCAGAAACCAAAATAATCATTGACTTCCTTCAGATTCAAAATATTGAAAAGAAGCAACCAAATCTTGTCAGACCAGACAACCTTTTGTCCCATCAAAGAATTCCAATTATTGATTAATTTTTACATTTCGTTATGTTGAGAGCCAAAAGGATGTTAGGTCTGTGCTAAAGTATAGGACTTAAAGCCCTAAAAGATGATGTATAAACATCAATAAGACCTTATCTATAAATTGTAAGCTAACAAACAGTTCAATCTATGAAAATATCATGCAAAAACCAGCATTAACACAAAGGGTATCCCAGAAAGGAAAGATTTCTACATTAAGCATGTTATTTCTCAGAAATGCAGACATCCAACAGCTTTTATGGGTTTGCGTTCTACCCAAATTACAATTGTAAAATTACATATAGTTTTCTTCTTTTTCCCCCATTTGACTTTGACCAAAACTATACATAAATTTTGAATAAATTTAATTCTGACATATTACAATATCATCTGCTCATGTTTGGCATATTGTTTCTTCAAATTTAGTTGATAAGAAACATCTGATTTGGTTCATGAATCATTTGCTTGTAATTTTGTATATTTTTGCACTTGCATAGATGATTATCTGACATTTTCTCTGCCAACATGTGCTCCAGGCTTTTTTCATAAAAAGTATAAGTTAAGGGTTAGGGTTAGTGTTAGGGTTGCGATTGGGTTTTAAAGCAAGTATTGGGTTAGGAATACTGTTGAGTCCAGGCTGAAGTTGTGAATTTGATTAAATTATTGAACCATGGAACAACTGTTGCAGATGTACGCATCCTAGAACCATAAAATTGGATGCTGGGGCAACTTACATGCTCTGACCACGACTTCACAAGGAGCAGGGAAGGCCTTGACAGGAAACTCCCAGAATTCCCAACTCCACTTGGTGTTGGCTTTCGTTTGGTTCTCATTCACTTTGGTAAAGAGTCGAGCAACATCCCAACGCTTGCCTCCGTCCAGAGAAACGTCAACACGAATGATTCTAGGTGAAGGAAGACACACGATTACCAGATAGCCAAAATAACTATCAAACATAATTATCAGTTCTTTATGTATGGCAAAAAAAAGGGGCAAAAAAAAGGGGAAAAATTCAGAATGGCAAAAAAAAAAACTAAATTTTTTTCTGAGTTAAGATGACATTAATTACACACATGAATTATAATTTGCACAAAAAGAGGGATAAACAAACCAGATGTATGAACAGCGCTCAAAATACACGGGGGCGGTGGGCGATTCGCCCCCGTGAGCTACAAAATCGCCCCCGTCAGGTTGCTCACGGGGGCGATTGCAAAATTAAAAATTGCCCCGGTGGAATTATAAAATAAAGATAATCTTTTCTGTTATAACTTTAACACAATATTGAGTTTCAATTTTCAAACCTTAAACCAATGAAATGGAACTAAGATTAGCGTGCAAGATTTCTCGTTTTATGAGTAGGCCTATTATTAGTATTACCGATTCAGCTCGCAGTGCAGTGCCGCCGTCAGCAGTGGTTATAGGCCTACTGCGCCGTTAGTAGCGGTGCGTGTGCACGCTGCCGCGCCATGTCTGTTGGAGCTGGAGGCGATCGGGCAAGGGCAGAAACATGGTCATGGCCTGGAGAAGTTTTTCGTTCTCAGCAAATAATGAACCTCGACCAGTAAATCAATATTAGGGACTTTTAGATTTGCACGATGAGAACGTGGACTGCAACGTGTGACCTCCTTTTAAGGCACTGCCAGTGCTTAAAAGGACGTCACATGTGATTGCCAGCTAGTGCCTTAAAAGGACGTAACACGTCCACGTCCACGTCCACGCAAATCTAAAAGTCGCTTTTGAGGAGAAGAGGAAGACCAAAATGCCGTGAAATCAGGGGCGGCGATTTCTGTTAATGACCGGGGGGGACGAGCTGCGAATTTTTTTACGAGGATGTTATGCGAGGGAGCGTAGCGACCGAGCGAGATTTTTTTTGCAATTTTATTAGTCTAAACGCTGCACTCTTGGGCCTTCCAGAGCCTAAAAGTGTGTTGCAGTCATTATTCAGTATATGCTATACAATTTGTTTTGCACTTTTTCAAATTTCCAGGGGGGACGATCCCCCCCCTAAAAAAATTGAGGGGGGGGGGGACGTGTCCCCCCCGGGATCGCCGCCCCTGCTTGGAATGATATGGTAACATGGGCAGATCTACGGCGGGGGGGGGGGGGGGGGGGGGGGGGGGGGTAGGGGTTTAACCCCCTCCTCCCACCCCCCCCCCCCCCCCGGCCCCCTTGGGCTGCCAAGTGAAAATGTGATATCAAAGCGGGGGGAGGGGGATTCTGGAGAGGACTTCTAATCTATTTTTTTTTTTTTTTTCAAAAGGCGGGGGGAAGTGAAGCGCCGTTTTAGAATGACTTTTTTTTTAAACTCTTACTGTCACCTATCTCAGATAACCCGAAGTTTTTGGTTGCTGCTTTATATGTAGTTGATAATGCATGATTAAAATAAAGAGAGAGAGAGAGAGAGAGAGAGAACCACCATCATTTTGCAATGATTCAGGGTTCGTGTAATGTACATTTGAAACCATTTCTTAGCGTCTCAACCCTAAAAAAATAGCAAAACTATTTTTGAGGAAAAGCATTATACTGAATTAAATAAAGAATAAAAGCTTTATATTGGATCATACTAATACTGATACGGGCTAAAGACATTGTATTTGTATAGAGGTATTCCAAAATGACATTCTGATAATCAACATTTGTTCTGGTATCATATGTATATACGCATAATACAACTGATCTTTATGATTTCTTAACGTGACATAGCTTCTTCTCCCTCTGCAAACAAAACAGAAAACAAGGTTGTTTAATAAAAGGACCATGCGAAAAATAATCATTGTGATTCAAATTGATGCAAGGATTTTTTTTGAATAAGCAATGCTTTTCACCAGAATCTTCTTTGTAAAAACGACTTTTACAAATCTCGGCCATGCAATTCTGCCACTGTGCTGTAATATCACTATGAGATTAGGAAAAGTGTATTATGTAATGGGTATTTTAAATTGAATGGAACGTCTCAACTCAGTAAGCATGGCTGAGATTTGTAAAAGTTGTTTTTACAAAAAAGATTCGGGTGAATAGCAGTGCTTATTCAAACAAATATTCGCATCAATTTGAATCACAATCATTATTTGTCGCTTAACCCTTACTGTACTGGGGGGGGGGGGCCTGGGAGCCCCCCCCCCCTCGACATTTTCGGAGATTGCGCCGCAACCGCTTGGAATTTTGAATTGTCGTTTCATGACTTTTTTTCCTCAAGTCTTACGCACATTTTGATACCATTTTCGTCAAAATCGGATATACCTGTAAGGCGTTACATAACAATTAGTATGCGCATGTCATCAAAAAAAAAAAAAAAAAAAAATTAAAATCCATCAAAATTTGCATAAATTATCATTATTAATTACATTTAAATAACTTTTTTGTGTTAGAAGTTTCATATGAATAATGAGTTTCAACATTCAAAAAGTGGAGTTTGACACGTTTTCTGTAAAATGCATAAAATTAGCGCATTTTGCATAATTAATTAGGCTAACGACAAAAATTTGCACATTCGGAAAAAACTAATTATACCATCTTGTTCCTTACGTAAATATCTACAAACATGCAAATTTTCGTGTTCATCGGACAATCGACGGCCGAGATCATAGGGGGGGGGGCCTCCCAGGCCCCCCCCCCCCCCCGGTCAGTGGGTGCTCAAAATAGCTCAGTACAGTAAGGGTTAATCCCTTTTAACGACCATGTTTTATTTTTCGTTTGCAAGGGGAGAAGAAGATATGTCACGTTAAAGACATCATAAAGATCAGTGTTGTATGCGTATATATTATATACACAGGCCAGTAACAGCTATGTAGCTTGTAAATTTGTAAGAGGGAAAATGCTGATTGAAATGATAATGATGAAATAGCAAATAATTGAGGAGTATCATAGGTACCAATTCAATGGATATTTGTATAAAAAAGAGCCCCCGTCAGTAATAAAAGAGCCCCCGTGAGAAGGCTCACGGGGGCTCTTTTTTCGGGGGAAGAGCCCCCGTGGACAAAAAATTAATTTGAGCCCTGTGTATGAATATTAAGATAACTTTCCTACAGATATCTAAAGCACTTAGGTATTCTGCATCACTACATATGTCTGTGGGAATTCCTCCTATCCTGATATATATTTTCTCTATTCTCTTTCTGTGACAAATCTCTTCAAATTCTATGAAATCCTGACCACTGTTGCCCCTAAGTCAGATAGTCCGTGATGAGATGACTAGTGGCGACTAGTGATTTAGAGGTACTCTACATCAACTCTAAGTTTGAGATGATATTTATTTTCCAATTTGCCTTAGTCTGGTTTATGAATATCATTACCCTGTAGTTGACAACTAGAATATATTTAGTTGCCAACTAGGCTTCGTGAATAGGGTCTAGTTGCAAACTTATGAATATCTACTTGTACCTATTTACAGCTAAAGAGCATTTTAGTTGTCAACTAGGCTTAGTAAGGTTTTATAAATATGAGCCCAGGTGTAGACAATGAAGTGTTATGGTGTCACCACTAATCTATGTTTTGCATCTTTAACAGCTGTATACCCTGCTTTCATATGGTCTACATTTTAATACAGAATTGTACAGATGCTAATATGTAGTGCTTTGCTTGACTGACATTACCAAAGTACACAACATAAAAGAGTTTACAATCCAGTCTTCTACTCAAACCTCTCATCCTATCTACAACTTTCTGGTTTACAGTCCTTTTCAGGACTATACTCACTTCCGAAAGATACTCTTCCTTCCAACCTCCACTTTCTCACCTTTCTATTTCACTTCTATTTTCTATCCACTTTCCTTAGTCCTTCTAGGACTTTACACATGGTGTACCGTAAACCTCTACCGCGATAAAAGAGTGAGTTTAAGAAAATATATTAGGCCATTATAAACTTCTAGCATTCAGTTTTTGAAAATGAAGGATATGAGTTAATGCTCTTCTGAATCTGAGCAACTAATATTCAACATGTAAAGAATATTTGATGATACCTCAGTCACACTGACAAGGTAGACACCAGATCGACAAGAGACCACAAACAAAAATTACTTTGACCTGAACAGTAAAGAATCGGTCGATTTGGACTTCATTTGGTGGTGCGACCAAAGTATTTAGTTTGGCAGTGTGACTGAGGCATTTCGTTTGGTGGTAATACTGAGATATTAGATAGTGTGCATACTTCCTGCCTCCTCCAGATAAGGCATATCCTTTGATGGTATAAGGTGTGCCAGGGGTGATAGCTTCTCCCTGCTGTGGTCTGGTGGCAGCTGCTTGGACAGGTATTTCCTGGATGGATGGTGACTTCTCCCACCAATCATCTATAGTGTCCCAATCAACCTGCAGCAATCAAAACCAGAGGTCATGACATCAGTTGGAAATGAAAGGTCAGGTTTTGTAGCGTTTTGCACATTCTGCCTTTGAAATATAAATAAAATAGTGCTACATAGCAAGAAACTACAAATTCATTTTCAAGATTCTCATTGATCCAAATGACATCTTATATCTGATTGTCATCTCTGAAATCATGATCACCAAGGTTACAATAATGCCATTAATGCCATAGCATCATCAGCGGCATATTTAACATCAATATTATCATTACCTTCACCTTGACTGAATTATACATAATACTGCTAATTATAAATTCTTGCATTTTATCATTACCATTATTTCCATCTACATGATCACAATCTTTTCATAATAGCATTATCTTCTTTCATCATTATCTTCCTGACTGCTTCACCTGTAGCAGAACAGCTCAGCCTTTTTTTTTTCAACACAGGGGAACCCATGCCAAGTCTCTCTCTCACTCTCTCTCTCTCTCTCTTCATCCGTCTGTACGTCTCTCTCTCTCTCTCTCTTCATCCGTCTGTATGTCTCTCTCTCTCTCTCTCTCTCTCTCTTATCCTCTCACTCTCTTTTTTTTTTCTCTCTCTCTCCTTCCCTCTCCCTTGTCCCAACCTTCCCCTTTCTCTTTCTCTAGACTAGTCTAAAACCATATTCTTTCAATTCACTCATGTATTATACTATTATCCTTTTTTAGATAATTGTATACATATATCAGTTTTTTAGAATTCAATTGAACTAGTAATACTTGATTTTATTTGTCTTGTTCACATACTCTTATTTCATTATACATGATGTTTGCAATCTTTTCATTTGTGATAACATCTGCAATTTGGCTTGTAGACAGATTTTATCTCACAATATTTCTGTATATTCTTATTTGCATTTGCATGTTTACCTAATAAACCTTTTATTGCATTGATTAGCAGAAGAGTAAGACTACTGGGAGTGTCATGGTCGAGTGGTTTAAGGCTCTTGACTGGAGATGCGAAGGTCAAGGGTTCGAATCCCGACACGGCACTAATATCCTTAGGCAAGATATTAACCTGCACTTGCTACTCCCCACCCAGGTGTTAAATGGGTACCCGGTAGGATGCGACCGTCATTGTTGGTCATACAGTTTTTGAGCGTCAAGTAACGCCTGGCTGGAATGCTCTCCAGGGAGTGGAGATTGTGCACACAGTGTGTGGGCAAGGACTGAATCCAATGACCGGGGTAATAGTATATTTGTAAAGCGCTTAGAGACATTGTGATAAGCGCTATATAAAAAAAAAGCTTAACAATTATTTTTTAAATAAAGACTACACAAAGTTATCAAGTGAATATAATTTGTCCTTTATGGAATTTAAAGCTTACTCACAGATGTGAAAAAATGCACCTCAAAAGGAAAACCTTGATTAGGGGTAGATTATATTCTTGATAGAAAAACAACACTTACATGAGGCAAGAAGAGTTTGTAATCCCTCTTCTGGAAATAATTTGTTGATTCATGTCCGAGAACCGAGATGGATTTCAACCATTTCACTGATCTGTTTGCACAGAAAAAAAGAAAATCAAAGAATGCTATACTCTATTCACTTCAATATAATTAGCAAAGATTACTTAGCAAATTGCGATTGGAATTCTATTGAATTTAAATGCTTTAGAACCACGAGTGTTTTAGCTTATTCATACCAAGTAAAATTGCAATATTACTTCAAGATTTTGTCCTAATTATTTAATAATAATAATAAGCACATAATACCTGAAGTTTATCAAACATCCTTGATAGAGAAATCTGAATCAATTCTCAATCCTTGTGCCTTTTTCCACCTCTTTAGTTTTCTCTTACCTTGCTCCTACAACACCTGGTACCACAATCCTCATAGGATAGCCATGATCTCGAGGAAGCTCACTGCCATTCATCTAAAAGAATATCACAAAGGAAGCACTTTTTACCTGTATCAACATCTACAATGTAGATTCTATGACCATTTATAACATATATAGAATAATGAAATATTTAAAAAGTAAAGCTTTCACCAAGCAATACTACTGTTGATATAAAAATAATAATATAAACAAAGTGTAAGATGCTATCCACAGTAGGACTGCACACACGTTTGTCCAAACTTGTAATCTATTCATAGTCACATTATGATTATCAGAGCATCTAAAGAGGATTACAAATAATACAAATACTTATACTTTCATCTTTACCAGATCTCATCCTTCTCTTCAATAATGGACCTACTACGAAGTAGGTCTATGATTCAATTCAACATCAAAACATACTCACCTCCAAGGCAACAATGGCATCACCTCTGGGGTCTCTGTTACAAACAAACCAAACATGAGCAACAATTTCATTAAGTTGAGGCCAAAAAAATTAACATGAGGTGGTGTATCCATCACACAGAGGAAAGGTCCCAGAAAAATTCAGCCAAAGCAATTGTACATAGTAAAAAAAATTTTTTTTAAATGTATTTACTCAAGGTAATAAGGTTTTACAGTAAGATACTTAAACAAACCACACAAACAAAATGCATGAAGTCAGAGAGAGCAGTGACATTAAAAGTAACAAGACGTATTGTTCCAATCTGAAGAGTTTGTAAAATTAATAAAAACCTGTAAAGCATACAAAACCATTATCATGTCTTACACTTCCAATCATTGATATTGTATGATAAGCAATACTATTGTTTGTACATTATGCCTCTAAAGATTCCACAATTTGAATTGACAACAAAGATAAATGATTACTATCATCAAAACATTTTAAGACACTTACAACAAACCATCAACAGTCAAAATGATTTTAGTATGATATGGAGAATAAGAATGGATATATATATATATATATATATATATATTAAACTCCTTATTTGGTAGTATTGCTGTAAGGATAAGATAATTCAGATGAACTGAAACCAAACTGTTACTTTCATGATTTGATATGTAATACCATAACACTTCCATGGTCCCTATAGCCATTCGTATCACCATACTTCAGAATGATAAAATGATGTTTTATCACTACTAAATCAAAACAAATCATTGAAATTCAAGCAAAGCTATTGGTCTCACAGTGCTTTCAATAGGGGTATTGATGACCCATAGCCTCTGTCTTCCTTGCAGACATCAACTCCTTCAAAATCAACATGTAGGTCCTCCCATCTAGACTCCAACTACAAAAAAGGATAAAAATAAAGATTAACAACAACATAGGTTCAAAGAGCATACCACTATAGTATATCAAACATGTCAAATATGAAAATTACTGATTTTTCCAATTATGAACACATTAAAAAATGTCCTTAACTCAAAGGCCAGAATTCTACTACATATAGCTCACTGAAACCAAACATTGGGATAAAGTTATGTTGAATAAAAGGAAAAATGATACTGGTACTTTGGTTTAACTTCCTTTGTTAAACTCAATTTTGACGGAGCTGAAACCCAACAACATGTTTAAATATGTAGCAGAATCCACGCCATAGTGTTTTGAATTCATTTATATGTTCCATAACATGCCAATCACTGTCCATCATTAGAAAAGAGCATAATCATTTCTAAGCTATGTGTTTACGAATTTGAGATTCAAAATATCAATGAAAGTCATCTTTGTTATTTACGAGTCCCTAACAGAATTTAGAGAACATTTATTTATTAGTCACGAACAGAAGTTAGAGAACAGCTATCGGTAAGCAACTGGCCTAATGATACAACTACATCTAAGAATTAGAAAATAATTAATTTGAGATGAAAAGATATGATTGATTTCATTCATATTACCTTCTCAATTCCTGCCATAAGCAGCACATCTCTCAGTCTAGGCCCTCTCCAGATAGCATTACTGACAGCAGCATGCCCCCAAACAACACCCTGTCATAGACATAATTAGCAAAATGATCACTACAAGTTTTAGAAGAAATATGAGGTACATGTAACTTGACAGATCAGGCAAACCTAATGAAACTGCGAAGTGTTGATAGCATATTTCTTTCCTTAAACTTCCTTCAAACATTAGTGCTAGAGAATATCTAGTTTATAAATAATGTTAACTCTTATCGTGCCACGGGGCTAATCCCCACTGTGCCAGGTTGTTTTGGAGATAATCTGATTAACGCGATGGTTCTATGAATGGCGAGTGCAAAACACACAGCACAGCCCAATGAGCATGAACAATAACTGATATTACGAATGCGCCCTTGCACGCACATGGCACTCAATAGGTAGCGTGCATGCAGCCTCATGGCAGGCTATGGGTTAATTGAACTGAATTTAATTTAATTGATTTATTTACACATTTATATAAAAAAATATAAAAAACACAAACATGATAAACATAGTAATTATTTATCACGTTAATAACATAATCAACTTTTTTAGTTTGGATTTGATTATATTCAGGGATTGAACATTTTTAATATTTTCAGGTAAATTTTTTCAGAATACAGGGCAATTGTGAGATAGTGATTTTCGAGATAAGGAGGATTTTAGATAATCAGATTCTGCCCTAGTATTATAATTGTGAATGTAAAAATGTTCATCTTAACAAAGAGTGAAAGTTTAATGGTAATACATAAAATAACAATATGATAATTACACAGCTCATATTGGTAAAATATTGAAATTCTGAAATAATGGGCCAGTATGTGCTCTGGACAAAAATACCCATATCAAAAATGTTTTCTTTAGTGTCATGCAATGAGTTTCTATTAAACATGATGTCATGTCATGTCATTTTATAAGTAGTGTACAGATCTTCAAGGGATTTTTATATAATCAAGATATGTATTTCTTCTGAGATAAATTTCTTGATACTCACCCTGACTTGTTTTATCGCGGACATTTCCGTTCTTCTGTTTCCTGCACACTAAAAAAAAAAAGAATCAAGGGATTAAGATCACCAAAATTTGGTGAAAATCATTTTTAGAGATACTCACTATTTATTTATTTATCGATTTATATAAAAAATTTAAAAATTGATCAATCAATCAATTATCAATCAATCCTTAAATAAATAAATATAGAAGTATATAACTAACTCAATAAAGGAGAAAAAAACTTTTTTTGACATATATGATAAAATAGGCAGAACCAGGTATAATTCAACATTAAATGATGCTTCATGCATTAGTCAAGCAAATATACATATACCGGTAGCACCAATGCGTTCTCTTCAACAGAAAGTTCATTACCATTAGAGTTGCCATAACCGTTGCCTGAGGAAACCATGTTCTCAGTTGCTCAGCTGTTAGTTCCAGGGGACGTGGCACCAATCCATCCACAGTCACTCTGTCAAAATACCAAGATAATCACTGATAATTGCCAGGGTCAAATATGGGTTTGGCATGCCTGTCATTCATTGATCATTTTGTAAGTAATGAATGAATTACATGTGATACTACAACATGTATGAAGTATGAAAGAATAGTAATTTGGCCAAGTATAGTAATACTCACAATTACATTTGTATAATAATTGACAAATCTCTAGCAGTAAACTATCTGATTATCATTTCAATTAATTGATTATTCAGAGACCCTCATCAGTGAAAGCATAATTGTTGTATGATATTGAAGTAACGTGTATGTGAAATTAATACGATTTGAGTATGAAAAACTTTCAGAATTTGATCCCACATAGAAAACTGCACAAAACTTTGATTCCTAACACTTTACTAATAAGTATTTTTTAAAGTTACCCTCTCAAATTTCTATACATTGGGATGCTGAATGCCGATAATATCTCTTTGGACAGAGCAAAGTTATAAAACATTATTTTATAAAATACAATGTACATGAAATAAAAATGTGAGTTTATAAATTCAGGTGTAAGTTGAATTGTTTATGTCACAATGTTATGTCCTATCATACAACGTGCTTTACGAGGAAGACATGAGAACATGTGTGCATATAAATCGTACATTATATAGGCCTGCAATGCATATACAGATTAGATAAGTTCTGCTGATGTAGGCTGTTTAATGGGATCATTCTTCACTTCCTGTAAACATCAATTAAAACCAGACAGGAGCTGCCAATTTTCAACTGAACATTTCAGTACTCAAAGGCTGAAAATCATTATTTTGTAGCAGACGAAGAGACGAGCAATGAATTGGATCTGTTTTTTTGTATAGAACATACATTATTATTTTTAAATTCAAGTACTATACCGGGGTATACTGAAAATCAGTTCTACTTGGAAGCTAAGCTACACTGACAGTACAAAGTATGAACACTGAAGTCCTTGAAATAATATCAGACCACAAAATGTGTTTCTGCTTACTCTGCATAATGAAAAGCAAGTGTATCTGGGCATGTGTACATCGACTACAAAGTCCAAATGTTAGCGAAGTAAACAATAGGAGCTACATGTCAACTATTGCAAGTAGGGTATAGAATATTGTTTAACAGGTGAGAAGGCACCTTCGTCTCTCTTGACCTGGGAAAAGCTTGTGTGACAGGCATAACTCATCTTTATGAAGATATTAATTTTGCCTTATTCAAACATTGATTTATGGTTTGACAAACTGGTTTTTCACGTATCGCACGTACACCAGCTTGGTCTCCTTACCTACTTTGTTTCAATTACAATCATATACCTTATTCTTATTGAATGAAAAGAAGTGTGAATTCATGGTTATTACATCAAATCGTAAACGAAGGTCTTTTGGTAATATCAATATCCAGATAAACGGAATCCCTCTAAAAACTGTTAAGACAATGAAATATCTAGGAGTTATTTTAAATGAGAAATTAATTGGCAAGATCAAGTCACACACGTAAAGAAAAAAAGCGCTATCCAGTATATATTGTTTAAAACGTGTGAGACCAGAAATTTTGCAAGATACAGCCGTATTGTTATATAAAACCCTTGTGCAACCTCATTTTGTATTATTGTTCGGCATTATGGAGAAATGCTTGCAAAACTCATCTTAAGCAAATCAAATTAGAGCACTATGAGTAGTTCTGTCTGTCGATAGCCGTTTCAGCACAAATCTGCTCTATTCTATCCTAAAAGTTGACCGTGTTGATATACGTTGGTAAAAACATGCCTTAGCACTAATCTTTAAACTAGTACATAATTTGCTTCCTAAATCATTATGCGAACGCATTTCCCTAAAAGAATACACCCACAGGCTCAGGAATTCTGTTAATATACTCACTTTAGAAAAACCCAAAACCAATTTCAAACGAATCTATTCAAGTGTCCAATCATTCAATGCCTTACCTGAAAGAATTCGTCTCTTGTCAACTACCCGGCAATTTGAACTGGAGGTAGATGCATTGTACTAGTCTGTCACTCTCACCCTCTTCTTCTTCTATCTCTATTTTTTCACATTCTCTCTTTCTTTGTTCTCTTCTCATCCTATCCCATTCTACTCTTCCCCTATGCCTATTGATTAAAATTACACTTTTTTAATGACACATATTATCTATGTCTGTAATTTTCATTTAATATCTTAGCTTCTTACTTAATTTTGTTCTTCCTAATTTATTCATATGAAACCTTTTATATCATATATCTTTATGCTTGTTATTTTATTTGATGCAATAGTTTGTTATTAATTTTTGTATTTTATGCATGTATGTCACTTTTAAGTAGTTTTCCTATGTATTTACTGATGTATATGTATTTGTGATCTGTTTTATGTTTTTTACACGGACTTGCTGAATGCAGTCTTTTTAGACTGATGTGAGTTTACAGTGAATAAATAAATTCAATTCAATTTAATTCATACCCTCCTAAACTTATACCAGGATATGCACGTATGCAGCCCTGGGAATCTGTTACATTGATTTTCCTCAATTCCTGACTCAGATTTCCCTCCTAACGTAGGAAATTGGCAAACTTCCCCAAAACATAATGTTCAAAAAGGGTATTAAGAGACTACATTTGCATGTACCGGTAGTTGAAAGCACACGATTATTCAACAGCAAAATTCTGAAGTTTAAGTTTGTACATTTTTAGGTTATTGAAGGTTTGATATAGAAAGGGGCTATTGCTTGTGACATATGCTCTGAAATGGGAATTAATATCAAGCTTATTTGGTGTGAGGCCAGAATAAATTGCAACATGAAACAAACAGGATTTAAAATATATCTGCAAATGCTATTATATAATAAAGTGCATGAATGATCATTAGTTACACAAAAGTTGTTTGAAATACTGTCAAACAGGAAACCATAATTGGGGTATAATTTCTTCAAATTACAAGCAGGAGCACAATTTCATAATACATACAATTACAAATCGACATTAATTATTAAATTAGGTGTTACTGTTATGCAATCTTATTTACATGAAAGATGAATATATAAATCAGATTGCATTATATGAATATATGTGTATTTGCAGTGGTTGATGATATTCTCAGTACACCTGTATGTATTGCAACTGGTGATCTATATAAAGGCAGTAAAAGCCTTTTAGCCTGAACGTATTAAATTCCAATCAAACATCAGGTCTCAAATTAATGGTAACCCAGGTGCCATAGACTACCTAAAATCACACTGGGCAACTTAAGGTATTACAAAGTTTTGGGAAATTTTGAAAAATGGGTGGATAGTGATTCTTTACAATTTTGATATATTTGGATGCCCTTGTGGATGTACATTAAAAGCACTAGAAATTTTAGCCCCTAAAACACTTTTAGTTTTCAAGAAAAATTGAATATAAAGATTTACTGGTGCTCCCGGTAAATTTTGATAGATTTCAAAAAGCGCCTACGGCTGTACAATAGTAGCTGTGACCATGAAAATCTCAGAATATGTAGTTGTGGTATATAATTTCCGAACGGGAATAGTTAATCGGTCGATTTTAGTCAATAAACATTGTTTTATAGCTTAATTAATATCTATACCTTGAGAGGAAACTATTCAACATAAAGTGTTTATCATTTACAATTTCATAACTTTAAAGTCGATTTCAACCGCGACAACGATCACTGAATATTGTATGATCGCATATGCTTCCAATATGTTCATTTGAACCAAATTCATGAACCATACCAAAACTTTGTATTACCTTTAAATGTCCTGCCTTTGCTGCACAATTGGCCACTAAAATATCTAATTGTAATTACTGTCCCATGTGACTGACCACTAATGAATTTAGCAACCTTAACAAATAATGTACTAATGTGATCATGCCATATGCCACATGCCATATGCCCAGCTAGCAAACCCATATCAAACAAGAGCTCTGCAGTCCAATGTTAATACTGTAGAGGGTATGTACTGACTGACCTGTGTGTTCTACCATCCAGGCTGGGAACTGGTGCATGATTCCTGATATAGAACTGATCATTAGGAGTAACAAAGTGCTCCCTCAGGACAGTCGTTGGAGGTTCTGCATTGAACGGCTCTTTGCAGTTGATGGTCATATTGGGATTCCGAGCTGGTTCATTATTGTATGATGCCATGGCTCAGATCTTTTCCTGCAAACTATAAAATATTCAAATTTCAAGACTATGCAAAGCCCATATATGCATCTTTATTAAAACAAAGTACCAGTAGATGGACATACATAAGTTTTTTCACATACTCACCAATTACATGTACATGTAGATCTATTTTGAACCAGTGGTTTAAAAAAAATATATTGGCTAAAATATTGGCTACATATATGCCAATAAGGTTTTTTTTATATAAAATGAAAGTAGTACGGTAGACAAAATTAATTTGCAAGGAAAAGTTTCTCTTTCTCCTTTCCCACCTAGCAGTGAACCACAAAGGCTATAGAACGAAACTTACGAAAATGATTCCATTCTTTCTCAAATCTTTGTGTGTTTGTTTGCTTCTTTAATTGGTAGGAGGAGCTAAAATATAAATTTTCCATCATAGATGCTAAACATATGTATCCTAAAGAATTGTTCGAACAAAACATTTCTTCATAGAATTGTGTTTGTCAACGCTTACAGGGTAAATTTCTTTCGAAACAGCTCAAAAACATGGAGAGTAGGAACAGAGTATACATTTGTAAGCCTGTCATAATAAGAACTAAAGTTTAAAGTAAACTTCCTCTTAAGGTCAAGGGATCTTCCTCTCTGCTCATAATCTTTTGGTATATATACAGATTACTATTTTTTTCTCTCTTAGAGTGTAATAAAATACCACTGCAAGTGTAAAAAAAACTATATAAGAAAATTTAGGCAGTTGTGCAGAATTTCTGTACTATTTTTACAGGAAAAATACTTTCTGTTGATTTTATAGGGAAAGTAAGAGTTGTCATTTGACATACATATAACTTTACGCAAGCATCATGCATGGACTAAACATGATAGATAACATACATTGCAGTTTTGGTATTCTAAAAACTTTTTTAGCCAAAAGATATTAATACATAAAACAAAGAAAGGAATAATGTAACATTTCATGAACAATGAACACTTTCATGACAAAGTTAGTGCATATTAATTGATGATACTCAATAAATATGTGCCATAGTTCACGAAAATGCATATGTTATCAAACATAAAACATGATTGGCTAATAGTATATTTTAACAGCATATCATTTGAGAATCAATGAAAATGGGTGTGTCAGGGGTGTATCCTATAAAAAGATAACTTAACCTTAACATAGTTTTCAGAATACCAATTTTTATGTATGTTCAAACTGGGACTTAACATGCAAGTTAACATAGTTTTCAGAATACTGCCCCAGGTATACATCCAGCAAGTTTTTGCAGGTCCAAACAAGTTACCTACTGCATGATAAATATATCAAATTATGGTAAGTTAGTTTAAGGACTGAAATTTGCAATATCTTTACCTGAATTTAAGATTTACTTAGAAGCCTTAAACTTCTGTATTCAGGCCTAGTCAGTTCCCTTAATCACACATAATTCAATCAAAATGACGTACCACATTGTAATAGTATGTATTTTCAAACAAAACATTACCTGATTACATGTATCTAACATTATTTCAAATTAAAATTGCACAAAACCGTTAATATCTTAATTAATTAATCATCATGAAGAAACTGCCAAAATTGAATTAGACTAATAGAGATCCAACATTCCTAACATATTTTTAAGTTGATACAAAAAAAAAGAAAGAAAAGACCTGTGCCTTACCATACATGTACATGTATGTTGCGAGATGCAAAATACTAGCTGTTAATCATGGTTATGTTAATTATAACTTTCAATCGTATGTGCTGCAGATTAATGATCTCCCTGTGCTACATTATTTCATGGATAGTTTTTTATCACAACTTTATTATCTAAATGTTCCCAGTGTAAAATTAAAATTTATAGATATAGGGTCTAGTCTATTAAAAGGGTTATACCGAAGTTAATAAAGACTGAAAATTATTCGTATTTCAAAGCTTTTGTGTAGGGACACTGAGCAATCCTAATTCTGCCATTGATGCTGCATAGATTGACTATTGTTTTGTGCCGATTCCCATTTGCGATAGATCAGGCTTGCTAGCCCCCCACTACGTGCTATATTAGGCAGCAATTGCTAGTTAATACACAAATAGCACACAAATGCACACAATGAAGACGATGTGGCTGTATTCTGTAAGCAAGTTTGACAGTAGACTCATAATACCAGGTTCCTCGGAGAGGACCTAAAGCCGTCGCCCGTCAGGTAGCTTACTTACAAGCATTTATGCTTTCGTATTCGTATCGTAGCTGTCAGGTAAAATAACCACCACCACCACCACCACCATCCGTCGCCTAATCGCGAGGGAAGACAGCGGCACACGGCCCCCGCCAACAACCGGTCAGGCAAGGCTCGGAGGTCTGTTGCGAGTGAGCCAGTGTTTACTCAGTATGAAACTATTGTTAAATCCAACAGTCGTCACTTGCTAGGCTTTGTAGCATTTTATCTAGAAATTTTCATTATTAAAAAACCTGATGATGGTATTATGTATTTAAATCAAACTTCAGTACAATTGATTGTAAGTATAACTCGATAAAAAGCAAAAGGCAGCCTTACCTTCTTTACGGAAAGTCTCACTCGACACTGCACTCACTGCACTAGCACTGCACTCGACTAGACTAGCTCTGAAACCAAATAATATTTTGGGTACAAAGCCATCTAGCGGGCCTATATACGCGTAAAATGAGTTTTGAGCAATTTTTAATGGTGGATTGGTCGGGAGGGAGGGCTGGGGGGTCGAATTAGTCTCGAGTCTAAATATAAGTGCAACCATGCATGAATAGCGTCAGTATACCTGTCAGTATTAAAAAATATACAGAGGGGGGGGGGGGGATTAGAGAAATAGAAACAAAATTACTGTTACTTATTAAATTCAATTTCGTGGGGGGGGGGGGGGGGGGTCACTCCCGCCCCCCCCACTCAGTGTTATTTAGGGTACGCATATATGCGTGTTCCAAGCGACCGCCCCCCCCCCTTTCAGCAAAAGTCCGGTGTGTAAAGTCAATACGGGTCGACCTTTTTCTTTTGTTGTACGAGCCTTTTTCAGCACCCCCCCCCCTCCCTTTTCAGCAAAAGTCCGGTGTGTAAAGTCAATACGGGTCGACCTTTTACTTTTGTTACCAAAAGGACATTTTGGTAACACGCATGGGGTCCGTCCAATCTCGGAGTGGGGGGGGGGGGGGGGGGGGGCGGGGGTCACTATGGTAAAATTTGGTTTGTCCTTTGGATCCGCCTCTTGATTAATGCGAATGTAAAAATTTAAAAAGAGGCTTTTAAGCACTGCAACCGTCCTTATCTTATTCAGAAAAGGAACAAAAATCTATAAGCTAAATATCCAGAACAAAATCGTTCATAAATTAAGGAGAATATAAAAAGAGGTTGAATTGCATAAGCTCTTGCAGTCGAAGTATAGTCATTTCAGATACACTGGTAGTTGGCTTGTATAATGTACCGACGATTTAGGCATTAATTTGGACCAACCCCAGCATGGGTGTCGATACTTACGTAATACCTATTCATCAGGGGGGGGGGGGATGAATGAATAGATCATCCCCCCCCCTGATGAATAGGTATCAGTTACGGATCGACACCCATGAACCCCAGTAGGCCGATAACCCCGAGACAGTCCATGAGACCGAAAGCCACTCGGAAACCGATACTTGTAATATATGTCTGTCTCGTGGGCATAATAAAGAGTTATTTGATTGTTGAATCATTGTTCACAATAATAAGGGCGAATCATTTTGATCTCATGGGCATGCATGGTGACAGCTCTTCAGAGGTTTACACGGTCGGTCTCGTGCATGCAGGGCTCGCCGACTTTAATGGGATGACTCGATGAGCCCGCGCGATGAGCCCGTCAATGTTGGTGACCATGAGCGATCGGGTCAAGTGGCAGGAACACGCCCCCCCCCCCCTCCGGTCCCCGGGCCGGGCGGCATTTGAACTAGAAACTGCATAAGAGAAACCGCGGATAAGGGGAGGAACGGAAGAAAATTCGTGCACCTCGGATTGTTTCGTGAAAAACAGTCAAAAGCAAATATTTATTTTTTTAAAAAAAGGGGGGGGGTATTTAAATGGGTTTATAAATGAAAAATTGCTAAAGCTCTATCGCTTTGAACCCTCGCTAATACTACTTCAGGATGTATAAATCTGTGATTTTAATGAAGAAAACACTAGTTGCAGTGAATATAGTAATTGAAGGTTCCAACATTCAAAAAGATGCACTAATTACGGTGGTCGCTTGAGCTAAATTCCCAGAATATGTATTCATCCCGTTTGGCATTGTTCCTCGAATATAAATGTAATGAGAAAGGAAAGCGTTCAAAGGTAAAAATGTGACACCTCTCACACCTGATAAGGGGCACTACCAGACATGAAAAAAGACACTTATGAGAACGGAAAGGGGCACTTATTACAAAGGAGAATTAGGGGCAATTATCAGAATTAAAATTACACTAATTAGGAAGGATAAGGGGGCACGTGTCAGAATAAGAGGGACACTTATCATGTATGAAAAGGGGGCACTTGTTACAAAGTTAAAAGAGGCATCTCTCAAATTGGATTAAGGGCACTCACCAGAGATGAAAAGGGGCACTTATCAAAATATAAGGGACACCTCTCAGATTTGAAAAGAGGCAATTATAACTTTAGAGGTGAATGGGCACTTATCAGAGGTGGTAAGGGGCACTTCTTGTACCTGAAAATAGGCACTCACCTGAAATGACTAGGGGCACTTATTAAAAAGGAAAATTGGCACTTGTCGTAAGAAAAGAGGTACCTATTAGATTTTAATAGAGGTATTTATCAGAGGTGTGAAAAGGTGCATTTATGAAAAGGGGAGGTGGCTCTTATTTAAAAAAGGGCATTAATCAATTTTTTTTTTTTTGGGGGGGGGGGGCTCAACGGGGGAGGGGGAGTAAACACTCCTTTCTTTTTTCTCAACACCCACCCCCCCTCCCTTTGAGCAAACAAACACACATTTTTTAAACTTTTTTTTGCAGGGCAGGGGGGAGGGGCATTTTCATTTTTTAAAGGTCATATTAACATTACCATAAATATAAACCAACTTACTATACTTTCAAAAGAGGTTTATCACATAATATTTGTAATATTCTTTTTCTTAATTAGGGCTTGTTTGGATTTCTCGCCTTCTAACCTATTTGTATATATATATATATATGTTATATATATGTATGTGTGTATGTTTTATTTAACTTTGTATGTAAATCATGTTAATAATAATAATAATGTATGTTTCTTTGTTAAATTGTGATTGCTTTTTATATGCACGGCCATGGCTGAAATATGCCACCGTGCTAAAATAAAATAAACAAACAAACCATCTTTTTTTAAAACCTGTTTTTGCCAGGAGCGGCCCGTCGCACACCCCCCCCCCCCCTGGATCCGCCCCTGTGGGGACCGACATTTGCCGTCACCATCGACTCGGGACCAGAAACGGATCCAGGGGCAAACAAAATATATAAGGAATGTGTGGCTTGTCAGTATTGACCCAAACTGACACCATGGCAAAAGTGGCTGGGTCTATCAAAATGTGCGTGAACATGAAAACTTTATTTTCCTTCTTTCAAGTTCTTCATTTTTCCTCTTTTCTGGGGTATTTTTCTGTAGTTTTCTTTTACCTTAACTTAATTACCTTAACTTATACAAAATGAGAGATATAACACGTGTCGTAAAGCAGTGGCGGATCCAGGGAAAATCCAAGGAAAAAAATCATGTAAAATCACGTGATTTTTACTTTTTTGGGGGGTTGGGCCCCCCCCCCCCCTGGCGCTCAAGGGGGGGGGGTGCAAATTGAAATTTTTTTGAGGATCAAAAAAAAAAAAATGTGCTCACTACCCCCCCCCACTGAGCGAATTTTTGGCCGGCGCGTTGTTCAAATTTTCGGGAGCAAAAAAAAAAAAAAAAAAAAAAAAAATTGTGCTCTTTACCCCCCCCCCCCCCCCCCCCCCCCCCCCCCACGGAGCGACTTTTCGGCCGGCGCCTGAACAATGGCCCAAATCATTTATTCGAATGAACTAACTGCGTAAAGATCGAGGGATTAACTTAATAGCCCTGATTTGAGAACCAGAGTATATGGAAACTGATTAAATTAAAATTATTTTCATAATCATTAGTGAAATAAGATGTGAAATAAGATGCAAGAACTTCAGAAGTTCTTGCATACAATACAATTACTATGTAAAACGACACATCCCTGCAAAGAACTCTGAAAACATGAGCGATATAATATCGTCAAGATGTACACGTTAATGTGCTTAGTATACTAGAAAGCATGCATCTCAAGTTAACACATGTAATATGAAAGTTCTGAACATATTAATATAAGCAGGCGCGTACGCAGGATTTTTTTCCAAGGGGGGGGGGGGGGGGTTTTAATATTTATAAATCGGGCCGAAAATTTCGCAACGACTCAGCCAGCCGCTGAATAAGCGGGGGGGGGGGTAAGAGGACACTTTTTTTTTTTTTTTTTTTTTTTTTTAATAAAAAAAAAAATAAATAAAAAAAAAAAAAATCCAAAAGGGGGGGGGGGGGTTTTAGAGAAATTTAGGGGGGTTTACACACAAAAAATTACCAAAGGGGGGGGGGGGTTTAACCCCCCAACACCCCCCCCCCTGTGTACGCGCCTGAATATAAGTGTTAAAGGATATACGAAAACCATAGAATATATCATTATTTTCAAATCAAGCCGTGAAGGTGGTTCACATAACGGGCCTACCACTTTACGCGAGACTATTCTCGAGTATTGTGCATGGACAGTCTTGCAAAAGAGACTATGCAAACTTTACTTTGGTTGCTAAGGTGACGGAGTGGGGTTAGCATTGTTATGATCGGTCTGGTCTATCCACCTGTAAACATACACGGCCCGAAACGACATGCAACAGTGCTAGCTATAGTGCAGTATAAATTATTATTGATTTGTTTTAAGTCTTGGCCTGTACAACCGTTCCTTCCTCCATCGAGTCACAACTGTACATTATTTCTGTGTTCTGTCGTCCACGAGTTTTAGTGTGTTGACGGAACTTGAATATATATTATTATTATAAACTAAGGTAAGCAATATTTTCCACCAGGATTTGTTTCTATTAATTTATTCAGTCGTGTAACTTACTTGGTATACTTACTTCTCATGACTATTTATGCGATTATGTTCATTCTTAATACTTGACTATACTGCAAATTTGTTCAATCTTACGAACTTATTATTCTTGTGAAATGTAACGATAAATGCTGATAACAATTCTTCTGAACTCTGTCTCACTGTTACACGTAATTATCATTTCAAATTCAAATTTCTAACAAGTAACGTACATCCTGCCAATGATATTGAAAATACCGACTTGATGTAATAATATCTTAATACTAGATTTTTATTTGGCAAGTTTGATATTAGATCTCTCAAATTTATATCAACTATAAAAAACACAGTCTATAAAATTATGACATGTTCTAATTCTACCAAATGAGATGATTACATGGTGTATGTGTTGTTGTAATACCTCTGCATTGTGGTTTGTTTTACAAATAATGAGGTTCATTTATTTTGGTCATCACTATAGCTAAAGCAAGATGTCTTGTTTTTTTAAATTATTTATATAGATGCAGGAGAGGATATGAGGCTATTGAGGGCATCGTTCCCCTAAACAATACCAAGAGTCCTTTCTATTTCGACTGAGAAGAGTTTTCAGGGCAATAAAACAATATGGTAAGTGTGTTTAAAAAATATAAATCTTGGGGTAAATTTTAAATAAATTCCTCCAAAGAGGGTTATACCATCTAAACAAGGATATAATATTCATCTCTTCCTTACAGTTAAAAATAAAGTTTTCTAAATAAGTTGAATATGCTGATAGTGAATAGACACACTACAATAGAAATCAGAGTCATTTTATAATGTTGGGCTTACATTTAATTTTTTTAGATGGTCAATTGAGCCTTTTAGGGCCTATATAGTCAGAGACATCAAGGGAGGGGGAGTGGCTCCCAGTAATTTATTTTTACGCTACTTTTGTGACTAGCATGTTTGCCCCACCCCCCCCCCTTCTGACAACAATGGTGCCCCTGCACTGTATATATTAACAAACTTAGCTTTATATCATGTATTGTATTGAAATATGCAACCAAATTTTAATTTGAGTTATAAGTTCAGAGAAACTGGGACTTCAGACCTTAGCACATCATCCCTCCAAGAAAGAAAGAATGTTCTATAGATAGATTCCAGATAACATTCTTAATATGCATTTCATTTCTACCCTAAATTTTGGGGTAAAATAATTGTATTTGTTGTGATTTTCTCTTCAGGGTGGCAAGAAGGCATTCAGTCGGAGTGCCAAAGCTTTACCAAGAGGTCGGAGCAAGAGCCCCAAGAAAGGGGGTAAGAAGAAGTCTCGCTCAGCCTCACCCACAGCTAGGAAACCTGTAGACCTCATGAGTCCGGCTGCAATGTCAAACGCATACTACATCGCCCATGGGCCTGTGGACTTCCTAGAAATCAGGGGATTTGGCTGGCCAGATGCCCCCAAAGGGAAGAAAAAGAAGGGAAAGGCAAGAAGAAAAAGAAGTGAGAGTATTGTAATTTAGTAAAGATATTTAGATATGGTATGGTAAATAATTTCAAATTCCTGATTCAGAAGTAGAAGGGCCTCAAGTTAAGCTCAGTTTCCATTAAAATGAGATGGGCTGTAAACTCTTTGGTGACATGAATAAAAGTGTTATTATATATATAGTAACGCCCCAGTTTTCATTCACAAGCCAAAATATACACCAATTCTATTAATAATGAGAAGTGCTCCATGTGCTAGTTCGTACTTTGAGGCCCCAAAACATGCAATGGAAAGCAAGATACTTCTCAGAATGAGAGAGGTCTTATAAGTCATTTTTCAGCTATAGAATTAAAATGATGGGATTAATTTAAATTAGTCAGGAATTGTTCAGCAATTGGACATAACTAAACATTCTTCAACCAATGTCTTGCATAAGAGACAACATTTCTGAGAAATCTGGGAAATTAGCTTTACACAAAGCTCTAAAACTTTAAACACTGTTGAGCTCTGATTTATGCGAAGGGCCCTTCTTATTCTCAACCAACGATATGTTTCACAAAATTTCTCAGTCTAATAGCTGGAAGTTTACTGGACTGACAGCATTATATTTTGAAAGCTTATATCACTGTACTGGCAACCAAGCTACGGTAAATTACTGTTATTTTTTATTTGTATAATTATCATTCAATGAAAATGTAACTTGAGGGCAGTACTTATGTTAATTTTAATTACAATGGCATATAATATTATAAGTAGATATACTCAGTTTATGTAGCTTGTATTCATTTGAATTCTCTTTTTAGCTTAAAGTCTTGTAGTTTTATAAAGAAACTTCATTGTAGAGAGAGGAGGAGCTAAAAGAATATGCAATGGGCATAGTAAACCTCTTGCCTAATATGAATATGTGTGCATTATCATTGTGAGATGATCAAAGCTTTGCAATGTTTAATTCACATTCTACTGCTTTCTTAAAATATTTTGTCACATGAATGCCTATATTAGAACTTCAGCAAATATTCTATTTTTAAATGAACATTAGTTTCTCTTGAGATTACCAATAGATACTAGTGCTGTATTTCTATTGCAAAAAAACATTCAAAAATATTTTAATTTTCAGCCTATATCGTTTGTCCAACAAGAGATTATTACTTAGTACGATATTTACATGTATGACCTATCTTTTTGTTTCTTTTCCATATTTTGGTTGTGCTATCTCAGGGGATATATCATTTATGGCTCATTTAACAATACATTCAATTAATAGGGGTATAGCATGCAGCTTAAGAACACTTAAATGAAGAATTTAGACATGGAATAAATACTCTTGAACCTAAACTGTAAACTACATGCTTGGAAATTAATGCTGAGAAAGACATTGGTGGATCACATGCATTATTCTTCTCATACAACTGCAGAAGAGAATTCAATTATCCGTCTTTTCATTACAAACAAACGTTTAGAAATATGTTTTTTCAATATTTTGTGTTTTTTCATGCATTATTTTTTCCATTGCCAAGTTTCAATTATCTGTACATTGCTCAAATATATAAGAATAAGATTGAAATGTATAAGTGTATTTTTAGGAAGTTTATTTCTGAAAATTTTGCCTTAAGGGCATTAGTGATCCTTTTTAGTGAGCAAAACATTAATAATGTATTGATAGTCCTATACATTTTCAGAAAATGTGCACACAGAAAAATGTGTACACAGTTACTGCACTAAAGTTTTTTAATGTTAATTTGCATACCTCCATTATTGTTTTTAAGTCGGGTACGTTCACTGGTTACATAGATCTTACGTGGATCTTAATATAGATGCTGCTTACTGATTTTGAATTCATATACTTTTATACTTTTTATACAGCAAAAATCACTAGGAATATAATGACATCTACCTTTTCATTTTGCCACACGCTTGTGCTATAAAGTGTAAGCATTTGTGATTTAAGGTTATGTGAAATTGTATTTTTTGATACTATGCCCTATACCTCCAGTCTAAACATGATTTTTCTTTACAGTTTAGTTCATTAATTTATAGAAATTATGTTTGACATATGACTGACTATTAAAGCTGCAAATTCCACGCAAGACTCGTGGATTAATATGCCAAAATCTGTGGTCTGTATAATTTTATATTCGGGCAACCAAGTGGCATAAACACAACGACTGTATTATCTGTGTGTGTACATTTATGTAATAAAATTCATGACATATGTAATCCAAACTAATATGAGTGGTCTCATACTCTGTAACGTTTCAACTTTTTAAATACGGATGGAGATTATGGCATGCAGTACCCCACCATCAGGTAGCGATGAATTAAGCTAAAAAAAGTTATGAGTTTCTCGTCCCCACCCGCCTCCTTTTGTTTACTATTTACTATACAGAAGAAGGAAAAAAAAGGCTGTTTACATGTTTCACTGTTTCTGAATAATACAAATCATTTGTTTTGGCATAAATTGCATCACTACTCAAATAGCACAATATCTGTAAATAAATATACCTTGGCTAGCCATTATTTAGCATGGTGGCCATTTTGGAAAAAATAAGAATATGACTATAGCGCTGCCTCCTCCTTTAAAAAAAAGTCCGGACGAGAAACTCCTTACTTTTGTTACTTGGCCTTAAATTATGAATTATAGGCCGATTATTTATGTTTCTTTTTCCTGTATGGGCTTACGCACATGTGTGTGTGTGTGTGTGTGTGTGTGCGAGGAGAATGTGTAATGAACTACCCCCCCCCAAAAAAAAAAAAAAAAAAAATAAATAAATAAATAAATAAATAAATAAATTAAAAAAATATTCAAAAAAATAAATAAATAGATAAATAAATGAATCTATCAATTAAAATATATATATATATATATATATATGATAATAATAATAAAATATATTAAAAAATAAATAAACAAATAAATAAATGAATCTATCAATTAATATATATATATATATATATATATGATAATAATAATAATAAAATGAATACAAAAATAAAACATACATACAACCATATGAATGAACAATACTTTCATCTAAAAATATGTCATCCACTCACACAAAAAGATAATTCGATATCAATGTTGACAACATTATACTCCAAAAGATTGTTTAGCAGTGGGCTGAACTATCTTTACTGCTAAGCAATAACTATATTATAATAAATGATGAAGTTGAATTCCCCACAAAATACAAAAAGACAAAGAAGATGCAATAAATTATAAACAATTCATTGCAATTTCCCCCGGTCCCCAAAAGGAAATATTCCACTGTAGGGCCACGCATTATGGTTCAAGGCATGGCCTTATAGAGGATTTTTTTCTTCTGTCGGGGATCTGGGCAAAATGCAATGAATTATTGATAATTCATTGCATTTTCTTTTTGTGTTGTTGTATTTGTGGGGCCGCTGGGGCGGCCCTGTACCCTAGCTCCTGTCATGATTCAGTGGCTAAGCAATGGCCTCGTTACTGCGAGGCCCATGATCAAAACCGTGTCGAGGCATTAAACCTCATTACTTTTAATAATGACTTAAGGACATGTGTCCTCTAGTTTTATTTCAATGTTGGCTCAGTGGTAAGTGGAATGATTTTTTCATTGTCAATTCTGTTGGTTGTAAATGGCAAATACTTTAATATAGGTTTTCCCGCATTTGGGCAGTCGTTTATTTTATTTTTTAATTTTTTTTTACTGTTCAAGTTCTTTGCAATCTGCATCTTTTTGAATATATTATGTTAACTTTATGTACCTTACTACCTTGAAATGGGACCTTTGCCTTATATTGACATATCTCATTCCTCTGACAAACCGTCGGAGCCTTTAGTTGAAGTAAGAGCTCGTATATACGCATACATAATTGCTATGGCAGCGGCTCGAGGAGAGTACATGAATATCTCGAATAGAAAGAAAATAAATGATGAAAATAAACATGATGAAACTTTAAAAATGAAAATGAAATTACATAATTAAAAACAGTGAAGAAAATTAAATATGACGTGAAAAAATGCGCTAAGAATGAGAACTACAGAACTTGTTTATGCTAATTTAATTAGAACTTTCAAGTGCGAAGGTGTGTGCATATAAATTAAATTGAAATTGGTATTAAAGGTAATAAAGACCAGTATTGGCAACGCCCCAATTTCAAAAAATGAAATGGAAGCTCTCATTACCAATCATGTGAAAGAATATGTTTTGACTAATACATGATGATAAAAAATTTGCCGGGAAACCGCCTACTAATTCATATATTTGGTAAACTTATTTCTCTCATGGTCTGGTGAGAGAGATAGGGTAGTCCCATATACATCTTTCTGTGTATAGTGCTTGTAACTTTACGAAGAATGGGCCAAATTTCTTATCATTTTGATGATTCCAGAACCTTGCAGATACTAGATGCTAGATGATCAACCTTTTCTGATCGATTCCACAACGTTTCTTTCACAATGCAATCGCATGACCATTACTGGTCTTTACCTTTAAGAGCGAAATTGAATAACATTGACTTCGGGTCATTGAAATGAATGGATTTCTCTCTAAATGAATGAAATACAATTTAAAAGGAACGATATAAAACGAAATTGAATGTTAAAAGAATGAAAATGAACCATGATCGAGAGCAGAAAGTTGACAAAAATCGTTCAAACTTAAACACCTCTTCATGAATTCGAATGCAACCCGGGGCAGATTAGGGCTGATCCCCCCCGCCTCCCCCCCCCCACCCCGCTTTTTTCAGCGGCTGGCTGAGTCATTGCGATTTTTTTGGGACCAAAAAAAATAATATGTGTCCTCTTACCCCCCCCCCCCCCCCCCCCCCCCCCCCCGCTTATTCAGCGGCTGGCTGAGTCGTTGCGAATTTTTCGGCCCGATTTTAAAATGTTAACCCCCGGCCCCCCCTTGAAAAATCATGCGTCCGCTACTGATTTCACCCCATGCCATTTTGTGCCCCCCCCCCCGGTAAGAAATTCCTTGATCCGCCACTGGCAACTCTGATGATATTGGGCGGTAAAACCTAATTCGAAACAAACGGGAGAGAGGAAGTGGAATCACAAGTATTTTCTAGTGGACATGGTACCACTTTTCCACCTTCCCCACCCCTACACCCCCTACACTCACTCTCCAACCCTAAGAAATTTGCCAACCACGTCAACTTTGAGTATATACATTGTGTCCCGACATGTGTATTGCGAAAGGAAAGTAGAGAATAATGGTCGAGTAACTATACAATCAAATAAGAATAATAATAATATTTAAGTTTTATATAGCGCTTATTACAATAAGCGCTTTACAAATATACTACCCTGGTCATTGGATTCAGTGCTTGCCCGCCCACATTGTGTGCACGATCTCCACTCTCTGCAGGAGCATTCCAGCCAGGCGTTACATGACGCTCAAAAACTGTTTGACCAACAATAGCGGTCGCATCCTACCGGGTACCCATGTAACACCTGGGTGGAGAGTAGCAAGTGCAGGTTAATATCTTGCCAAAGGATATTAAAGTTTTCATTTGGTGTCCTCGTGTGTTTGTAATTCAGTTTTACCGTTATGCTTTGTTGCAATTTATCAGGCGCGGATCAACGGCCCGATTTTACCGGGCCCCTAGCCCCCCCCCCAAAAAAAAAAACGGTAAAAAATAGGATACGAACGTAAATTTTACCTTTGAAAAAAAAAAAAAAAAAAATCGGGCCCCCTGACCCCCCCCCCCCAAAAAAAAATATATATATATATATATTGTCGGTCAAATTGCGCTGCCGTCGGGAAAATGAGAAAAGGGGGAGGGAAAAAACGAGACGGAAACGGAAAGAAAAGAGCAAAAGAAAATGAAAAGAAAAGAAAGAAAGGAAAAGAAAGGAAAGAAAGGAAAGAAAGGAAAGAGAAGAAATAAAGAGAAGAAAAAAAAAGAAAAAGAGGAAGGAGAGGAAAGAAAGGAAAAGAAAGAAAAGAGAAGGAAAAAAACGGAGAAAGGAAAAATGAGAGAAAAGATAAAAAGAAACGGGGATGAAAAGAGGAGGGGGGGGGGTAAGAGTCTGAGAGAGGAGGGGTGAGAGTAAAAGAGAGAAAAGTTTGAAGTCGATGAGATATTTCTCGAAATTTCACCTTCCTAAAATATCTGCAAAAATAAATCAGAGTTCGAGAACGGTACAACGAACCGTCTTCTTTCTCTAATAATTTAAGGAAACGTCGACGGTAAACTGACTTCAGTCAATGATGGGTACAACCAGGCGCGTACACAGGGGGGGGGGGGGGGGGGGTTGGGGGGGTTAAACCCCCCCCCTTTGGTAATTTTTTGTGTGTAAACCCCCCCTAAATTTCCCTAAACCCCCCCCCCCCTTAATTAAAAAAAAAAAAAAAAAAATTCCCATGGCCGACCTCAAAAAGATGACCTTACCCCCCCCCCCAACGGAGCAAAATGTCAAATTTTCAAATTTCGATACCCAAAAAAAAAAAAAAAGTGTCCTCTTTGTTTTTAAAAAATATTGCTGATACTTTAACCATGAGCGGTTTAAGAAGATTTTTTTATAGGGTGGGCGGGGCTTTTTAGAGGCTTGGGTGTCATTGTTTTGGGGAACTTGAAGGAATTTGGAAAGTCGTAACCCCCCACCCCCCCCCCCCCCTAGAACCACTATTGCCACTAAAAAACGTTCCGAGTAATCCGGATAAAAGTTGGTAGCAGACATGTCTACAATGCACTTTGCCAATCGACCCATGCACCCCACCGGCACAGAGTACCCACCCCAGCACTCGAACCGGTTTTTCAGAGTGCATGCAGCTCGCAGCGCAGGCAGGCGATCGAAGCGCATATCGCTGTACAACATACACTTCAATATTGCGCATAATGCATTGCCTGTACTGTACTAGCTAGCTACACACACGTACGCACCTCACACGTACACGTTCATTATGCTCAGTAGTCGTTGTTTTTCGAACGGTGTGCGCATGTGAAAATCATCACAGAGGACAAATATTTGGACCGTTTTTCTCGCTATTCATTTGGTATGTCAGCTATTTCAATGCTACAGTGATTATCATTAATTATCATGCTTTTCTTGTGTGTAATTCTTAATATTTTCAGTAATTGAATAAGTGTGTTATTTGTAAGGAATCGCAATGAAACTTCATTTTTTTGTCTTCATTCAGGATCTGCGCAGTCGCAATATCCGCCATTTTGGTCTCGAACTTGCCGTGCTTTGCATTGTCGAGGCTGAAATTAGCATTTTTTTGTATGAAATGAATGATGGAGCTTCACTCGTGTCAATTTTTGCCTCCTTTTAAAGGGTTAAATGTCGTGAATACTCTGAAAGCTTGCCGCGCCTAATGAAATTTAAAAGGTCTAACAATGCCTCTCCGGTCTCGGTGTAACGTTTCAGAAAACTCGGAAGTTTGATCGACAACGATTTAGAAAAAGCACTTGGCGTTTCCCCAAATCCGCGCTTTAAACCTCATATATTCAGATAATTGTTAGTTAATGGCACTAGATGATCCATACTATACGAAATCAATTGCCAGTCCGAATTCTGAATGAGAGTGAAGACCACAATTTTATCGGATGGTGGTGATTTGGGTAGATTCGTTTGGTCCTCTCTGTGTAGGTTAATGGTTCGCCAACTGTTATTTGAGTCTGCGCGATGAGACGAGCTGCTCCAACAGCTTTCTGCGCCGGTGCTTCCCCGGCTCTGTCTACTACGCAGTCGCAAGAGATAGAGCTAGAGATATATGTGCTCAGAAAACTTCTGAGCAATATTGTTGAAAGAACTTTTGTATTTTTGTATACCGGACAGCACGTGCTCCGATCCGAGCTCGAGCTCCCATCCATTCCCATCGCGATTTCTTCTTTCTAAATTATCAATGGGGAAAAAGATAATCTTTAGATAAAGATCTTGCCAGTAATTATTATGGGCATATCCTGATAGGCCTATGGCCATTTTTTGGCATTACATTGGCATCCTCTTGATCCGGTATGGAGATCGATAGGGAGACAAATTGAGCGAGTTATCTGACTTAGATTTGGCCGAATGTATGTAGACTAGACTATGTGGGAATGTCCATCTGTAGTAAAAGTTAACTAGGCCTATCTAGGCCAAGTGCAAAATGGTCGCCGTGATGTAAACGAAGGACACGAATGAACTCATTATGTGGCCAGATAGTCATTACTACTAGACCCTATTACTAGATCTAGTACGTCTACTAGCGAGCAGCTCACTCGGGATGCTAAGGGCTAAGGCTATAGCCAGCCTACTACAACTGTAGTCTACTGTGATGAATGATATGTGACTCATCAGGAGCGTGATCATGGCCAATTGGCCATAGGCCTACGGCAAGTCAAGAGCAAGGCTCAGTCCAGATTGCAGAGGAGATGGAAAGAATCCTCACCAAATATCTTGTCTGGGTAGGCCTAAACAACTTGTCCCAGAGGCAAGCCCGTTTTTAAATTATAGTAACAAACTAGATCTAGGCCTAGACCTATAAAGGATTAAAGACACATTTTTTAAATATACAAATGTAGTTATAAGTTATCTTCTGGACTTGAGAGTTGAGATGGTTTATTTGCTAGTAAAAAGAAAATTTAGTGTGACACTAATTTGTCTTCAATTAATCACGATTCATGTTCACTTAATTTCATGTCTAGGATATTTGGTGATCCATCAATGTTTACACTACCATGTCTAGTGAATAGGAAAGCTAATGTAGACTAATTTACTTCTACTTCTACTTCTATGGTAATACTTATCATCGCCTGTTCAGCATCTAGATGAGGGTAAAGCATATAGAGTTGTTTTATACAGCTCTATTTAGATTTATTTGTAGGTGATATACTAGCCTACAGACATATGTCTAGTTACTGGTACATGTAATATAAGTAGGTAGCAAAAAGTTGGTAAGATTTTAGAGTTTCCAATATAATATATGTAACTTTTACTTTATTTTTACTCCCTGTGTAAGGGTGATGGCCCAGAAACTCTGGTCTGTAACTAAGGCAGTATGAAGTATATGGGACATCTGGTCACCCTGACCTAACGCCCCTGTTAGTGTTACCCCATTATTATGGAATAAATGTTGATGTGAATTGTGAAGTAACATTTTAACATAACCTACAACTGAGACTTCATCTCAACTTTGTCACAAAGACTTACGGTATGCGGGAATATTTGAATAATTGGAGGTGCATTGGGAAATATTGTGCAAAGCGTTATAAAATAGCTACTCGGATATATACACAGGTTGCATGGTGGGACCCAACAGCACTGGTAGTGGTACCAGGGAAAAAATTAATGTTTATTTTTCGGGGGCTACTTTTCAAGCTTGCCTGCATAAAAATAACACTCTAAAATTTGTTTTGCCTTGAACTTTATGCAAATTTACGGGGGCTCTTTTCTGATTTTGGGGCATTTCGGGGGCAAATTCGCTGAGTGGTACACTACACTGATTGTAATATTACTCCAAAAACAAGGGAAAATAGTAAAATACAAACAAAATCTTTGAACAGTATGAGTTTTGGACTGCATGATCTTCCATTTCTTCAAATTCCAATATTTATTATTGTTAGTTAACTCAGTTTATTGACTTCAATCACACAGTTTTAATTACTACATTATTTGTAATATGTTCTTTGAAGTTTGATTAACGATTATATTAACGATCTACATGTTGTACATCAGGCCAGTGCTAGAATTTGCAGCACCTGTTTGGACATCAGGGATCACAAACAACCACTCTGTAAGCATCGAGCGAGTTCAGAGGAGAGCTCTTAGGATTATTACCTACCCTGACTCTAGAACTTATGATGAACTGCAATCTCATCTTGGTGTCTCCTCTCTTAAAGAGAGACGCACATCCCTTTCTCTAAGATTTGCAGAATCACTTCTCCAATCTAAGGTTCATCGACATCTCCTGCCTGAGAGCAGAGTTAATGACTGTAGCCGCATTCTGCGAAATGCACTTGATTTGTCCTTGCCTAAGATGAGAACTACGAGGTACCGAACTTCCCCCATCCCATCTTTCACTCGATCTTTGAATAATAATAAATAGAGGCTTAGGTAATTATCAGTATGTTGTATGTCATGTATATCAGCAATAATATAATTATGTGCAATATTAATTGTCATGATGATTGGCACAGCAGGTTCTTCCATTCATTCATATTTTGATGTTGCATGTACTTTTATCCTTCCTCTCACTCTCTCATCCCTTTTCTCTATCTGAACTTGCCACTTTTCAAATTTCCTTTTCTTCTTCAGTTCTGATCTTTCCTCTCTATTTCTATTTCACTCCCATCCCCTCTCTCTCAGCTCTGTCTCTCTCTCTCTCTCTCTCTCTTTGCTCTCTCTGCCTCTTCCTCCTTATCCCTTTGTCTCTCCTTCCTCCCCTCTGTTTCTCTCTCCCACTTTCTGTCCCTCCCTCCTCTCCACCTCTTTTCTCTTATGATGTTTTACAGTACAACATTCTATAATTATATTTCTATAATTATATGTTATTTTTACTGTGACCAATAACACCTAAGGAATTCCATTTTTTTTTGAAAATAATGATAAATTGAGGCTTAGGTAATTATCAGTATGTTATACATGTATGTCATGTATTTCAGCAATATAATTATGTGCAATATTAACTGCCATGATGATTGGCAAAGCGGGTTCTTCCATTCATTCGTATTTTGATATTGCATGTACTTTTATCTTCCTCTCACTCCCTCATTCCTTTTTTCTATTCGAACTTGCTTCTTTTCAAATTTCCTTTTCTCTTCTTCAGTTCTGGTCTTTCCTCTTTATTCTTTATTTCACTCCCATTCCCTCTCTCTCAGCTCTATGTCTGTCTGTCTCTCTCTCTCTCTGCCTCTTCCTCTTACTCCCTTCATCTCTTCTTCCTCCTCTCTGTTTCTCTCTCTCACTTTCTGTCTCTCCCTCCTCTTCTCCACCTCATTCTCTTCTGATGATGTTTTACAGTACAACATTCTTTAATTATCTGCTATTCTTACTGTAACCAATAATACCTAAGGAATTCCATTGTTCTCAAGTGCAATATGTTTATACATTATACTGTACTCATATCACGCTTGTGATTAGCACACTGCCAAGACTCCGATTGTAATACTATTTAATACTTTTTAATACTTTTTAATACTCAATATTTAATACTCAATACTCAATACTTAATTACAATTTTTCCAATGTTACAGTTAATTGAATTCAAGTATCTGTATACATTTTATTTGTTTATATGTCAACATTTATTCATTTTTGCTAGCAATATTTCATATCTTGTATTTAAAAAAAAAAAAAATTTTGTTTTGTTTTTTTGTTACTACTTTAATGTTTTTAACTTAAAAATGTATTCATTGTTATATATTTGTCCTCATTTACTATGTTATCTTTATGTTTTTGAATGTTTTTTTATATTGATGTAAACTTGCATTTTTAGTCTTCGGACTTGTTGACAAGTAATGAATAAAACCTTATTTGAACTTGAACTTGAAATATGGTTATCATCTTTTTCTTCAGGAGGATATAAAAACTCAATATGATGATCAGTGAAGATATCAGTGAGCCGTCCTCCCCGGACACGCCGTTTGATGATTCAGACTTGCTTAATTCAAGTATGACGGATGATGTCTCTGCACAATTAGCAGCATCTGGTAAGTTCTCCTAAGGTTTTCTTTTTCTTTCTATGCCTCCGCTAATTTTCAAATTTCGATACAAAAAAAAAAAAAAGTGTCCTCTTACCCCCCCCCCCCCCCCCCCCCCCCCCCCACTGAGCGACTTTTCGGTTGGCTGAGCCGTTGCGATTTTTTTTTTGGACTACCAAAAAAAAAAGAAAAAAAGTGTCCGCTTACCCCCCCCCCCCCACTGAGCGACTTTTTGGCCGGCGCGATTTTCAAATTTTCGGGAGCAAAATATTTTGGGCCAGATTTTAAAACCCCCCCTTGAAAAAATCCTGCGTACGCCCCTGAGCCGGAGGCATTAATGTTTTCGGGTTGTCCGCCTGTACGTCCCGTTCTCGTTATCAGAGCGTTATCTCAAGAACCGATTGATGGATTACCACCAAACTTTGGTCAAACTTAGGTCATGTTTGTATTTTGCAGAGCCAATAAACTTATTAGATTTTAGGGTCATGAGGTCAGAGATTAAAGGGCCATAAATGTATGAAAAATAACTTGTAATCACAATATTCTGAAACCTGTTGATGGATTACAATCAAACTAAAAATTGCTTCTGTTGTGGTTTGTAAAATCGCTCTATGGCGGAGGCATCATTTTCGACTGCATGCAGTCGAAGATCCATCTACTTTTGAATAGAATAGAATTTTTTTCAGACAGTAGGTATCAAATTATCAGTTTTCTTTCCCAAGCCTCAAACTTTATCTTAATGGATCTAATGGAAATAAGCAGTCAACACTCCAGTCACTGCTACTTTTTTAAAGTATAGTGAGTACTGATATTCATATGTAGTTAGCAAGTATAATCAGTACATATTGACACAATCAATTTCATTAAGAAATGTTGATTTAAAGTTTAAACCAACATATTGAATTCACTTTTAATTTGAAAGAAAAATCATGATCCCTGCCGGTAATGTAGATGACTATTGAGTAACAGAAGAAAATTTTATCAGCTCATACTTTCATTACTGGTACAGGTATTTTGTTATTTGCATTGACCAAACAGTTAATTTCAGTCTTTTTACCATATTCTCTCACTTTATCAGACATTTGCAGTCCCCCTGTTGATAACAAATAAATTTGTATACCTTTATGTATGAGTTGAGAGACAAAAAACAAGAATTTAGCTGTTATAACAAATATTTGCCATGAGTAATACTTGTGGATGTCATGAATTTGTGTTTTCAGGTCCTATAGGCGTAGCTGCTGCTGCAGCCATAGCAACAGGGAAGAAACGCAAGAGACCGCATTCTTTTGAGACAAATCCTTCCATTCGGCGTCGCCAACAAACAAGATTGATCAGGTTTGTATTTTTTGTAATGTCTTTCATCAAACTATTTATCATGAAACAATTTATCCCCTTTGTCTAAGCTTCTATGTGGACAATTTTCTAAGACTTGCATGAACCAAGGAAGTGTTTTTTTTAAATAATTTCATACAATTAGTTACCTTCTCCACCCACCAGTTATTCAGATAATTTGTAAATGTTTATTGTTAAGTGAAGTTGATGCAATATTTTTTGATTTCAGCAGTCTGCTGAAAGAGAAAGGTTCTTTCAATAATAATAATAGTGGGTTCTTGTTTAGCGCTCATGTCAGTCAGATTTGACCCTCCTGGCACTCCCGATTATTATCATGCAAGACAAGTAATAAACAACTTTATTCTATGAGCAGTTCTAATGATTCTGCCATTTTGACATACAGTGTAGTCCTAGTTTAATAGTAATGACACGCTGCTCAAAATTTTACAGGTGTTTATCAAGGGACTGTGATATCATTTTTTATTTACCATGGATTTTTGAAGAGTTAATTTAAAGAGAGAAATTTTAAGTCTCGATCTTTTTTTGTTTTTGTTTTGTTTGTTACTTTATCTATTTTTGCCATTTTTTTAATCAGACCTTGTAACAGTTAAATGAATGTGCCCATTCAAGCGTGAAAGTTCAAAACTTGATCTCAATTGATTTTGGTAGAGTATTATTTTTCCTTTAATTCGATATACATATTTAATTTAACAGTTAAGAGTGTCTACTTGCATTTTATGCTGAGTGTATTACCTTCATTTATCATCATTATTGTAGGAAGCTGAAAGCAACCATTGATGAGTATGCAACCAGAGTAGGGCAGCAAGCTGTCGTTCTAACCTGTACTCCTGGCAAACATGATGGCAATTTCAAAGTATTTGGTGCTGCTCCCCTGGAAAATATTGTAAGTATTGCATGTTAGTTGTGGAGAAAAAAAGTTTCCATTTCTTTAAAATACCTCTCCGATTAAAAAGCAAATTATAAAGTGGGTACCTATCAATTTAATGATAACAATATTTTGTTTAAATAAAAGTTTTTAATAAGATACTTTGAATGTGTAAAATAATTAAACATACCTCACTTTGCATGATAATATAAAAAGATTTTTTTTTTTATGGGAATTTGAATAGTGCTGTAAATGACTTGTACTCTTTTCACACTTGTTTTGCTTAACCCCGTACTTTGCTTAGCCCCGAACTATCCTTAACCCCGGACTAACTTTTTTTGGCTTTTCTCACTGCAATTCCTTAGCCCCTTATTAGCCATAGCGTGAATATTCATTAATTCGTTCCACTGCGTAGTCCCGGACTATTTTTCGTTTCTGTTCTCATTCATTTGCTTGGCACCGCAATTGCGGAGTTCGCAGGAATTAGCACCACAATTGCGGGGTTAGCCCTGCTATTTAGCAGGGCCAGCTAACCCCGTACTATAGGTGGGGCTAGCCCACTTTGGTAAATATGAGTCTGAACAGAAAGTGGAATAAGCTTAACCACGGACTATAGGTGGGGCTAAGACCCCTCTTTAACCCTACCTATAGGACGGGGTTAAGCAAATTTTTGCCAGTGTGAAAAGAAAGTTGAATAAGCTTAACCCCGGACTATAGGTGGGGCTAAACCCCCCCCTTTAACCCCACCTACAGTATGGGGTCAAGCAACATTTTGCCAGTGTGAAAAGAAAGTGGAATAAGCTTAACCCCGGACTATAGGTGGGGCTAAGATACCCTTTAACCCTATTTAGCCCGGGCTATTTTGAAACTGCATAGCCCAGGGGGGGCTTCTCAGGCCCCCCCCTGTGATCTCGGCCGTGAAACGCCCGATCGCCGCGAAAATTTGCATACATGTCAAGTGAAGTGTATAGAATACTATGGTAATTTCAATTTTTTTGAAAAATTCACTCATTTGCATATTTATGGTAATTTATGCAAATAAGGTCATTAAATTCACATTTTTGCCCATAAATCAGACATTATTCATATTTAAGCATTCTTTCTCACTACATATATTTGTTAGACCATTTGGAATAATAATACAACACAAAAATTTGAAAAACCAGGGTTATTCCTTATGTTATCTATTGTTTTGATAATTTCTTATGTATTTCCTTGTTTTTTTAACTTATGTATTTTATTGTTTTTGTTGTTTTATTTCATTTCCAACTATAATTCAACTATTTTGACCCCAAAATAAACACCTAAAATCTAAACAAGACCAAATAACCAATGTTTTACCTCTTTATTTGAAAAATGAGATTTCCATATGTTTTGTACACAAATCACAAAAATGAGCGATTTTCGGGCTGACATGCGAAGACAAAAGGACACGTGACTTTGTAATGGTAGGTCCGATTTTCGAAAAATTTCTTTCAAAAGTTGCGCAAGACTCGAAAGAAAAAAGTCACAAAATTTCAGTGCAAGATTTTCTTGCGTTAAAAAATTATCGCGAAAAATGTCGAGGGGGGGCTTCTCAAGCCCCCCCCCCCCCCGGGCTAAATAGGGTTAACCCCACCTATAGTACGGGGTTAAGCAAAATATTGCAAGTGTGAAAACAGTAATAGTGTGCGCAAAATCCGCAAATTGTATATTTTATATGACAGCATTTGGGATGGTCAGATAAAATTGACCCTCCCACTTCCCCCTGTGTTTCATCACAATAAAAAAGCTGGGCATTTTCATGAAAAAATATGATTCTAGAGTACCAGTTTGAAGACAAGTTTATACTTGTTTTGTGGAATTGGAAGTTTGGTGAACTACATGTATACATGATGAAATAGGCAGTGAAAATAAATGGTATGGATTCTTCGTTGTGATTATGATATTGGAATTTAGATCTACATGTCGGCAGTGTATATGATGTTATAAAAACTAGTGGATTCTTCTGAGTACTTCATGAGGAAACCTTGCCCTCTCTGATGCATATCTGTCAAATATGTATTTTGAAACTTCCTTAACCAAGCAACTTTCATGATTTTTTAAAAATATTGTATCTTTCGTTTCATTGTTTTCATGACGTTTAGATGAGAAACTTGAAGGGAATAGTCCTACAAGACCTTGACAATGCCTTGGCACAGAGAGCCCCCCAGCCGTCTAATGAGAATTCAGACCTGTATGAGCTACCTCCTCTGGTCATCGATGGCATTCCTACATCAGTCAACAAGATGACCCAAGCCCAGCTAAGGGCATTTATACCTCTCATGCTTAAGTACTCAACGGGAAGAGGGAAGCCAGGATGGGGAAAGGAGAGCTGCAGGCCAGTATGGTGGCCATCTGACCTGCCATGGGCTAATGTGAGAAGTGATGTCAGATCAGAAGATGAAAAGAGAAAGGTAAACAAGAGTATGCATGGAGCTCATTCCATTGGCAGGGTATCAACATTATTAGACCAGCTTACATAGTTCAAATGATCAAACATTTGATCCAGGACATGGGTTGGAAATAGACTAACTAAATTTACTTCATAAAAAAAAAGAAGGTAATAATGGTTAATTTGGTAGAAAACATAGATTTGTGTAGATTAGCAAAGATTTGAGTGTATATGATGTTAACCAAACTAGTGGAACCTTCTGAGTACTTCATGAGGAAAACACTTGCCCTCTCTGATACACCCAAGTTCTGTATGTCCTGTTGATTTTAATGGCTTTTGTATATGTGACCAGGCACCACAAAAACATAAAAAAGATGCATAGTGTGATTTTTAGTTATGACTTAAAGGTGCTTTTGGTCAGGATGGTCAAATTTTACTTGTTAGTATTTCCTGAAAGAATGTACTCTCTTCTATGTAATTCCCAACTTAGCAATCATAAAATAATGTAAAAGTAGTATTTGGGGCATTTTTGTAGCCCTGTTTTTGTCTGATCTTGAGTTTGTTGTAGTAATTTCAATTTCTTTATGACCCTAGCTACACTGCTCTTATTGATCTCCTATTATAACTTCAAAATAGAGTAAGCTGCTGGATTGATACTTAGTCAAAATAAAGAAAAGCATGTACTTAAATTGGCCTGCTAATTTTGAGGACAATTTGATAATCCCTTCACAATTTTTGTATACAGTTTCTAATCCTCTTGTTATCACCTTGCACAGCACCTTGTGAGTCGAGAGTGCCTGAAAAGACTACAGACTTAAAACCCCTGCTAACACCTTTTTTCCTCTTAAGTAACATTCTATAAGACTTGACATTCTTCTCATTTTTAATCGGGTTTGGAACATCCAACTGTGATGAGCTACATGTATATATCATTTGAAAGCTGAGATTCTTTTTTCGAGGCAAACCTATACTTAAAAAAATCATATCTGGTGACTGTTTTGTGCCTGGTGATATATATATTATCTTCAAAAAAATCTAATTCTAGATTGTTCTTTTAGTTAGGACTTAATGTTTGCAACGTATTGTCTACATTTACAGGTTTCATGGACCCACGCTTTGCGTACGATTGTCATCAACTGCTACAAGCATCATGGAAGGGATGACCTCTTGCCAGAGTTTATTGAAGATAAGTGCAAGGAGATAGAGGCCTCTCAAAACCAGGTTGCTTCACTACCGACAGCAACCCTACTACCATCCCATGCTGTGGTACACACAATCAACAACCCTGATGGGACAGTCTCCCTTATCCAGGTTGATACAGGAGCTACTGTAGCAACCCTGGCGGATGTTACGGTAATAATTTCTCTATACCTAATCTTAGAAAATAAAGAGTATTTTAAGAAAAATTAAGATGTCTGGAATAATCTCGGTCAATAAATTGTGATAAAATGAGTTTTATTATCTGAGTCTTCATAATAGATACATTTAGATGTGATAATAATTACAGGATGTTAGTATGTTCGATCAGGTAGCTGACAACTTCATATGCTACAATATCAGATTTGATATTTTGAACATTGGCCAATTTTCAATGCAGGTAATATTGGCATTCCGGTGATTTGAGATGTATATGATGTTAACCAAACTAGTGGAACCTTCTGAGTACTTCATGAGGAAAACACTTGCCCTCTCTGATACATCTGTCAAATACAGTACAAAGAAAGCACTTTTCATACACTATTTAAAAGATTTCTACAATTGTGCATGAAACATGGAGGCAACCATCATTTTAGGAGAAGAGTACCTATTTGGGCTTTAGGGAACCATTGAAGTTGCAGATTTTTAAAATTTTGGAAATAATCTATGAATTAGTAATTGTACATATTTAAATAGCTTACGGAATGAGAAGTTTAGCAGTTTTATTTGCATTCGATATTGATGAGCTAATGTAGTTTTATTGCTAATTTGTCAATATTTACTGTATTTTGCTACCTTCAGCAAGTACAACAGTTAACCAATCTTCAGACTCTTCAGCAAGTAAGACTTCAGCCTCTGCAGATTCAGCATGCACTAGGCAATCAGCAAGCAGAGGCTACACAAGCTGTACAGACTCTGGCTGAGGTAGCTGCTGCACAAGGAGGAGATGTAAGATAATGCCTTATGCGTTTGTGTTTGTGTGTGTTTGGGGTGCAAGTACACATTTCCGTACAATTCTGTGGAAAAACTAAATCACTTGCATAGGAGAATAGAAGTGCTGGCTTGGGGAATATGTAGAGAGAGGGAACAGAGTGAAAGCACAACTTTGCAAGTACATACAAATGTACATGCATCTAGCATAGATGCATGCACTGAAACAGCTGGTCTATTAGTATGGATGTTCCTTGTAATTTTATATACAAACTTGTATCTTATACATCTGTTGGTGTAAAACAGACAGATGATTATGATATGATAGGATTTGATTCTTTTGTGTGGAGGGGGGGGGGGGGGGGTGATATGAGACTGCATTGCCCCTGATATAATCATATGGTGTGTGTTTCTAGGGCAATACAGTGTAATGTCATCCCTCAAAGCCATTCCATATAATGTAAACGCTGTATTAAAAAATATATGAATACAGAAAGTTAGGCCTACTGAAAGTGTATGTGATGATATCCAAACTAGTGGACTCTTCTGAGTACTTCATGAGGAAAACACTTGCCCTCTCTGATACATCTGTCAGATATTAGTACATGTTCAGTTGCAAAGAAATATGAAATGCCTTATTTTCTTTCCTGTCAGCCTTTTGTAGCCTTATTTTTTACATTTCGAGTGAAAATTAAGCCCAATCCAATCTGGGTTCATGTCTGATGTTTAACCGCCTCTAACATTTGCTATTGACACAGTGAGAAATAATATATATCATGTGTTTCTCAGAACGACCATTAAGAGTTGTACATGTATTGTATGTCCCACAATCTGTGCATATATCAGGGCGAGTTGACTGAAGGGCAAACAGTAACCACATTGCCAGAGGGCACTCAACTTGTTCTAGCAAGCGATGGATCGCTCCAAGCTATAAATGATGGCACAGCACAAGGTAAGAATCAAGGCTGCTTTATATTCAACTTATTGTCTGTCAAGAGTCAGAAAGGCATTCATTCTATGCACAAGTCAAGTGTATGAGTTAAGGCTGTTCTCAATATGATTTTTGTTGCAGTTTTTGCATTAAATACAACTTTGTTCTCATCTTGAAATGCTTCCCCCCCCCCCCTCTTTTTAATACATTATATGTACGTGTAACTTCTTTCATACCCTGATTTTGTGACCTACTGGATCAGAAATCTCTGCACATACTGTCACACATGGACTAGTTGAGCAATTTTCTAGAGTTACCAAATAGGAAAGCTTTGTAATTTTGATATGCTTGTAAGATGATATTGAATTGGCAGTGTATATGATGTTAACCAAACTAGTGGATTTTTCTGAGTACTTCATGAAGAAAACTCTTGCCCTCTCTGATACATCTTGTCAAATTATTCAAAGCGATCAGAAGCAAATGATTTGACCAGCTGGATTAGGCACAATCTGCTTAAATATGACATAACATGATCCTCAAATTGGGTCCTTAATCTACATAATATTTGTCATTACTTTAGTGAATGTTCAGTACTTCAGTTGCATACTTAGATATTGTTAATTAATCATTCAAAATAAATCTTTGTTGATTTTCCTATTCTTCAGGTATTGTTATCCCGGCTTCGGTGTACCAGACAGTTGTAGCAGGAGATGGACAGCCCATTCAGATCGCAAATGTGAATATTGCTCAGCAGAGTGGCGGAGGAACCACTATGGCAGCTATTAAGAATGCTGTCATGCAATCCCAGCCAATCCCTTCTCAAGTAGCTACTCTAGTAGTCAATGCAGCATCACATGATCAACATACATAGCACCAATCATCAACACATTGCCCTTCTCAAGGATGGTGGTCTTGAGCTTTCCCACAGGCCCAGGACAAGATTTCAGGAAATGTTGATGCACAATAATTTGTTGTTGAGAGATTGCAGTTTGGCATTGCTCATTCATAACTATATCTTGGCCTTGTCTCATAAATACTTGTGATCAATTCAAATCAGTCAAAACTTGATATTAATAGCAAGCATGTACTAAAGAGATGGAAGTTTGTAAGTCTATGATTGATTGGAGGAATTGCAATCAATCCACATCAATTCATCTCTTTGTAAGGCAGGGCCCATACACCTAACAGATTGACATTGCAGATAGAAACATACAGTCAGCTGGTCTGACTTGTTAGTTTCTTTTCTTTTATCTTTTTTCTGTTTGTTTTGTTTGATGTTTTTGTTCTTATTCATTTCAGTTAGCTTTTGGGGTCGTGAAATTAATATGACATCTCCTTTATTTCAAGACGATCAACAATTTTCAAAATTTCTCTTGCTGATATTGAAAGAGAGGATTGGGTTCTTGCATTGGAGAAATATTTGATCGTCCCCATGCTGTCCAGCTTGTTGAATTTTGTTCTATTTAGATCATGTGTTGTACTTGGTTTTCCAAAACAACAACACATTCTTTTTATATTGAGGTAATGAATATTGTTATATCAGAACCTTAGTCTTAAACTTTGCAGGTGCTGTTAGCAGTTGGGAAAATTCACATTGAGCATCATTTTATTATGTGTGAGGGAACCGCATAATATAACATTTCGTGGCTATCTGTGTGTGATTCAATGTTACAAATATTGGTGTACATTGCTAACAGGAAAGGTGCTTAACTACTGTAAAATTCAAACTTGCATGAATGCATTTTAGGGACCCATTCACAGGAAGCATGGACAGAATGTATAATTACGTTTTGATGGTGAGGGTATATAATTAATGTCCTTCTCATAACATGCACTCCTCTTTATTTCAAATTTTGGTTGCCAACATGATGAGCTGGTTGTATAGTTCACAACATTCAACTCACTTCAATATCAGTATTTGTTTTGCAAAATTTGTAATTTTCCATCCAGGCCACGTTTTTTTAATAAGGGTGTCTGGTAGGATTTGTAGTTGTTCAATAGCATCATGTAAGCACACAAATTGTGTTTTCTTGCCTATACATGTCTATTGTTTAGGGTGCAGTCACTATTCTTATAATTTTTTTTCTATCATCAGGGTTGGGATAAAACTCTATTCTCCCTACTTGATCAGGTTGTATTCTGAATTCACCTTTTTTTAATGCACAACAAGCACTTTGTCACAATGTTTGTGCATGTTAAAGCAAATGAATGCATGGGGAAAAGTTTTTTTTAAATCCCCCCCCCCATCTTTTCCATGATAGGTAGAACAGTAAGACTCGAGAATCTTACTAAAATGGACATATCCATTGTCAAGCTTGGCATGAATTCCCTTTGAATTTCTTGTCGTTATCATTTTTGTGGAATTATTGTTGAAAGAGGGGAATTCGGTTAATTGTTCATTTTGTTAGACTTGCATTTGGCTACTTACATGTGAAGTTCTTCTACCTCACTTGTTTGCATGTATGTAAGATGCTGATTGAAATTCAACAGTACTATGGACTGTTTAACTCAATGCTTACCAAAGAGCATTGTACACTTCATGTAGTAGCCTATAGCAAAGGTGACAGGGAACAAGTGATTTTTCTCAATGGATTCCCATGTTCAAGATTGAAATGTTAAACCATACAGTTTTTTTTGTCCATCCTGCCCATGTGTCAAAAATGTAGAGTGTTATAAGTTTATGACACTCTTCCCATTTTCAAGTTTCTTCTTATAACTGATTCTAGTTTGATATAATTGTTGTCATTTCATGTTTTAGATATGAATATTTTTGAAGCAGATTGACATACATCTAAAGGTTTAAATCATGCTTAATTAAAAATTTGCAACATATTCATCTATTGAATGAATTGCAATGACTTTTGTTTTATTAATTTCAATTTAAACTTAAAACTTATGAAGTATATTTATTTGAGCCTTGGTAAATTTAAGTGTAAATAACTATGAAATATGTATGATATCAGAGTTCTTTTCTATTGGTAAATTCATGATATGCCTGATCCCACTTTGTACAGGTATAGAAGTTTTAAACATTGTACAGTGCTACATGTATTGCTTTTATATGCACAGTAAATTTTGTCAAAACTCATTTTTGTGTGTGTGATTGAGTACTGTGTACTTGCATTTGTCAGTCTGAAAGTGTGTACAGTGCATTCATCAGTACAAAATGTACAGTGATAATGTAAACTAGGGCAACCAAAACTTGCCAGATTGGAGCTTGATATAAATGTTCACTTGTCCAGATATGAAGGTTGACTCTAACATAAACTTGAAATCAAAGCAATCTTTGTAGGCAAGATACGACTATAGAGTGTTCAATCACAATATTCATGTTCGGACAGAGATCAGACATTTTGCCGACTGTAAGATGAAGATGGGCCAAATAAATTTGGTGTTTTGGCATGCCTTACGCCTTGGTTGCTCTATTGGGAGAGGTAGCAAATACTTAAATAGCAACTTTGATGGTGATTATTAAAGGTATAGACAAGTTCTGGTCATGCGATTGCATTGTGAAAGAAACGTTGTGGAATCGATCAAAAATGGTTGATCATCTAGCAAGGTTCTGGAATCATCAAAATGATAGGAAATTTGGCCCAGTCTTGGTAAAGTTGCAAGCACTATACACAGAAAGATGTATATGGGACGACGCGATATCTATCGCGGATAGATGTAACAGTTTACCAAATATATCAATTAGTAGGCAGTTTCCAAGCAAAATTTGTATCATCAAGTCAAAACATTGATTGGTAATAAGAGCTTCCATTTCGTTTTTTGAGAGGGGGGTGTTTCCAAAACTGGTCTATACCTGGAGGAGGATGATGATAGTGAAGGTGATGATAATATACATAAATGAAAGGTGTAAACCAAGAAGAGAACCTAAAATTCTGAGCACAATATTTTGTTTTGATCTTGACGACCAACTTTCCATCAAATGGTTTGATCACAAAGGACACATAAAAACGCCTTTTCTCATTATTCATATTTATTATCGGCAATGATATACCATCTGAAGCAGTCATATATATCTCATATCCAGTAACTGGTAATGCTACATGCATTCTAAACTCCTCATTCATTTCAGATGACAAGATCACAGCTCTACTCCTTGTCATTCAATATTTTTGTTACATACCAGCTGTTACGACTGGAAATATACTAATTTACGCTAAATATAAATTTTGCCAATTCATTAAAGAACATATCCGAATTGAAAAATGAAATGGATGAATTATAAGCCATAGATTACAATAATTTCAAGTATATGCCATTTTAGTGTCTGTCAGAGGAGTATCAGCTCTCTGAAAGCATTGAAAATCAGAAATTATCAACCTAAAAACTTGCTATCGACTTGATGACATTGTCTTATGTGGAGTACCCATATTCACAATAAATTTGCATTGATTAAGTATGGCTCATCAGCTCAGTTATATAGGTGAACCGATCGGTCCACATGTTATGTCGTCACTGTAACTTCTGCAAATTTGAGGCCATTCAATATTATATTCTAAAAATCTTTGGAAAATAAAGGTTTCTTTGGAAAAAATGGAAATTTTAGACAATTGCTAGTATGAATCACTTCAGAAAGAAAATAGTTAATTCTATAATCTGTGTTCCAAACTAAAGAAACACAAGATAAAAAAGTTTGTTTTTCTATATATATATAATTGGAATGTGACCAATCTGACTCCCAATTACAAATCAAGATGGTGGATTCATGGAGGAAGCAAAATAACACAAAGTTGAGTACCATTTAGGCATGTGTGTACTTGGCAAGAAAAAAGAAAGAAGTAAATAAAAGTAATAAACTAAACATCAAAACAAAAATTACGTCTGAAAAGGAGAGCATGTACAAAATTTGAAACTGCATAATTTTAGCTTGGAGCAAATAGAATAGGAATCTGATAGATGTTTATATGATTCAGGCAAGATAATTATCTATGAATATCAGATGAGGCAACATGACAGATGTCAATCCTTGACAGAGTTTGAATGAAAAGATTACTTCTAAATGATTCTTCCAATAGTTTGAGAAATTTATTGCATTTAGGCATGCAGGATCACTATACATGTATTTTTTGTAATATTACAATCATATCCGAACAATAGATACTTTAATTAGAGAAGTTTAATTTAACTCAGCTAATTTGTATCAAGTTTGTATACTTAGGGATGTCCCTAATGATATTAATTATTCATCAGTTGATGTATCGCCAACTTGCCAAACACCTGCAAAACATGCAGGTTAAATTTCCTTCAGTTCAAAACTTTGAAGACAAGACAAAGAAAAATACAATTCTTTTGCTAAAGCCAGAAAGGCATTAATGCTATATCAAATGATTGAAGTAGATGTCCTTCTGGCTCTTAGCAGACTGTTTCATTCTGCTCCTGACTATATGCTACTCAAGATAATCAAAATATACAAAACGGGACTTACACCGTTGCCCTCTGATTCAATCACACATAGCATTACTTTAAGGGTAAACATTACTATGGAAATTAAGTTGCAATTTTTGCCAAAAACACTTCACAAAAACACTTTCATTTTTCTTACCAATAGTCGAATACTAGTATATATCTCATTATTTGGCTACAAGTACATGTAGTATCAAACAATCACTTGCAATACATCAATAAGGTGATACTTTTTTGTGCATAAATTAGATCAAGCCTGACTGATATGACCATCCACATACGGTTAAAACTCAAGGTAACAGTGTGCAGAAGACTTTATACTTCAAGAATTCACAAATTGTCTAAACTCATTATCAAGAATTAATCAAAGAATTTATATCCAAATATGATATCACATTTAGATGTTTGCATCATTTGTATGAGCGAGCTGAATGATCATAAAACAGCATCAAGAAAACTTTCACAATAATGACAATGTAGTTGATACATTTTGAAACTAAATTTTCAATCTGAAAAGTGCATGATGGACACAGTGAAGTGTGTGCCTTAGATTTATAGACTTAATCACATACATGTATGGTTACAATATTTACTACTTACAATAATGAGGGTAATACAACAATCCCTTTAATACGGTAATGCATCCTCATTAGGCAGTCTAACAATACAAACTTATCAATTCCCTCTACCGGTACCTTTTTTTTATGGGGGGAGGGGGTGGTTGTGCTCACTATTTTTTGTCATATGTAGTTGCGACAAGGATTTTTATAATCATGTAAACTCAATATTATACAAAAATGACAGAGAGTAAACATGCAAAGTATTGGCAGTCAACTACTGATTCTAAATATACTAGTGGTGAATTTGATTGTCAATTGGGAACATTTTAATCATAGATCTTGAGTTACACTCCCAACTATTTTGCATACCCTGTTACACACTTGTATACACATGTTTTATAGTTACAGATTAGATTAGCAAGTAATTTATTTTTCAACACTTATGATTGGGATATCTTCAAGTTGCCATAGTAAAACATTAACTGTCATGGTATGTATGGTACATTAGAGAGAGAAATCGCCATGTGCAATAATTATTATGAAGTAGAGGGATAATGAAGTACGGCATTTAATACTAAAAGGGAGAATATTTTAATTGACCCCCAAATGGACTTTAAATTTGATAATCTTCTCTCTTACAGCATGCATTGCTCTCACCATTTTGAAAGGAACAAGATCCATTCAGCCACTTTACTGTGTTTAACATCAATTTAAGGCTACACCATACAGGTGACATTTTTCAAATACCACCAAATACCTCAACCCTACATTGTATATCAGTGAGAATTATATTCACCCTGCAGATAACAATTTAGAGAACTAAATAATACATTTTCAATTTACTATTTGTAATTGATATAACATGACATCATTAGTCGTTACTCTTATTTTGAAGTTTTAGAGTGGCTTTGTACATGCTTCAATACATTACATGATTTAGTAATAAATTCTCTGCAATTAACAAACAAAACAAAAAATCTACCTCTCTAACATTAGCAGATCATTCCTTGTTAATATACAAATCATTTAATAACTGAAATGCACATTTACAGAATTTGTTGTTACAATGTATTGCTTAAGAGTTCATTTTCAATTATACACATTTGTATATCATTATAATGCCACCTACTATTCACACACTTAACCGGACATAAATGGGGGGGGGGGGGGGTAGATGACATAATACACTGTATCACTCTTGTAGGTTCCCTGCCATTCTAAAGGCACGCTCAGATATGACACAGCAAAACCGCTGCGTTTAGTTTTTGTGATGAAGTTGAGTGTAATAAGCTTCACATTTCAGAATCTGATAACACAGGGGTCAATGAATAAGAGCAAGTCCTTTGTTAAAAAGCGTTGTGGCCTTTTTGCAGCGGTTTACAGTGTTATATCTGAACAAGCCTTAATTAATGCATGTAACACAGATATTTAAATTTGTCACTGAATACACACTTCAAACTAGAGTTTCTTCATGCATATAAGTTTGAGAAGACCCAATCCCTTGCACTTGTAACTCTTTATCTAGATCTCTCACGCTAATAAACACATCTTACTCCTCTCTCACACATTATGTCAATATATTTTTACCACATCAAAAATGTTGGACACAATATCATTTCATTTGCAAAATACAACAGCAGAATGTAGACATATATATTTGTAATGGCTCTCTAAATTTTGGTTTTGAGGGATAGGAAAATACTCTATGAAACTATATTCACGTCTGATGAGTAATACTTGTCCGTCGAGGGTTACAATGGCATGGAAGGTAATAGGAAGAGAGCCTCTACACAATCAGTCAGGAGAGGTACCAGTTAATATCTGTAAACAAAAACATTTGATTTTGTCTATTAAAATCTTGATTAAAAATTCTAGTCAAAACTATAAATGGTGAATTTGTGCTTTTAAATTCTATTCAAACTAATACTGGAAATTTCAGGGAAGAATATAATTGTACAGAGTGTAACAAGATTTGTTTCTTTTCTCCTTTTTTCATACATTCAGGAATGTTATTAATAGCTGTGAAGAGTATAAGGAAAAACATACCATGGAATATATTGATTTCTCATATTTGACAGATACAAATTTTAACAGCATACAATATATTCATGTGAATTGGTGTAGAACAAGCATGAAGCACAATGAAGGTGCTTCACATCTTTCAAATTTCTCTATCTTAATTGCCAAAGATTTGAAGTAGAAATGCTTGGTAAGTCTTCCGGGATATTTGTTAATTTCATGTCCCATATCTTACCAAGCATTATGGAATTCTGAACATGAATGGACATTAGAGGTATGACTTGATATCTAATCTGATCCAAGCTTCAGTAGAGATATCACCTTATTACAGACATCAAGCATGCCGAGATCTAGGAGGTGATTGTTTTTAAATATATAGGCAGGGCTCGACACTAACAGGTACCTAAGACCCCGTTCTCACTCACTTCGTTTTAGCGCTCTTCATTTTTAGCGCTCTAACTAAGACCCGCTCCTCAGGAGCGGTTCTTAGGTGAGTGAGAACGCTCAAAGTGGTCCAGGAAGCGGACTTCTGGACCGCTCCAGAAGTCCACCTTCCGAGGTGGTCTTGAGGAGCGGGTCTTATTAAGAGCGCTCCAGAGCGCTCTAACGTGCAAAGTGAACGGAAAGCGTACTTTGAACGGAAGTGACGTTCCGCGCGATGAGCGATCGGGCAGGCACTACACATATACATGTATACGGGACGCGTCGCGAACGGGACATCAGGTGACATAGGGTTTGGATACCGCACGCGAAAAAATTGACCCGCCTACCTGAGCTGCCATAGCAACAAGACCACTTTGACTCATGGAGCGGTTTGAGCCATAAAAACTGCTCGGAGTGTGAACGCTCGCAAACCGTTCCTCAAGACCCGTTCCTCTGGAGCGGTCTGGAGCGTTCTAACTAAGACCACTTTCAAAGTGAGTGAGAACGGGGTCCAAGACACATGGTACATGGTACCCCCAACATTTTGAAGTATTTACAAATGGTTCATGCATACAGACTGTCCAAAGTTCAATCCGGATCGTCCCCCCCCCCCCCCCCCCCAAAAAAAAACAAAACAAAAAAAACAAAAAAAACAAAAAAAAACATTGGTGTGGAGCCCTGGTATAGGACAGGATGGCTTGGATTTGCCCAGCTCTGTTTTATGTGCTACATACCTGTAGTAATTAGGTTTGAATGGACCAGTCTTGTTGAGTCCTAGGTAGCCTGCTTGATCATCACTTAACTCAGTTAGGTGTGCATCAAATGATGGCAGGTGAAGGGTCGCTACATATTCATCTGATGATACAACGTTTGAAAAGATTGTCAAAGTCATGCAAATTTTAAACATTATAGCAGCTATGATCCTTGTTTTGTTTAGTTTTGTTATATAAAATGCAACATACTACTTTGAGCTTAAGTATTATATTGATCATATGCTATTATATTTATTATGTACCAATCATCATAATCATCATAGCCATATAAAACTTTGGACCTTAAAGCAGTTGATTACATATGAAGGGTTTATCACATTTCATTCATGTGAAGAATATATTTAATATTCAATAAGTTATTAATTGCTTAAATGCATGCCATATAAATTAACAATCATTTCATAAGGATAAAGAAGAATTGTATTGGAAAATCTTTCAAGAAAAGACAACAGAAAACATAAGTCTACATTTAAGTCACTTACCAAGTTTCTTTGGGAGTAGATAGACATCTTGCTTGTATCTGCCTTGAGGTGCATTGAAGAGTTCAATGAGAGCAAGACCCTGGGTACAGGCTGTGATTGAAACCACAAACGATGGTACAGTAGAGCAGCTAAGGTTCACAAGACGACCCTGTCAAAAGAGAAAAAGGGATAGAGCCATTTATTCCCAATCAAATCAAGTACCGAATAATTCAGAACTATATCTTCAGTGGGGTAATAAAACCTTTTAACTACAAACTAGATGGAACTTTGACTGCGCGCAGTCGAAAGTGATGCCTCCGTCATAGAGCAATTTTACAAACCAAAAAGGAAGAAATTTTTCAAATTCAAGTTCAGTTGTAATCCATTAACAGGTTCTCAGAATATCGTGATTACAAGCTATTTCCCATATACATGTATGACCCTCTGATCTTTTACCTCATGAACCCAAATGCAAAATACATACATGTCTTGAGTTTGATGGTAATCCATCCATCGGTTCTAATGATAATGCAATCACAAGCTATTTTTGCATACATAATGAGCCCCTTGGCCTCATGACCGCAAAATCTAATCAGTTCATTGCCTCAGCAAGATACATACATGTCCTGAGTTTCATGGTAATCTGTCCACCTGTTCTAATGATGTGATCACAAGCTATTTTTGCATACATAATGAGCCCTGTGACCTATGACCTCAAACTCTAATCAATTCATTGGCTCTGCAAGATACATACATGACCTAAGTTTAGCAGGAATCCATCAATCAGTTCTTGAGATAACGCGATCACAAGCTATTTTTGCATACATAATGAGCCCTTTGACCTTTGACCTTGTGACCCCTAAATCTAATCAATTCATTGGCTCTGCCACTTACATACATGACCAAAGTTTGGTAGGAATCCATCAGTTGGTTCTTGAGATAACGCGATCACGAGAACGGGACGTACGGACGGACAACCCGAAAACATAATGCCTCTGGCTACTTCGCAACGGAGGCATAAAAATATGTTTTTCACAAACCACTACCACTAACAAATATCTGACTTAGTTTTGAAGGCACAAACTCTTGTAAACTGACAGTGTCTGCACAGTAAGACTATGATGACTGCACACCATAGGCTCTGTACTTTAGCTGCTCCCGACAAGGTTATCTACACAGCCAGATTATAGAGTTAGGCTTGGCTCAAGGCTTTAGGAATTGTGTCAAATCAGAGTCTGTGTATGCAGACTATCTTTGACTTGCCTAAGGCCAAACAAATCATGATTCCATTTCTTTACATTTAAGAAAGAACTTACCTCAGCCAGAAGAAGGATTCTTTTACCGTCAGGCCAGATAACATGATCTACCTGATGACGTACTCTCTCCCATACCAACTCAGGTGTACGTAGACTCTCCTGTTCAAAAAGACAAAGAGCAAAAAATTATCAAGTAAGAAAATGACTTATTGCAACAAGTTCTTTATCATGTAGAATATTTATCAACGGTAAATATACATACAAATGCTTTGAAGGGCACACGACTGTAATTAGAAGGGTTAACATTACTTCTCTCCTCATATAACCCTTTTCACCCTTATAGTTTCAAACTTGATAAGTGATAAAATAAAGAGTGTCTTCCATATCTCTCCACAATTCATCACAATTTTCATGAAAGCTAAGTTTTCTTAAGACAGAAAGACGTATAAGGCAACTGGCCTTGGCAGATTGAAAATTTAGTTTTCCTATATCATAATATGGATCCATCATTTAAGTATACAATCAGAAATTTATTAGTAGATAATATTTATCATACAAATCTGCAAGAGACAATTGTGTAACAGTGTGTAACAGTGGATCTCATATCAGAGTAAAATGGACTTTGTCTTTTTATCATCTCCATCCTCATTGAACGAGGATAATGCAATCATTTAACTATTTTGCTTGAATTCTCACTTACCACATCAATCTCTGTATTGGAGTGTCCCATGTTACACACAATACAAGCATTCTTGAGTCTGTCAAGGTGATGTCTCTGAACAACATTCTTGTTACCTAAAGAGAGAAAAAAAATCTCACACAATTATTTTATTGTAAGTTTAATACTTATTTACATTGTGCAGCACTTCAAACATGTAATTCAAATATTTTGTATCTAAAAGTTTTGAGTGTGTGTCTGGTCATCTTGGGCAAAGGTCGAATTGGAAACTTCCATACAGCAATCACTGGGTTAGTCTATCATGAAAAACTTAAAAGCACTCTGAGCTTGTCTCAATGGCACTGCCAAATGATGAAAATTGTGTTTCACAAGATTCTTTAGTGTAAATTGTTTTTTTAAATCATTAAAGAAAACCTTCATAAATCGTATTTTGTTTTACTTTTATCTACATGAGCTCTGCTAACCTCATTCTTACCTGTGCATGTAATAAGAATATCTACATTCTTTAGGACCTCCTCTAGTCTAACCACTCTGAAGCCATCCATACTATAAAAACATGGAAACAAAGAAACAAACATGAGATTAACTATATAATTAATTATATAATCTGTTTCCACATATTCACTGTTCCCAACAGAATGAAAAATAGAGGATTAAGACAAATGAATTTGTGAAACAGGAGAGACAGAAGATGGTGGGTGGGAAGATACAAAATTGGAAATGATAAACTTGATTCAATTCAAAATCTCATTCTAATGAAAATAATCCCTCACTCTCCTTGACAATGCATGGGGCAACGTGAGACTTTTGTGACACATGCATATTAACAAGGAGTTAATACCAACTTGTGATTCATAGAACACCATATGAAATAATATCAAGAGATATTGAAACATTAATCATATCCTCCACCAGACCTATTTCATTGCAAGCATCAAAGTTTGATCACCTCAAAGTGGGAGGAAAACACATGTACAACCAAGGGAATCGGAGTACACTTGATATGCAATGTACTTACGCAGCCTGCAATGCGCAGATGGGGTCAATCTCAGTAACACTGACGATAGATCCAAGACCCTTGAGGGCAGCACAGCATCCTTTGCCAACCTCTCCGTAGCCACAAACCACTACCTGTTTACCACCAAACATGGTGTCCGTAGTCCTCTTCAATGCATCCAAGATGGATTCACGGCAGCAGTACAGATTGTCAAATTTGACCTGCATGGGATAACCCACATTCGATGTAAACACTCAAATTGACTTTGATACGAAATAAGAGAAACTCTATTTTCTCCTAATAGTTTGATACATTACACAAAATTAAAGAGAGCATCTTTGTACATCATCTTTGCAATGTAGCAGTGTATAAAAGTAATAAAAGATGATTATTTTAATTACCTATACTTAAAAAATATGTAGTGATTGAAATTTTTAGATCATTAGTATGTGCCACTGGATAACTAACTAACTCATTAGCACAACATTGGGTGTGCCTGAAACTTTATATGTGACATGATGACACCACTAGAGATTCAGGTAAATCGAGCTGCAAAATGGGTCAATTTCATCATGGTATACTCGAAAGAACGTTAGATTTGATCACTTCTACGAAATTCAATTATTACCTTTATTTCAGCATATTATGAATATAAAAGTGTACAATTTGATAAACTCTTTTGAATCAGAGACATCACTTGGGAGTAAATACTTTAACAAGTTCATAAATCGATGCTTATTAAAGAAATAAATCCTTGTTGAAAAAAAATAATCTAGCTCTCTATTTTCTTCTCTTTTGCGTAGACATGTGAAGTGAAAAGTTCATGGTTAGTCAATACTCAGGGGATGTGTGTGGCTTGCAAAAAGGGAAGTGATTCAACCCACTATTACGGGTGCCCTTTCCACCTCATGGATTTCATTTCATCACAACCTCAAACACCCCCTCATAAATTCTTGCCTCCCTCCCATATTGGCACCTTCCTTTCATTCTGTTTCCTCCCCTAAGACCTATTTCCATTGCCCTCCTTCCCTCTCTCTTTCTCTTATTATCTCTCTCTCTCTGTGAACCAGACATTATCTATCTTTATTGCTACTTATTATTATTCTTTATCTGTCCATCACTCTCTCTCTCTTTCCCACTTTCTACCTTCCTCCCTCCCAATCCATTCCTCCCCCTTGTAACACACACACACACACACACATGCACATTCTCTCTCTAAATTTTACATTTCTTATTTATTGTTTTCTGTATAGGACTTTGGATTTAGGTAGTAACTTTATCAGTCAATAGAAGATGACAAGAGAAGCATTGCATTTGAGTAGACCCAACCTTGGCATGACTAACTCTAAACTCAAAGCAAAATAGTGCACTTCCTGACAACAGAAACTTGACTCATAAATACTTCTACCCTGGAGATTCTAGCCCTCAAATACAAGTCATATCATTCAAATTGACAAGTTAAAGAGACAAACAGGATCCAGGCCTCAATCCATAAAAAGATAAACACTTTCTGTGTGATTTATCAAAGATACAGTATGCATTTCATAGTACCGTGAATCCTATATACATAATTTCTCAAATGAGACAAATCAAGCTGTCTTTATGAGAAGGTGGTCATTCTGTACAAATTTTTGTAGTAGAGGTTTCAATGAGAAAAGGTAACAAAAAGTTTGATCTTTATAGACAGTTGGTCTTCCTCTACAGGTGGTTGCTAAGGTAGGTTTCACTGTATCAACATTTCAGTAATCATTCTACTTGTGTGAATATGTATACAAAAATCACCTCCCAAAATGAAACTATTTGATTCACTGTGGCACCTCTTACTAACGCACAGCATTTCACCATCCCAAGATAGTTTCAAAGAGCTGCTGGATGGAACTATCATTTACTGGTTCAAAGTATCTCCAGGATATCTCCAGACCATTTGAACACCTGACAAACAAAGAAAACCACCTATTATTACTGTCATATTAGCTGAACATACCTTAGTGACAGAGTCATTGACATTCATAGCTGGTATGCTAAGCTTTCCCGACTTGGAGAGTTGATAAAGACGGTGAACTCCTGTTACAGATTCTTCTACGATTCCTTTGACTAGCTTGAAGGTCTCTGGACACTTCTTGAGCATACGGTGAGTGGCGTCTCCTCCATCATCAAGGATCTAGCAGAGACAGAGAAGAAAGAGGAGCAAACCTTGACAAATGCCCAGGATTGTGTACTTTATAATTAGCAACTAGAGTTTGAGTTGTCAAACATACTTACAATGTCCTTGCCTGTTGAATAACATTAAAATGTCTAGGATATAGATATGTTTAGCATGAAAGTTTTCTAATGTCATGGGTAAAATTTATACCAAAATTCAAATCCATACAATATTTAAAGGTAATACAAAGTTTTGGGAATATTTCATCAGGATTGGATCATGAAATTTAAAATTTGCATTACTATTGTGAAACATAGTGTTAGAACACCCAACTCTAAAAAAATTGGGCTCTAAAAAGCTTTTGATTTGGAGTAATTAAAATTTTAAAAAATAAAAAAATTTACCGGTACTCCCGGTAAATTTGGTATAGCTCCCTCTCAGTTCGAAAATTTACATGCCATCTGAGAGCATAACACATATATAGCACTATTGTCAAAGTGTAATAATTAACATGTTTTGGCACCAAATCATATTACCAGACTTAAAAAATATATATAATCATGAAGATAATTATTTTAAAGTTGAGTTGCCTTAGTGTAAGATTTTTATACCGTCTCCTAAATTTGAAGAAAAAAAACACTTGTCTGTACACTGTAATCGCAATATATAATTTTATAATCGATCGGACCGCCGCCATCTATACTGAACTTACGTACGTTAACCTATGTATTTCCTGCGCGGGTCGGAATATTCTGTGTTGTTCTCTTCAACTCATTTTTCCATTTCCCTCTCTTAATCGTTTCTGTGTTTTCAACTTTGAAATGCATTTTGTTATTGCTCGACTTTGATAATATTGTTGTTCGCCAGCTCTGTGAACGAACGCACATATTGCCTGTATTTTGGTCAAGTCAAGTGGTCGTGATAACTGCAATGTCAATGATCTGGCATTGATCCCATGTGCATGTGTAATAGGCCTGCGTATATAGTACACCTCCCTGGTACATGCATGGACTGGAGACAGTTGCGTGTGTAGGCCTACGTGTATTATTAGTCTAGAGTCTTTGTGCGTTGGGCCGGATTGGCCCGAAGAATTTGCGAGCACATTTTTTTTAGGGATAATCTCAAAATACTCCCCAAAGTCGTTGTACAGGGACAGTTTGGTATCTAGACAGAACGTAACATTATTTATTTTGCATTTCTTTATTAAAAGTAAAGAAGATACGTTTAATCTTACAAACGAAGATTAATCAATAATAAGGTTGACTAGACGTTTTCCCGAACATTCGATCATGACTTGTGTATACTGCACATTCTTATTTTGAGATCATCCCTTTGTAACTTTACGGTATGACCTCTGGTAGAGGTCATAGAGGTCAGTAATTGCTACACGTGTTATGGGCTAATCTCTCTCCGTATAATTGAATTATATCCTTTCGCCTCATGACCATGCACCTACTACTGTAGTAGGTGCATGTAACATTGCATTGATTAGGTCCATATTATAACACTCTCACTTGATATTCTCTCTCTCTGTCGCTTCTATATCCCTCTCATCCCCCCCCCCCCCTCTCTCTCTCTCTTGTATCTCTCTTTGGTATCCCTCTCTATCCCTTCTTTCCTTTCTCTCTATCTCTCTCTTCTCTCTCGCTATCTTTATTTCTCCTATTTTCTTCCCCTCTCTCTTTATTTCTCTACCCCATACCATTCTACCCTTTCTCTATTTATTTCTCTTTTGATGTATATTGTATATATATCTGTCTCTCCCTCTCATCGCACCACCTCGTTCATCCCCTTCTGTATCATATTTCTATATCCATATCACTTGTTAGTCTGTCTCTCTGTCGGTCTGTGACCGTCTGTCTGATGACTGTCTCTCTTTATCATACACACATCTCTCTCACTTATCACCATAGTAGGTCCATGATATCACCCCTTCCACTTTATTTCGCTCCAACTTTCTCTCTCTAGAAGTTCTCATTCGCGTGATATAGGACCATATTATTTTTCTAAAGTTTAGGGTTATGTATCTCTCTTTTTTTTTAAAAAGTGAATTTTCACTCTATTTTCACTTTCTTGGGAGTGACGTCCGTGATCACTTGTTCAGGAGTGAAAATCGATTGATTTTATAAATAGAGTGCTCTCTAAGAAGAAAAGAGTGAATGTTCACTCTATTTTCACCACATTTTCACTCTCCAGAGGAGTGACGTCCGTGATCACTCGATTTTTTTAGAGAGTAGATGTATAAATATATGACAAAGATAATAATAATCACAATAACGAGAGTAGTTCTCATTTACGTGATAGGACAGTAGTTTTTGGTTGGAGTTTATGACAAGTATAATAATAATCACAAAGACGATAAGAGTTCTCATTCGCGTGATAGGACCATATTCTTATGTCGGGGTTATTCAAATTATTGAGGGTGATATAAATATATGACAAAGATAATAATTATCACAAATGCAATAGAACTTCTTATTCACGCGATAGGAGAGTATTTTTTGGGTGGAGTTTATGACAATAATAATAATAATCACAAAGACGATAAGAGTTCTCATTTGCGTGATAGGACCATATTTCTTTTGTCGGGGTTATGTAAAATGAGGGTGATATAAATACAGTACAAAAATAATAATAATCACAGAGACGATAAGAGTTCTCATTTGCGTGATAGGACCATATTTCTTTTGTCGGGGTTATGTAAAATGAGGGTGATATAAATATATGACAAAAATAATAATTATCACAAATGCGAGAGAACTTCTTATTCACGTGATAGGACAGTAGTTTTTGGTTGGAGTTTATGACAAGAATAATAATAATCACAAATACGATAGAAACTCTCATTCACGTGATAGAACAGTAGTTTTTGGTTGTAGTTTATGACAAGGATAATAATAATCACAAAAACGATAGAAGTCCTCATTCGCGTGATAGGACCATATTTCTTTTGTCGGGGTTATGTAAATGAGGGTGATATAATTATATGACAAAGATAATAATAATCACAAAGACGATAAGAGTTCTCATTTGCGTGATAGGACCATATTTCTTTTGTCGGGTTTATGTAAATGAGGGTGATATAAATCATATGACAAAAATAATCATTATCATGAAAACGAGAGAAGTTCGCATTCACGTGATAGGACACTAGTTTTTGGGTGGAGTTTATGACAAGAATAATAATAATCACAAAGACGATAGAAGTTCTCATTCTTGTGAAAGGACCATATTTCTTTTGTCGGGGTTATGTAAATGAGGGTGATATAAATATATGACAAGAATAATAATAATCACAAAAACGATAGAAGTCCTCATGCGCGTGATAGGACGATATTTCTTTTGTCGGGGTTATGTAAATGAGGGTGATATAAATAAATGACAAAGATAATAATTATCATAAAAACGAGAGAAGTTCGCATTCATCTGATAGGACAGTAGTTTTTGGTTGGAGTTTATGACAAGAATAATAATAATCACAAAGACGATAAGAGTTCTCATTCGCGTGATAGGACCATATTTCTTATGTCGTGGTTATTCAAAATAATGAGGGTGATATAAATATATGACAAAGATAATAATTATCACAAATGCGAGAGAACTTCTTATTCACGCGATAGGACAGTAGTTTTTGGTGGAGTTTATGACAAGAATAATAATAATCACAAAGACGATAAGAGTTCTCATTCGCGTGATAGGACCATATTTCTTATGTCGTGGTTATTCAAAATAATGAGGGTGATATAAATATATGACAAAGATAATAATTATCACAAATGCGAGAGAACTTCTTATTCACGCGATAGGACAGTAGTTTTTGGTGGAGTTTATGACAATAATAATAATAATCACAAAGACGACAGAAGTTCTCATTCGTGTGAGATAGGACCATATTTCTAATTTGTCGGGGTTATCTAAATGAGGGTGATATAAATCATGACAAGAATAATAATAATCACAAAAACGATAGAAGTCCTCATTCGCGTGATAGGACCATATTTCTTTTGTCGGGGTTATGTAAATGAGGGTGATATAATTATATGACAAAGATAATAATAATCACAAAGACGATAAGAGTTCTCATTTGCGTGATAGGACCATATTTCTTTTGTCGGGTTTATGTAAATGAGGGTGATATAAATCATATGACAAAAATAATCATTATCATGAAAACGAGAGAAGTTCGCATTCACGTGATAGGACACTAGTTTTTGGGTGGAGTTTATGACAAGAATAATAATAATCACGAAGACGATAGAAGTTCTCATTCTTGTGAAAGGACCATATTTCTTTTGTCGGGGTTATGTAAATGAGGGTGATATAAATATATGACAAGAATAATAATAATCACAAAGATGATAGAAGTCCTCATTCGCGTGATAGGACCATATTTCTTTTGTCGGGGTTATGTAAATGAGGGTGATATAAATATATGACAAAGATAATCATTATCATAAAAACGAGAGAAGTTCGCATTCATGTGATAGGACAGTAGTTTTTGGTTGGAGTTTATGACAAAAATAACAATAATCACAAAGACGATAGAAGTTCTCATTCGCGTGATAGGACCATATTTCTTATGTCGGGGTTATTCAAAATAATGAGGGTGATATAAACATATGACAAAGATAATAATTATCACAAATGCGAGAGAACTTCTCATTCACGCGATAGGACAGTAGTTTTTGGTGGAGTTTATGACAAGAATAATAATAATCACAAAGACGATAAGAGTTCTCATTCGCGTGATAGGACCATATTTCTTATGTCGGGGTTATTCAAAATAATGAGGGTGATATAAATATATGACAAAGATAATAATTATCACAAATGCGAGAGAACTTCTTATTCACGCGATAGGACAGTAGTTTTTGGTGGAGTTTATGACAAGAATAATAATTATCACAAAGACGACAGAAGTTCTCATTCGTGTGAGATAGGACCATATTTCTAATTTGTCGGGGTTATGTAAATGAGGGTGATATAAATCATGACAAGAATAATAATAATCACAAAAACGATAGAAGTCCTCATTCGCGTGATAGGACCATATTTCTTTTGTCGGGGTTATGTAAATGAGGGTGATATAATTATATGACAAAGATAATAATAATCACAAAGACGATAAGAGTTCTCATTTGCGTGATAGGACCATATTTCTTTTGTCGGGTTTATGTAAATGAGGGTGATATAAATCATATGACAAAAATAATCATTATCATGAAAACGAGAGAAGTTCGCATTCACGTGATAGGACACTAGTTTTTGGGTGGAGTTTATGACAAGAATAATAATAATCACGAAGACGATAGAAGTTCTCATTCTTGTGAAAGGACCATATTTCTTTTGTCGGGGTTATGTAAATGAGGGTGATATAAATATATGACAAGAATAATAATAATCACAAAGATGATAGAAGTCCTCATTCGCGTGATAGGACGATATTTCTTTTGTCGGGGTTATGTAAATGAGGGTGATATAAATATATGACAAAGATAATCATTATCATAAAAACGAGAGAAGTTCGCATTCATGTGATAGGACAGTAGTTTTTGGGTGGAGTTTATGACAAGAATAATAATAATCACAAAGACGATAAGAATTCTCATTCGCGTGATAGGACCATATTTCTTATGTCGGGGTTATTCAAAATAATGAGGGTGATATAAATATATGGCAAAGATAATAATTATCACAAATGCGAGAGAACTTCTTATTCACGCGATAGGACAGTAGTTTTTGGTGGAGTTTATGACAAGAATAATAATAATCACAAAGACGATAAGAGTTCTCATTCGCGTGATAGGGCCATATTTCTTATGTCGGGGTTATTCAAAATAATGAGGGTGATATAAATATATGGCAAAGATAATAATTATCACAAATGCGAGAGAACTTCTTATTCACGCGATAGGACAGTAGTTTTTGGTGGAGTTTATGACAAGAATAATAATAATCACAAAGACGACAGAAGTTCTCATTCGTGTGAGATAGGACCATATTTCTAATTTGTCGGGGTTATGTAAATGAGGGTGATATAAATCATGACAAGAATAATAATAATCACAAAAACGATAGAAGTCCTCATTCGCGTGATAGGACCATATTTCTTTTGTCGGGGTTATGTAAATGAGGGTGATATAATTATATGACAAAGATAATAATAATCACAAAGACGATAAGAGTTCTCATTTGCGTGATAGGACCATATTTCTTTTGTCGGGGTTATGTAAAATGAGGGTGATATAAATATATTACAAAAATGATAATAATCACAAAGACGATAAGAGTTCTCATTTGCGTGATAGGACCATATTTCTTTTGTCGGGGTTATGTAAAATGAGGGTGATATAAATATATTACAAAAATAATAATTATCACAAATGCGAGAGAACTTCTTATTCACGTGATAGGACAGTAGTTTTTGGTTGGAGTTTATGACAAGAATAATAATAATCACATATACGATAGAAACTCTCATTCACGTGATAGAACAGTAGTTTTTGGTTGTAGTTTATGACAAGGATAATAATAATCACAAAGACGATAGAAGTTCTCATTCGCGTGATAGGACCATATTTCTTTTGTCGGGTTTATGTAAATGAGGGTGATATAAATATATGACAAAAATAATCATTATCATGAAAACGAGAGAAGTTCGCATTCACGTGATAGGACACTAGTTTTTGGGTGGAGTTTATGACAAGAATAATAATAATCACGAAAACGATAGAAGTTCTTGTGAAAGGACCATATTTCTTTTGTCGGGGTTATGTAAATGAGGGTGATATAAATATATGACAAGAATAATAATAATCACAAAGACGATAGAAGTCCTCATTCGCGTGATAGGACCATATTTCTTTTGTCGGGGTTATATGTAAATGAGGGTGATATAAATATATGACAAAGATAATCATTATCATAAAAACGAGAGAAGTTCGCATTCATGTGATAGGACAGTAGTTTTTGGTTGGAGTTTATGACAAAAATAATAATAATCACAAAGACGATAAGAGTTCTCATTCGCGTGATAGGACCATATTTCTTATGTCGGGGTTATTCAAAATAATGAGGGTGATATAAACATATGACAAAGATAATAATTATCACAAATGCGAGAGAACTTCTTATTCACGCGATAGGACAGTAGTTTTTGGGTGGAGTTTATGACAAGAATAATAATAATCACAAAGACGATAAGAGTTCTCATTTGCGTGATAGGACCATATTTCTTTTGTCGGGGTTATGTAAAATGAGGGTGATATATATGACAAAAATAATAATTATCACAAATGCGAGAGAACTTCTTATTCACGTGATAGGACAGTAGTTTTTGGGTGGAGTTTATGACAAGAATAATAATAATCACAAATACGATAGAAACTTTCATTCACGTGATAGAACGGTAGTTTTTGGTCGTAGTTTATGACAAGGATAATAATAATCACAAAGACGATAGAAGTTCTCATTCGCGTGATAGGACCATATTTCTTTTGTCGGGGTTATGTAAATGAGGGTGATATAAATTATGACAAGAATAATAATAATCACAAAGACGATAGAAGTTCTCATTTGCGTGATAGGACCATATTTCTTTTGTCGGGTTTATGTAAATGAGGGTGATATAAATATATGACAAAAATAATCATTATCATGAAAACGAGAGAAGTTCGCATTCACGTGATAGGACACTAGTTTTTGGGTGGAGTTTATGACAAGAATAATAATAATCACGAAGACGATAGAAGTTCTCATTCTTGTGAAAGGACCATATTTCTTTTGTCGGGGTTATGTAAATGAGGTTGATATAAATATATGACAAGAATAATAATAATCACAAAGACGATAGAAGTCCTCATTCGCGTGATAGGACCATATTTCTTTTGTCGGGGTTATATGTAAATGAGGGTGATCTAAATATATGACAAAGATAATCATTATCATAAAAACGAGAGAAGTTCGCATTCATGTGATAGGACAGTAGTTTTTGGTTGGAGTTTATGACAAAAATAATAATAATCACAAAGACTATAAGAGTTCTCATTCGCGTGATAGGACCATATTTCTTATGTCGGGGTTATTCAAAATAATGAGGGTGATATAAATATATGACAAAGATAATAATTATCACAAATGCGAGAGAACTTCTTATTCACGCGATAGGACAGTAGTTTTTGGGTGGAGTTTATGACAAGAATAATAATAATCACAAAGACGATAAGAGTTCTCATTTGCGTGATAGGACCATATTTCTTTTGTCGGGGTTATGTAAAATGAGGGTGATATAAATATATGACAAAAATAATAATTATCACAAATGCGAGAGAACTTCTCATTCACGCGATAGGACAGTAGTTTTTGGTTGGAGTTTATGACAAGGATAATAATAATCATAAAAACGATAGAAGTTCTCATTCGCGTAACAGGACCATATTTTTTGGTTGTGGTTCATGTAAAAGAGTATGATAATACAGTAGGTTTGGCAAAGATAATAATAATCGTAAAAACGATAGAAGTTCTCCGATTCACGCGATAGGACCACTGTTGGGGTGTATGTAAATGAGGATGATATAACTAAATATATGACAAAGATAATAATAATCACAAAGACGTTAGAAGTTTTCATTCACGTGATAGGACCATAGTTTTTTGATGGGGTTATAATGTAGATGAAGATGAAAGAAAATAATAATCATAAAAACAAGTCAAACATTCAGTGCAGAGGTTAGCACACTGGCAGGCGAAGAGAGGGTGCGAGAGGAAGGGAAAGAGGGAACAAGAGAGAGAGAGAGAGAGAGAGTGACAGAGAGAGCCTGGGTCTATATTTCGGAGAGAGAGGGTCCATGTGGTGAAAATGATTATTTTCGAAACTTCCAAGGGTATGATGAACATTACAACGAACTTCTGTAGGAAAGAGAGAGAGAGAGAGAGAGAGCGGTATCTGGATAGACATATTTATTGTATTTCTTTCATGTTTATCTGAACGATTATGTGGTCATTCATTTTCAAATTGCTTTCTTTCTGATATTCTTTTCTGAATGCATTTCACGGACATAATAATTGGAAAAAATGAAAAGACTTCATGTATCCCGTAGGCCTATACTTGAAATTGTTTGTTATAAATGTATATCAAAAAGACTGATCAGTCGAAGCTGAGACTAGATTGAGACGGTTGCGGAGGAGGGTTTACGGGTACGTCAAACCATAGGTTTACATTATGGTCAAACTCACTCTGCAAGGAGATTATAACTCCCTTGATTTATGCGATACAATCCTGAACGGTACTAGCTCTCACACAAACGCACACAGATGCTGGTACCATGGAGCTATAAAAGAGACCATGGACCGAAGCCATGCGAATACAGTCGCCTTCCCGCTGTGGAGCGGGGTCGGTTGTCTTTTGTCCATGCGGCTTGCGCCACCGAGCGGGGCGAATGTAACACAATCATAACAGTTTCAATATCGATTATACCATGAACCATTTACAACAGTAGATGGCGCTAGTATACAACAACATGAGCCGGTTTAAATACAGGCAGCTTGGAACTAATAATTGATTTATTAATTACTGTTTAATTCACTAAAAAAAAAAAAAAAGTATTTCAGCGGTGGAGATTGGCTAAAGATATTCCTATAGCATCTTGTTATAACATCAAAGAGTTTCAGATGAATTAAATATTTTTACCAATACTTTGTAATACCTTTAAGATACTCATGAAAGAATCATCAATTCAGAAATATCAATTCAGTTAATTCTTTTAACTGTTCCAATGCAGTAAAAGCTACCTTATTGATCAACTTAATTGTAACAACCTCCACTCTTGATGCATTTGAAACTTTATTTGATAAAGTTTATAGTAAGTCAAATTACTCAACTATAGTGCTTAACAAATTCCCCACACAGTAATAGTGCGTAATGGTGATTGACAACAATACTGACTATTTTTGAAAGGCATAAATGACAACAAATTAATCATATCCCACCCACCCACCATGTTTGGCTGCCATCCATCAGCCAGGATGCATTTTTCAATACACCACCAGAAGTCTTCCTCTGTCTCTCCACGCCAGGCGAAGACAGGGAAACCAGCCTCAGCTAGAGCAGCAGCAACCTCATTCTGGGTAGAGTAGATGTTACAAGCAGACCAGCGGATACTTGCTCCAAGGGCTGACAGGGTCTCAATCAAAACCTACAGGCAAAGAACAATGGGCAAATAAATAATTGGACAAATGTAAATTCATTGAACTTATAGTTGCAAAACAGAATTTAAGACAGAGTTCAACCTTTGGCTACTATACTACAGGTACATACATCTAAGTAGTTGTGAAGTCATTTCTAAACTCATTTACATTGGATTGATTTACAGTAAACTCCCAAGAACATATATACAAAAAGTATTTCATGACTATTTGTACATAGTTAAATATTATATATATTTTTGTTATCAAGTAGCATACTCTTTAGCAATTATTTAATGGTTGGACTGTAATTTGACTGAAAGGGGATTTGTTACAAAGTTTATGATACATTTGGTCAGAAATCTATCCCCTGGCCTGCTGTGCATTAATCTTTGGCATCACCCTTTTCCTTGTCATGACAAAGATCAAATCATTTAACTTACTTCATTAAGATATAATAAATAGGAGATAACATTCATGTACATACAGTATGCAGTTATGCTACTTGTAAGATAATTTTTATATTCCCTATTGCACATTTTGCACTCGATTAATCCTATACTCGCACCATTTTTGTAATGTTAAAGACATCTCTAAGCAGTCATAAAGTGAGAAAATCTTAGCCATGACTCGCACAGTTGGTATAAACTGTACAGGTCATTTTTATTCTTAGTTACCCTATTTATAAAGAGATTTTAAGCTAGTGGATGATATTGTAGAGAATAAAGAAGTTCTTCAATATTAAAAAACTGGCAGTAATTTTGCTGATGCTCGAGCATTATGCTACTTTCTTAGCGAGGTCAGCTCATGTCAATTCTTTTGAACTATAAAGTAATACAGGATGCTTTTAATCAGTTCTAATCGAGAAAGGTACACAAACATTTAGCTCTCATGGCTACCACCACCTCGATACAAATAACTGACCTTTTAATTCCTCTACATATACATCAAAACTAAAGCTACAAACTGTGTTTACCGTCACGTTATCCACATTAGGATTATAATTGCAAGGATTATTAGATTTGGAATCAGTCTAAGCTAACATACTCTGCAGTATGGTGGTTGTAGTAGGTTTGGATGCATGATAAAAAGAACCACATTGTGTCTGGTATGTATGAGTAGCATGTGTATGTGGGGGCTTACATGAATGTGCATACTTCAGAAAGAACTACACATGGTTCGATCGTTCATGAAACAGTTACTCAGGATGTATGGGTGATTCATTGCGGAATCTGTCCAGTATCCCAGATAAACATGTATTTATAAACGTTTCAAATTCAACCCATTTAAAAAAACTCTTTAAAAAAAATCAATAATAAAAACAAGCTTTGAAACATGCACTTTAAAAAATCCATACTTCTAAAAACATTGCCCTACTACATTTCAAACATCAAATGAAGCTAATACAAATTTGACACCTCTGATAATCTCATTATTCTCACAATGAAATCACCTGTTTGATGGGAAATGGTGGTACTGTATTCACTTCCATGTCTTCCTCACAAAACAGGCCTAGACTAGAGTCCAAATATCCATTATTCACTGATTTGGTTCACACTACGGTACATCATCTGTTTGGAGCCACAAAGGCATTACCGATAACTCTATGTACGTACATGTGAGATGGCACCCTTTGGCTTTGAATGGATGATATGCCTGTAAAATGTGTACACATGTTCATCTACTCGTCTTGAGTGTACAGTGCTGTACATATCACAATCATCATATCATGAGTAGTTATATTGACCCTCTAACATAATTATGCTGTTAGAGAAATACAAACCATACATATCTACTCTTATACTAAGGATAGATGTCATACTTCTTTATATATTTAATTTTAAACAGTCCAAGTGTATGTAATAATTTTGTTTCATTAGAAGTTGCATTTTTCTGCATGGGCATATCTAATTCATTTCAACTAAAATCAATTAGTATTGAGCCATTTTTTGTTCGTGGCAGAAGGGTTAGGGATATCATATTAAACCTGCTTTACATCAATTAAAATACAAAAATACAACTACTTATATTAATACTCAATGAAATAGTTTTGTGTCTAGGTTTTTCTATCTATGATGTACAGTTTAATACTATCTAATATTATTACATTTCTAGGAATAATTTGTAATTTTCTACCATGAGTATGAATTTGGATTTCATATTCCCTTTTTTACTTCCAAAATATTGTATTAAAATATTGTATGTCACCTATAAAAAAGCATAACCAATTGTTTAATCTGCTACAATTGTATGTACAGTTGTACACATAACAAAGCTGTACTACTACCATTAATCTAGATGTTCCCTACAATGATTCAATTTAGCTGCATATGGTCAATCAACAGTTCAGCAGTTCATGGGTCCCGAGAATAATACACAAAACCTGACAGCAAATAGACATGCAATCTAATACAGCTCTGCTAGAGGATGAATATTAATCCACACATAGCTCACATTTCAAACATTTGATAATCTTTAGAGAACTGTATACAGTAATAGCTTGCGCAAGGATTAATAAAAGAGACAGTGAGAGCAAGATCAATGACAGGTTCAAATCCATTGTATCAAATGTGAATCAATTATTTTGTACAGTGCTGCATAGATCAAAAAATTTAAGATTAAAATTAATTCCTATTTTTATTATAAATTATTGTTATCAAATTTTCAAGGAGTGTTTATTCCAAACCACATTTTCCAAGAATGGCTAAGCATTCAAGTCATATTGATTCCCTATATATGAGTCATTTGGTGTGTACCATAAAGGAGTATGCATCAAAAGTAAATATAGGCTGACAAACAGGCAAAGACATAAAAATGCACTTTAAGCTAGACAAAAAATATAGATAATAAGTTGACACAGTTCACATCTGTACCACCCGGTACCATAAAACACTTGAACTGTTACCCTAAATACAGCACGTTTGTCTACCTTTACCAATATTTGAAAGTCAATTTCAAATATTAACTAAAAAGGAATTATTGATATTAAACTCTACGTATACAATAGTAAATGTGAATTTAATGATTCACTATGATACACTTGGAACAGAGCCAAAATAAATTTTGTTTAACTTTAAATTGCTCACATAAAACAATTAGCTATTGGCTTATTTCGTAAGGGATATCTAACACTGTATTCAGTAGAGTCAATCAATGACTCTATAGTTGATTGCAATTACATTACAACAATATTGTAAAATATAGATGTGTAAATATTAAATGATACTTTATAAGAATTTTCATTAACACCATACAGGCTTGATTACAGCAGTAAAATGCATTAAAATGCTACAGGAAAAAAGAAGAAAAAGAATGTCAGGTGGGGTCGGGGAGGGGTAAAAAAAAAAGAAGCTTTATGCAACAAAGGTCCCTACAGGTACATGTACTTTCATCAAACCAGTCTTAGTGGCCACTTCTCTATAGGGGACATGGTCACCTATATTGCCTCATCCTAGAGAAAATATGTGTTGAACTACCTCTCTAGAGAGGCCACTGTCTAAAGTGACAACTTTTGGCATTTCCCTTGGGGTAGCCAATGCCGTAACAGACAGGTTTGACTTTGACCAGTCAAAACCACTTCACTAATTGGTGTAAACAAACAGGACAAGGTAATAAAGAAGAGTATTAAGTATAAGGTTATTTGAATAATATGAAAGATTAAATGCCCCCCACACCTGTTTCATGAGTTCAATCTTTTTGCCATAATATAAAACGGTACAAGCTGTAGGGCCATCTTACATCATCACCCATCCTCTACATAGACTGACAGCTATTATCCTCTAATCAAAATATGTAGAAGATTGGCATAGACAACCTATTTATTATTGATTTGCTGTCATGCTGTGGGCTGCATCATTCAGTACTGGCTCATTTTTTAATTGTATGCCCACTGATTTATATTCACTTCTATAAAATCATACTACTAGATTTTTTATTATAAAAAAGGGTTTCAAAATACCCCAAATGATAATTCAACAATCTTAATGAACAAAGTTATACGCTGCATACAAAAAAGAAACAATAGGCAACTCTGAAATGAATTTCTCTAGCCCCTCCAGCCATTTAAATAAGATTACTTCTCCAGGGGCGGTATTCTGAAAGCTCACCTGGTGCTCAATTAGCTAATTGGTATTCTGAAAGGCTACTTAAAGGGGAAGTCCACTTAACTTTAACAGAATAGATTTGTTTCATACAGGGGTTGTATATAAACGTATTTGCAATACTTATATTCAGGGTGCATGTATAATTGAAGATTTTCTTTACGGAAAATAAAAATGTCTAAATATGTTTACTTCAGAGCACATGAGAGGGGAGCTAGCAAGATACCTCACAGACTTACCAATTTGTATTTGCTTGATCCCAACTTTAAAAATTCATCACTTTCTTATTTTTAATCAGATTTTGCTCAAACTCCCACTGACCTTTACCTCTCATTTTTCTGCTTCTATTAAAACACAACTTATTATCAGGGTGGATTAATCCTCATTACCAAGTCCCTTGGAGAGGACTCAAAGCCATTGGTCCCCTGGTTGCTTACTTAAAAGCTTACACATAATTTCTCAGTAGTCAGTAAAACAGACAAACAAATAGCACCAGGCCCTGGAATAGAGATAGAACGAGATGCTTACCGCAGCTTGAGCTGTGATATGGGTACATCCAATGATCTTAGCTCCTTTCAGAGGCTTCTCACTGGCTACTTTACTTCTCAGCAGCATTAGACCAGGCATTTCTGAAACATAGAATGTAGCAGAGATCTTCTATAAAGCCAGATAATACTAAAGTATCAAACATCAACATCATATCTGACCCTTACATTTGCTTATATTCCTTACCATTTTAATACTACATGTACATCTGTTTCAGGAGAAGAGGGGATGGGAGATTGTCATTCATTAGTTTTGAATATCAAATCATCTAAGTTTAAATTACTTTTTAAAATACACTCTCTACAATCTTACATGTGGACAAACCTTACTATGTAATTATTGTGTTTTCTTTACAATACCGGTAAGTACTGTCTCCTCTCCGAAATGATTACTTACAATATTTCCTATAATTTACTTGAGAACGTGAGTAAGAAAATAGATATCATAATTGCATCTAGAAATGATTCTAAATAAATTCATTCCCTAAACTTAATATGCACATCCCTGTATCAACTGATTTATCTGCAAAGGTTACAGTACACATTGATTCCAAGATATTGTGATCAATTTGATAGAGTTCATGTGTGGAATAGCCTACCTTGCTCTGCTATCTGTATCTCACGCCGACCAAACGCAGCCTTCTTGATGTTCTTGACACAGAAGTCGCTTGACCCTTTCGAGTTTTTCTAGACAGAGAAATAGAAATGCAAACACATGTACACAGGAAAATATCTCTAAAGGATTATTACAAAAATGGATGCTATATCGTCTGTTCTTGGTTATATTGCAGAACTCAAAATTCATAATTAAGAAATATAAATGTATTACAAATAACTGATCATTGCATTATTATTGGAACATTGGAAGAGGGTACATGATACAAATGCTGGAGCTTTATTCTTTAAAAAGGGACACTTGCAAACAAATGCAGTAAGATACATGTTGTCTCCTTTTTATTACAGAACAAAATCTATATGTAGTTTTTGGCCTCCACAAATTGCAGTTTCCGATTTTGCAATATTTCTTATCTCCACAGAATTTTCAGGTATACTACAAACATATTTCTTCCAACCAGACAATGCACAAATATATTATTCCCTACATTTCAGGAAAATACGTTTGACAAAAGTCAGCATATACTTGGAACAATATGTTAACTTTAATTTAACTTAAATTAAGTTCAAGGACATTTTTTGTTATTATCCATACCGGTAATCAAATGGGATCGTGATTAACAGCATCCGCTCATGTTGCCATAGCAATCAAACTACTGTACCTGTTCTTTCTGCCTTGGTGAGACTTCATCTTCATCTTCAGAGTAGCTGGAATAGGAGCCTGATGTGTTACTGTCTGTTGAGGACTGGGACAGAGATCTAGACCGCCTCTTGTAACGTCTCCCTGCTGGTGCAGATTGTGGGGGTCCAGTTTGGAAGGTTATTTTCTGTATTCATGGGGAAATTAAACATTCTCTTTTTTTAAATATTTTAATTTACTAAGTTAACATTCGATGTGTTATCTTTCATTTATTGATTTCAAATAATACATAAATGCCTATTCGATGTGTGCATTACATAATTGCATTTGATCTCATCAAACTTCAAGCCATTTATTAAGGGGATATACAGATTGATATTCCGATATCCTCATTGTCTCGACCAAATCATGTAGGCATGAATGTCGTATTTTTAATAAGGGCTTTTGTTTTGTTGTGTATTTTATTTCTTCTTTGCATCGACTCACAGCTACATGTACAAGTACTGTCCTTCTCCAAACATGCTAAATTTGTACGGGTAGCATGTATGTATGCTCCATAAACCAAACATTTCATGCTTTTCTAACCCTTCAAACAGAGGAAGATCACTAAAACCAAACATATTTAAAAAGTACATGTGCATGTACAATTTAATTGACAGATGGTGCACTGCCTTTTGAATACAAGGACAAGAACCCACATGCAATGTACTTGTACCCTACTTCACAGTCAGGGAACTCATTTCTTATTCCTGACAATGGGTTAGATCAATTTACTATAGCAGTGTGCATACATGCTAAAGCCTTGGTGGAGGGATTTGTCCAGGATTTGTAGACATATTCTCACATTACCCTTCCTTCCTCCATGCTATACCTTTTCATGCATGTTTGTAATTGCTTCCCCTTCTCTTGTTTATCTTCTTGCTCTAAGATCTATAACAAGGAAATCAATCACATTTTTACTTTTCCTATCAGTCCTCCACCAACCCTACCCACAAAGAAAAAAAATCTCTCTCTCTCTCTCTCTCTCTTTATATACATTGTATATAATATCTACTCTTCTCCCTTCTTCATCCCCCTTCCTTTCGCCATCTCTCCCTACAAACATATAAGTACAGTCTAGTTTCCATTGTATGTCCTTCATCAACATACAATGTGCAGTACATATTTAATGATAACAACTGAATTATTCATACCTCTTGTAAATTTAATGTTTTTTTCTTCTCCCTTTTCTTGTATTTATTCACATGACTCTCATCAATTTCATTTTAATGCATGCAGGGCAGTGACAAGTGGCGCATGAGCACAACTCAACAAAGAAAAAATTAGAAACCCATGGTTTCTCAAGGGTTTTTCTAATTTTTGTTCGATTTCATTCAAACTTTCTCCAAGTCTGCTTCTCTGATTTTTCTGCTTTCTTCTAGAGTAGTTTGTTATCAAGCTTTCATTTCCCTTTGAATGCTATAGCAACTCAGTAACAGGTACTGAATATTCAAAGGTTAAAAGCAAAGTACAGTGAGCATCGTGCAATTACACACAGACACATGATGAGAAAGCTTTCATCAAGGACATCAATGTTCATATTCATCAACATATTCAAAGTCCATGATTACTAGACAATGGCTTTGAATAGTAGGGATTCCTAGAGTAATACATCACGTGTATGAGCATGCAAACTCTTTCCTTGGCAGTTAATTGGCATCAGGCTCAGCTGAGCATGACGATGAAGACTAATTTCTTATCTGGCTCTTTTATTTTGGCCGATGTGCATAACCTGTCCCATGAGGCTAAGTAATGAACAAAGGATGTAATGAATCAACCTCTTGGCTTCATTTTTTAATGGGTGATATTAACATTGAACATTAAATTCATTACAATTAATGTTGCAACATTGATGTCATCTTTTTTTATCTATCCCTACCATATTTGATAATTGCTACTGGAAGAAATGGTTAAACTTAAAATTGTATTTGTTATTTTGCAGAGTTTGAACAGGATTACAGGAACACATAAATGTATTATGCCAAGAATGTTGGCACATTGTGTGAGAGACATTTGATTGTATCCAAATCAGTGCAAGTACATAATATTTTACAATGATCAGTTAACTTTATTACCTTTGATTGAATGAAGCCCATACTAAAAAGGCTGATGCCCAAAAATTGTAATTTTGCATGAATGTATCAACCATGAATATTGCCTTTTAAAATATAAGACAAAAATAAAGAGACAGCCTAGGGGGAGATGGAAAAGGAGGAAGAGACAACGATCGAGAGCTAAAGATGGAGTAAAATTTGACAAAAACTACAAGCACCCTCATTAAGTCTCAAACGCAGTTGAATAAGAAGTACGACATGGATCTCAGAACTTTCACAAAGTTCTAAAAAGTGAGCATTTCAAGTTGAATTTACTTAGACTGACCTTTCCGTCTTCAGTTTCTCCCACCTCTCCCAGCTTCGCACTATCAGCTCCTTCTAAATGTACCTGCACTTTGGTGGCTGCTCCATTAGCACACAACTTATTCTTCTCCTCTTGAGAAACCCCACTGGTTGGTTCCATGGCAGACATAATTACAACATACACTTGATATCAGACACACACACTCACACGTTTTCCTCCTCTCTATCTCGGTAATCAATGGCAATCTCAGGAGCTCAATGAACAGACTACGCTAAGCAGAGCAGCTTGTGAAAGGATGCAGCACGCAGGAAGCGAGAGAGATGGTGAATGCCAGACAGCCAGCGAGCCCCCTGCCCGACTAGGAAGGTGGGAGGTAGGGGGATTTATCAAGCAGGAAGTGAACAACACCAGATGATGAAATCACAAAGTGTCAGCAGACAAACGAGCAGACAAACTCATGTGAACCAGTTCCATGATGAGAAACATAAACTTGCTTGGTTGAAATTCAGTTCATATGTTGTTAAAGAAAATAAAAAATGGACTCTGCAAAACACTTGAAACGTTTTATTTCCATGAATTTGAGAGATGGGTGACATTTATCTTGTCTTTTTAAATGAAGATATATGGGACATGAAAAGTTCAATGCCATACAAGTGATACAACTGAGCACAGGCACTTTTCCATTTAACCTTTAAAAAATGTCCCTGTTCATTTGAAAGGTTATAAGTGTCAATCGAAAGGTAGTCTAATACGAAATCATTAAATATGACAAAAGGAGAATGAAATCCATGTAGGTCTCTTTATATGCATAAATTGTACAACTTTGATCTATCATAAGGTGTCCAAAGTTATCATCTAAAATATGTCAATTACGAAACAATGAAACTCCATAAATGAATCACTCCCGCTGCTTTGATGAACAGTCTAGATGACTTTGCGTCTGCTGCAAAGTCAGCTCATATATGTACATATTTTGACTTCATTATAAGCCAGACAGTAAAACGTAGCACACAAGCAAAAAACAACAGGAAATTGATTAATGAATCTACATGACAAAATATAGGCTACTACAGCTACTGTCGTTGGTAAGAGACCTATTCCAGGAGCTGCAGACCCCTTTTTTTTAGTAGACTAGTACAGCAGAGTACTGATACAACACGGCAGTAAAGCAATCAGATAATGTTGTACATATGCTCAGCAACCTAGCCTTTGGAAGATGCAACTGACAAGTGCACAGAGTACAGACCTGTACTTCATTAAGGTGCATCAATCATCCTATTCTATAAGACTTTCAAACAACATAAGATTTGCAAAAGGCACATTAACTAGAGCTGTACAAACTGTCGCACAAAAGTTTACACCATAACTGTGAATTAAATTTTAAATGACAGTTATTATACAAATATTTGCCTCAAGAAAAATTTACAACCTGTATTACTATGCTTGTAGATGACACACGCAGCTGCTTTAATCACAAACCTGTGCAAATATCATGCCTCTGACTAGTATGTATTTGATTGATTGACTGATTTATTGACTATTTTATCCCATTGCTAACTGCTAAGTATGGAAGTCTGCTTCTGGAGAGCAACAACCTACATTGTACATGTACATACATCAAAGGGACTAGGTAATAATTACAAAGGGGTTTTAACACTTACCCTTCTTGCCTCCCCCCCCCCCCAAAAAAAAAACAACTAGATGGGACGCAGTCGAAAATAATGCCTCCGCCATAGAGCAAGTTTACAAACCATAACAGCAATTTTTCAAATTCAAGTTTGATTGTAATCCATTAACAGGTTCTTAAAATATTGTGATTTCAAGCTTTTTTTCTCTAAATAAACATGTATGACCCTTTGATCTTTAAGTTCATGACCCTAAAATGTAGTTACATGTATGAGGTTGGCTTTGCAAGATCCAAACATGTCCAAAGTTTGATAGTAATCCATCCATCAGTTCTAATGAGAGTGCGTTGATATATTTTTGCATACATAATGAGCCCCATGACCTTTGACCCCAGAATCTATTGTTCATAAGCTCTGCAAGATACACATGACTTAGGTTTGGCAGGAATCCATCGATCGGTTCTTCAGAACACGTGATCGCGAGAACGGGACGCACAGAGTTGGGCTAATTCGGCTTAAAGTGATTTCTAAATTGATAGCAAAGCACGATCTCTTGTTGTCCTATATGTCCTCATTAATTTTTATTCTATATGAATTTTCTTCAGCACTGTGATATTTGCTGTACAGCATACTATGATTATATTTATAAATATATCCACCCGACAGGAAGTAAATAATGTGCTTTCTGAAGTGATTAGCAAAGCTCGATCCCTTGTTGACTCACTCAGCAAATCTTTCAAAAAGTAATTTCTGCACCGAAATAATGGTTGCAGTGGGCATAACGATCCTGATCATCTCTAATATACAGTAGCTTTGGACATACCGCAGGGTCGCCTGATGATACAAGTAGGTAGAGTGAGCCCTCTTATGACGATATTCAGGAGAGTACCAACTTACGCATGGATACCTAATCACAGCAGTCTTCATTGATTGAAATTAGCACTTGTGTATCACTATCACTGCCTGACACATAGGAGGATGCTGATCCTGAAGAGGCAGAAACAATAGAGTATCCCTTCATGATGTACCTATTCATCATTTAAGATCGATATACAAAATAAAATATACATGTTTAGCACATGTATAGCATACTTGTAGTTGCTAGTTGCACATAAAAAGGGTACCGGTACCTATTATCTCTCTCAATACAAAATTTTGGATGAAAGCCAGCATCAACTAGCATCACTAGCACTTACAATATATTGCCATAAATGGCATTGTAGTGACCTGCTTTGAGCAGCCAAAATCTAAACTTGTGTCCATGACCTAATGGCAATCAAACCACAGTAATTCTCTGAAACTTAGTCATGCCTTTTTTACCTTCTTACCCCCAAGTTGTGCTTATCATAATACAATGGTTGTTATCCTATTATTGATTTGCACAGATTTTTGTATTGACAGTGCATTTAATACACATTATGAATCTGTGTGGATCCTTCATTTTACAAAAATCTCCCCCCCCCCTCTCTCTCTCTCCATCTCTCTCTCTCTCTCTCTCTCTATTATTATTGTCAAATTATCAAAATTATCAATGAATGACGATTGTTAAAATTCATTGATAAAAGCCTACATGTATGTTTGTTAATTAGAAAACAAACCAAAAGTTCAATTGAAGTGATAATTATCAAAATCTTACGTAAGTTGAAAATGAGAGGTTATAAATATAAACCATTCCTATGAGGTTATACATGTTCATGTACGTATTCATCAATCTAATTGGCGTAATAGTCTAAGTGTCCATACCCTCATATTAGGCACTGATATCCTACACACACTGTAGTGACTTCCTTTTCAAATAAAAAATGGCCTACTTCTGTGCATTGTAATTCTAGAGAAACAATTTTTTGACAATATAAAAAATATAAAGAAATTATTCAAAAGTGTAATAATCAAGAAGTATAATGAATTTTTTTTACAAAAAAGTGTTGATTTAAATGTACAGCAAGTCTAATTGGAGAATAGAGATCACCACTAATGCTAAATCACTTAAAAATTTGAAGATATAACGCTTGAATTATGAGTCCAATACAATATGATCATTCATCACGATTTACATGTTGCTGCATGTACATTGGTCCTTGCGGTTAGGAGGGGGTGCAAGTAAAAATAAGTGTACTTCTACATGCTCATTTGCAAAAACATTATATTTTCTAAGGCGAACGACACTCCAGCGCTTGATAAAGTAATCCCTTTGGCAGCTCACTCAGGAAGCTATACAAGGCATGAAGGCGAGGTGAGTAACTGCAAGGAGTACCATGAAGAGCAGAAATGTTGTGTGGACAAAGCACTTATCAATTTACAGAAAAATATGCCGAGTCCAGTTTAAGTAAAAAACCAGTACACTGTACACAGAATTGCTAATCATAATTAATTAGGCAACGCCACAATTTTACATGATTCTGGGTGGGCGGGCGGGATCAAGTAGGATCAACACATCATGGCGATCTGAGCACAGAGTTCAAACAAATTTCTGTACCCGCATTTTTCAAATAATTGTTCAGATTCGCAATGAGAATGCATACATGCCAACATTTGAAAATCAGAAATCTGTACAAATTATGCTATTTTAAAAAAAAAGAGGAACAATCCTAACTCTCCTATTCAATACTACAGACAAATTTGTACAGGAAGAGGAACACCTGCATTCAAATGATAATTATCTTCTCCCAAAAAGAGGAATGTTCCTCTTTAATCTGAACAGTTGGCATGTATGAGAATTGAGAATGTGGGCAGATGGTAAGATTCCGGTCCTGGATACACTCACTATGAACATGACGGACATTTTACCCTCAACAATTGCTATGGTAGACAAAGGAACATCCCTTCACTGCTATTATGTAAAAATGTGTAGAACAGGTGAATATGCATGTGACACCTGTTCTACAGATTTTTACATAATAGCAGTGCAGGGATGTTCCTTTGTCTACCATAGCAATTGTTGAGGGTAGAATGAGGCACTGTATATTTTGTCCGCTTTCTCTGTCCGTCATGTTCATAGTGACTATGGCAATTACCTCGAAAATGGAACATGGGGAAAATGATTTCAGGGCTTTTATATTTTTTGTGAAATCCTTTCTATGTGTGGGAGGTGGGTTTAAAACCCAGGTGTTATAAAAGAGAGTGTACAGCACTTAGTGTCTAGTTGCATGAAGTTGCCATTCTTGTACCATTTTTTTCCTGTTGCGCGCTAAACGGAGGTTTACCACGTCATATCTTACCAAACTGGGCGCTAGTGTACTTCCCCACCGCCAACTGGTATGCTTCATTCCATCACGATCCCCCACCCCAATTGCCATGATGATTGCATTAATTAGTGGTCCTCATTCCCACTCCAGACCATAGACATAGTGGCGCTTGTTCAGAAACCTATCCAAAATTTGACCCGTAACTCCGGCGTGGAGATACCCTACTTAAACATACCCAAAATGAAGTAAATATTTATTAAATGTCCAAATAAAGATCATGAGTTAAAAGTTGTTATGTTCATTAACCGTTTTGTGTCAATTTCCTTGTTATTTTTGAAGTATTTTTTGGAAAAACGTTGATATTAGTAGACCTATACACTTTTTCACAGGTTTCACGGCAAACCGCTGCACAATACAACTACAATACAAGTGCATACTGTCTGATGATGGGTTGCGGGCGAGCACGCGCCTGTGTGAAGTTATCTACCATAATGAGGATCTGAGACATTACGAGGATCTCCACGCCGAGTAACGGGTCAAATTTTGGATAGGTTTCTGAACAAGCGCCAGACATAGTGACCATACAGTGTATGACTAGGTCTGCATTGATAATGACCATGACCACCGCTGGCAGTGGCACTGGCATCGCGACGGTTGAACTTACGTGTGACTGAATGAAGCTGAAGCATGCCCAGTTTAACTGTTACCTTACACCAATTATGAAAGACAAATTTTTCACAATTCTAACTCTTAGTACAATTAATAGTACAAAGTGTCTAAGTTCTTAAATTTATTTGTTCACACAATCACAGTCACAATCACACTCACACTCGAGAGTCGTACTCGCCCTTCACAGACACATGTCCACCATCACACTCCACACGCGTTAACCTACCCTTTCTCTGGAGACACCTTCAGGGTGCATGGGCTTGGAGTCCGAACGGGAACGAAGGGATACCTTTCCTTTGCCATTCTTTTCACCAGATGATGATGCTGTATCTGCCATTTTCTTTACTTTTTACGAAATCACACCAATTAAGCCTTAAACATAGGTTTTACACTCGGCGTGCATTTACATGTGAATAAGGATAACGCGTAGCGGCGATCTAGACTTCGACTGTACTTGCGAATGCATGCACAATGGTCGCGACAAGCGTGGCAGCGGCCGCTGGTTGACCCGATTTCCTCGACCATGATGAATAATGCATGCCACCGTCGTGCGCAGGTTTGTCGTCAAAGTGAAATGAACCAATAAGATCACATTGATTCTACGGCAATGAATATGATTGGACAGAAGTTTTCAAGGGCGGACAATTCAATCATCCAAAATGCACCTGTCGTCCAAACCAATTACATCATGGGTTGGACGTGCGAACACTTAAAAACATAGAGCCTTCTCCTTTCCTTTCGGATCGAACAAAAAATATTCATCAAATATATCATGAAGATTTATCCAACACAATTCTTAGAAGACTTAGACCCTTCTATGAAATATTGTTTGTAAACTTCTTCAAAGTGCTGTTATAAATCAACCGTCGGGACATAGACTAGTCTACACAGTGGCGTAGCGTACAGGCTCAGTCATTAGAAATTGAGGCACAAGTTCTGGTATATTTTTTATGTAGGGTATATTCGTAGGAAAAGTGGCACTGCTTTCTGGCAGTAAGCTGCTTCCTGGAGCTGCTTAAAGGGATCGTGTAACAATGTTAAATCTGAGATACACGGCCCTACGTGTTATCAGTGTCTGTGATATGGTGTAATATTAAAGCCCTAAAAAAATTGCGCTTCAAAATGATCAAAAAGTGCCTCTAAAAAGTAAAAATCTTTGAGTGACCGGTTTTACCATACTCGTTTTCCCCGATAGACTGTAGTGTTATGAAAACCGTCAGGCGAACGGTTTTCAAAATTTGTAATTCCAATCATAAATATCTTGATAATCAGACAGGCGATCGGCTTGTAAAAGTCATGGGCAGGGGCGTACGCAGGGGGGGGGGGGGGGGGGGTTGGGGGGTTCAAACCCCCCCCCTTTGGTATTTTTATGTATGTAAACCCCCCCCCCCTAAAAAAACCTAAACCCCCCCCCCCCCTTTGTTTTTGTTTTTTGTTTTTTGTGTTTTTTTTATTATTTAAAAAAAAAAATTAAAAAAAAAAAAAAAAAAATTATACCCACGGCTAACCTAAATAAGGTGACCTTACCCCCCCCCCCCAACGACAAAAAATGTCAAATTATGAAATTTCGAGACCAAAAAAAAAAAAAAAATGTGTCCGCTTACCCTTTTTCACCTCTAATAACTGCACTTTTTTCCCTTCTTCTAAAAGCTCCCTTACATCTCTGATAAATGCCCTTATTAATATCTGATTGGCACCTCTTTTATTTCAACAAATGCACATTTTCTTTTATCATAATTGCCCCTTTTTCAGTCTAATAAGTGCCCCTTTTCAGGTGTGAAAATTTTCCCTTTTAACAATGGTACATGCCCCTTTTCCTTTCTAATAAGGGACCTATCCCCTTTTCACCCATTATAAATGCCCCCTATCAAAATCTGATGGGTGCCCCTTTTCCATCGACAAAGTTTTTTTTTTCTTCCCTGGTAAGTGTCTCTTCTCAGGTGTAAGAAGTGCCTCATTTTCACCTCTGATATTTACCCTGTTTACTTTGACACATACTCCTTTTTCTTTTCTAATATGTGTCTTATCCCTTTCGATAATTGTCCCCTTTTCCTTTCATCATTAAACGGGCCCCTAATTCAAAGCAACTAAAAGCAATTTCCCCCCAAAGCTTGCTCGCATTTATAGATGACATAATTATGTTACTTATCAAAGGTCTTTTCAGTCTTGCGTTATGAGAATGATAATAATAATATTCAGTTTTTATATAGTGCTTAATACATCTCGGACGTCTCTAAGCACTTTACAGATATACTGTGCTTATAACCCCATCAGGATTGGGTTTTTTCCTCTTTATATAATGTAATTTTTCGCACTGCGACCTAACAAATCTTAAAATTTTCCCTCGCTCGCTTCGCTTGTTCCCAAATGAATATTCAGACATCACGCCCAATGGCAAAGTATGATACTTAAGCCATATCTTGTATGATGTAAAAAGAGAAATAAATATTGAAATCATCCCTGATAATGTAATTTAGGGGAAAATACCAAAATTTCTAAAAAATTGTATATTTTCGCTTCAAGATTTTCCCATTGTATGGGCACTTCCCCCCCCCCCCCCCCCCCCACTTTGGAAGTCGCTCAGCCACCCCTGACGGTCACGGTACCCTTTGAATCAAAATTAAATAAATTTGGTATTAACAGATACATCAAGGACATAGATGGGATCACCCTAGAGCATTTTTTGATAATGGTTTAAGATTTACATTTTCACTGTGTACATTACTGATTTACATAATGCATGTAGTATAGTCTTTGAGTTTTTCGAGCCATCTATCTCCTTATATAATCTCACATTCTATTTCATTTTCATTCTTCTCTCTCCTTGCTCTCATCTTTTTCTTTCTTTTTTTGCCATTTGATTACGCCACATATACATCATCATTTCGTGAAATTATCAGATTTGAAGAAACTTTCAGATCCTCTATTTCTGTAATTCACCTTGGAAATAGCCTGGACTTACCCTCTAAGGCATGCGAGATAGGGCTTTGACTGTGGAGGGGGTTGAAGGGAATTAGAGTCCTAATATACATTAGTGAGGCAAAAATATAAAAGAAACAAGTGACACCTTCATAATTTTAATAATTTTATTGACTAAATTTGTCATCAAATAGTATCAACATGATATTGTAGTTTGGCATCTGCTTTCAGACAGACATTTTGATACATTCAAATTCTAGTTGACAGTTTTACTTCCAAGGAAATAGGAGAAAACAAAAGAGTTTAAAAGAAAAACACAAAGGTACATGTTTTCATTTCATGAAATACTTGAAAACAATGACTTATCATTGATTGATTGTAATCAATAGAATAATGAAAACTACATTCCATTTGACTTAAAATCTTATTTCTTTTCCTCTGAAAACTGAGAAAAGAGTAATCAATAAAACTTTAATAAGGGAGATTTTGATTACATATACCATCAACTCATTAGTTGACAACCAGGTCTAGCAACATTTTATGAATATTAACAGCTCCTGATGTCTTTGGTAAATGCATGTGTTTGGTCATTTGTATGTGCTCCGAGTATGCTGCAGCAGCTTAGTCTTTATGAATTCAATGGGAATAGCATTTCTGAGGAAATCAAACTAGACCTTCAACATTAAAGATCTCAACTCAATAAAGATGACAGTAAATAAAAGCATGGGACTATATGAATCTACTCCAATGGCGAGACATAGAGTTGTACAAGAGTTGAACATTAGTAACATGAAGACCAAAAGCTCCAGTCTCTTGTATTAACAGTTGCTCCACTAAGACTATGCTTTATTAAAATAATTCCCCATATATGATGGCTATTTCTAAGTAACAAGTTGACTCTCTTGTGTAAGAGCAGAAAATAAGAGGAACATGACATTAAAAAGAAATTAAACAAGTGTTCAGAAAGTTACGTTTGGAAGCTCAGATTGCAAAACATGTGAATCTCAAAATTGGCATATTAGTCACAATAAAAATAAGAAGATAATTATCAGACATGACACCACATTGACATTACAATCTTTTTGGCCAATATGAAATTCTAATATGCATAAAGATCTCTTTTCTTTTAAAACTAACTTTATTAACATCCATCTGGTTTTCTTTAAACTTTCACCAATGTCTCCGACCGCTTCTCATATTTTTCTGCTTTCTGCATGCAACTTGCTATTCAGGTCGGATTTATAGAACGAGGCATTGTCCCTTTTGAGGCACTTCATAAGTGATACTTAACACAATCTATATGAATATACGTGCATTGACTATTATATTTTGTTATTAGAGTACGGTACTCACGACTGTTGCATTCATTTTACATAAGATTGTAATACTTTGATTGGATAGTACATACTGCATAGTATATGTGGTATGACCATAGGGGGTGAAGCTTGGGGGCAATAGTATTTGGACGTTTCTTTCAACACAAAGCTAAACAAAAGGAGTATGTGGAATTCAAAGCCCATGGTTGAAATTCAAACAGCATACGATACCCAGTATTATAATATCCTTCAATTTTGCTTCTTGAATATTTCTTATAAATTATTAAATGTGCATGGTAATTAAAGACTTGCCGATGCCGATTTGAAAAAAATGCTCATTATACAGTGATAATGGCTGTTGAATTTAATATGCAATAAATGCATATACTTTGCATTTAAGATTATTCAAAGCAATATTTAATGAAAATTTCGGACAAAATACACATCCCATCTGCTATTTCAGTTCTATGTAAGTAACATCTCATATACAGGTAAAATGAAGAGGAGGAAATATACACCTTAATGCATTACATTATTCATCTACATGACAGAAAACTCTATATGGTATATAGAATGCCTAAGTTAGAAAGACATGGTTTAAACTAAACAAAATTATGATTGCTATTATGATATTGTTACTACACATCAAACTATAAATAATTTTCAGACCAAAGTAGAGAAGTGGAAAATGATAAAAGTTGATAAGTTATGAAATGCTTCACAAAATTCTGAGTACTTTAAAAATACAATAAATGGATTTTATTAAAAAGAATTCTAGTAATGGACGTATCTATCAAAGATATACTTGAAGCATATTGGGTAACGATTCATATTGTCTTGCATAGTTGAGTTCAATTATATTGTAAACCTACCGGTACTTGCATTTTAATTGCAAAATTACAAAGACATCCTGAGTAGGATGATGATAAATTCTGTAAAATGATGATCTACATTAAGATGCAAATGATAGACAACTATATTGTCATATTCTTGATATGAATTAAGTGGCCATAATGAATGTATACATCCAAACAGCAGAATATTACACAACCATGGAAGCTGAAAGAAAAAGAGGATCATGCGACTTCCAGATCCTTTGCAACAGTTTTAGCAGTAATCGGATGCATGTTGTGTCTTTCTGCCAGGAATGTATCTACTGCCTTTTGACGTGCAGGTAGGAATGCATACAAGTCCCTATGAATGAAATCAATAGGGAAAAAAACCCATCAAACTAAGATTATACAAATATAAATCATCCTTAAATTTACTACTGTTACACTTCCTTCCAATAATTTACAGAAAATATAGTTATTACATTATGAAAATCAATATCTGAAGCATTATAACCAACTGTATAACAAGATATATCTGCAGCGTGAAATGCTTGCACATTTAAAGTACCAGTGAAATTGGCAAACATCTCATGTCTGAAACATTTCTGGTTTTACAGTACTGGGGTATTTTGAAAGACATACAAGTGTTAGAAATGGCTTTCTCATAATCATCATAATATTCAATTCCAAACCTTGAGACCTTACCTAAAGAGGACTCGGGTGAACTTCATACGTCCAGCCTCTGTTGCCATATTTAGAGCTCCATCAATGGCAGATTCATCCCCAGCCTTTATTCTCAATCTCAGCCACCTAAAGGAAAATGCCATGAAATATGATATCAATATACATTATCTAAATCATACTTTAACAGAGATGAGCGGCTTCTGAAACAATTACTACTTCAATGCCTCCCTAAAAATGCATTTATCAATGGCAGAACAACATTTTAACCATCCCTCCCATACTGTCTCTCTGTCTCTCTCTCTCTCTGTCTCAAGGTAATATCTATCACTTGAATATGACAATGGCGGAAACATAAGTTTTATCACAGGGTGGAATGGAGATACTATACCTAAAACGAATTTCAGCATTGGTGTATTTGTCCATGTCATAAACTCTTTGCATTTCTTGGATACGATTGGTAGTCAAGGCAGGCTGTAAGAAGAAAAAAAAGCAGGAAAATCCTATTTTTTTTCTTAATGTCACAAATTTGCTGTACACAAAATATTACTCATATTTTTACATTTCAAACGTTTGCCTCTGTATGACTTTTAAAAATACATGTCTTTAAGACTGAATAGAGTAATGCCTATGTTCTATCTTTCCACTATGATTTTCATCAAATTAGAAAAACAGGACAAATCTATTATTATACAACTGTGACTTTTACCACCAATGAGATGTACATGTGTCAGCTATACTAGACAGTTTTACATTGAAACTTACCTTCAGCAACAGTTGTGCAAGAAACTCCATTTTCTGAGCTGGTGACATTGATTCAAGGTCACTGGAGGAGAAATTCTCAAAGTCACCTTCACCTGCCTGCGATGAAAAGTAAAGAATAGTGATCAATTTGCTTTAGAAAGGATTGGTAACTCTTGAATATACTTTCAAAAGGAACAAGAAGTACAAAACACACCTGGCGAATATCTGGAGCTTACCCCCAAACACATTTATTTGCTTCCTAAAAATGGAACAACAATAGATCTTTATCTTGATCAAAATAAATTGATTATCTTTTTTATTATTACTAAGCATCAGTTTCTTGTATTGTTCATATTTTTCTCTTTCACATAGTTTAAATGGAACATATATATCAAAGAACTTTGATAAACAATTGCTAATGTACAATTTCCAATATCTTGCCTTTATATTTTCAATGACATTTTCAGGACTATGGTATTTTTTCTTCCAAGTTTAGTTGTAAATTAATACTGGTACATGATTTGATTGTGATAAGAGGGGCATTGAGAAAGAAAGAATTGCAGAAATTGTAAAGTAAAAATGGTTGAATAGTAACAGATACCAAAATGAAGTTGTTTCTCCCCGATGATTTTCTTACCTGACTACATCGTTCACACAGCTTTGTACAGTGATCCACTAGACTTGTATCATATCTGGAAACAGCAAGATGAATATGTTATGGACGGATAGCAAATCACTAGAAATCACAGTGACAAATTTCCTGAATTTGCAATATTTGGTTTCTTAACATCTTTCCTACTGGTGTATAAGAAATCATGTCCTGAATAGATGGAGGCTGAAAATAATTATTACCATTTCAATTGATTTGTAAGTGGAAATACATTTATTTCATGATGTTCACTCAAGATGAAAAGATAATTTTCTCAAGGATATACCGATTAAATGAATTGTAGCAGAGCTAAATGATATTGGTTAAACAAGTAATTTGTTCTCTTTATTCAAGCTAATTCAAACAAAATATAAGAACTTCACTTCACATTCAACAAACCAGGGGAGAATTTGACTTACTGTGGTCTAACAGGTGGCATTCCAGGAGCAAAGAACCACTTGTCCCATTCCACACAGTCAAAGACACCTGCTGCTGCCTGTTACAAGGAAGCACACAACAAAACAAAGTATCATATATATAATTTCAAGTGAATGAATCTATGTTGACTCTTCATCCGTCTCTAAAGATATAACTCTTGTGAATGAGTTTAAAAATCAGACTAAGACACATACATGTAAAGAGACCTGGTTTACACTACCTCTCATCTATCATAGTACTCAACAAACTATTCATGATCAAGTCATATGAGATTGACTTACTAAGTACAATCTACAGTTCGTCAAGGAATATCTACACAAATCATGTGCAAACAGAACATTTCACTTTCCAATGAGATGTAAAGAACATTAAGTGATCATTAATGGGCCGTTAGAATAACATCATTCTATCACACTATGATTTACCTTTTCATGGAAGTATTCAAGAAGAAAATCCTTCCAATCTTGAGTTGTGAGACTTGTGTACTTGAATTTGTCAATGTAGGCCTTCAGATATCCTTCAAACTCTGACAAAGAAATTCAAAGAGCATTACTTAATACAGATTGTTTCCTAAAAGATAGTTTCCATCTTTCTACTTGAATTGGAAAAGAAAAAACAACTTGTAATAACATTGTTTCAATTATGTTCAGGCAAATATCAGATAGGTATGCAAAAATATGCACTGTAGATTTATACATTTTTAACAATTTCATGATAAGTGAGTATTTTCCCTGAAGGTTTGCCACATGCACACAAACAAATACTCTTCACTCAAATCAATTCTCAATGCAAAAAAAACTAGATGGAACTTCGACTGCGCGCAGTCGAAAATGATGCCTCCGTCATAGAGCAATTTTACAAACCAAAACAGAAGAAATTTTTCAAATTCAAGTTCAATTGTAATCCATTAACAGGTTTTCAGAATATTGTGATTACAAGCTATTTTTGCATACATAATGAGCCCATGACCTTTGACCTTATGAACCAAGAATCTACTCAGTTCATTGGCTCTGCAAGAAACATACATGACCTAAGTTGGCAGGAATCCATCAATCGGTTCTTGAGATAACGCGATCACGAGCTGTTTTTGCATACATAATGTGCCCTGTGATCTTTGAACTTTGACCTTGTGACCCCTACATCTAATCAGTTCATCGGCTCTGCAAGTAACATACATGACCTAAGTTTGGCAGCAATCCATCAATCGGTTCTTCAGATAACGCGATCACAAGCTCGTTTTGCATACATAATGAGCCCTGTGGCCTTTGACCTTTGACCTCGTGACCTCAAAATCTAATCAGTTTTTTGGCTTTGCAAGTAACATACATGACCTAAGTTTGGCAGCAATCCATCAATCGGTTCTTCAGATAATGCAATCACGAGCTCGTTTTGCATACATAATGAGCCCTGTGACCTTTGACCTTTGACCTCGTGACCCCAAAATCTAATCAGTTCATCGGCTCTACAAGATACATACATGACCAAAGTTTGGCAGGAATCCATCAACCAGTTCTTCAGATAACGCGATCACGAGCTCGTTTTGCATACATAATGAGCCCTGTGACCTTTGACCTTTGACCTCGTAACCCCAAAATCTAATCAGTTCATCGGCTCTACAAGATACATACATGACCAAAGTTTGGCAGGAATCCATCAACCAGTTCTTCAGATAACGCGATCACGAGAACGGGACGTACGTACGTACAGACGTACGTACGTACGTACGTACGTACGGACGTACGGACGGACGGACGGACGGACAACCCGAAAACATAATGCCTCCGGCTACTTCGTAACGGAGGCATAAAAACTGCTTTATTAAAAAGAAAACCCTTCCACAGTCATATCACAATACAATAAAATATGTAAAAATAAGCTGCTAAATCCTTTTAACTAGAATTACAATAGGGAAGACAGCAAATAGAACCTCAACACGTACCATCTATTCCAACAAGAGTCTCAAGATAAAACAAGAAAGAGGACCCCTTTTCATAAGGAACACTTGAAAATGCATCATCTGGATCAATGCCGCCCTCTAGTGGTGGTAGCAGCCGTGTGAACTCATGACCTTCACCGTACTTTGTTACCTACATGGGGGCATAATATAATATAAATCATAATATAAAATATTTTGATTGATGAAAAAGGGAACTTAAATCTAATTTGAAACCACTGACTAGAAGATTTTGATGCCTACAGACTGGTCAAGTTGGTGGAAGATTTCTGTGAGTCATATAGCATGGCCTGGCAGCCCAGTGCACTTTGATCAAACGAACAAGGAACAAATATCTGAGTACTGGAACATTTGGGGAGGAACCTAGTATATCCCAATATAGATGTCTGCCCCCTGCTGCATGTGCCCCCTTGGTTCAGTTAAAAAGGGCCCCAAAATGCAATAGAACAAACAATGTACCACTTGAAACCAATTTTAAATAAATGCATGAATACCACAAAGCACGTTATGGCCCATGCCAGACAAATTTCCGCCACTCAGGGCCTGCCAGACGCCCCCCAAAAAATGAGTTAACTACATGCATGAATGCTACGAAGCACACAAATAGCAATGAATATGTAGAGAGGAGACTCACCGAATTGTAGAGATCCTTCCAGCCTCCAATGAATGCAAACTGACGATGCTTCTCACTGTTCATCCGTCCAATAATTTTCCTCTCTGCGAAGACAGTGAAGCCTTCATTCAACCAGAAGTGTTCCCAGCTGCAGTTGGTTACCAGATTACCAGTCCAGCTATGGCTGATTTCATGTGCTACAACCTAGCAGGTAAACAATGGAAGAGGTAACCCTCGTTTAGTGTATCATATACATGTCCATAAAGAGATTGGTAAAGAACAAGAGTATTCCTGCCTATACATGGTTGTACAGTGATTTGTAATTAGTCTCGGAAGCTCGGAAGATTTTCTTAACAGGTGCTACACTTCTGCACATCAATCTAGTAAAGATACTTATCAATAGATATTGAATTTAGCTTAAGTTGAAATAGAATAAAGTACAAAATTAGTCAGATAGGAACTACAAAGTAATATAATGTCATACTTACATTTGCCAGGGACCGATCCCCTGCCTAGGGTTGAAAAAAGAAAAAGAAATACATTTCCATTAGAAAAAAAGACATTTTGTACGCAATTGTAATGTAACAACTAGACCGTCATCTTAATTTAATCATTAGCTTCCAGTACACCCTAACAATAGTTTGATTAAATCATACTGCTAGACTTTACTGGATCCACCATTAAAATGCACCAGAATGCTTACAATTGCATTGTCATCCTTTGCTATCAAACCCAATTAATTTTTGTTTAATGCCTGACACTGTAAAGTTATCAATATGTTTGAGCGGGTTTTCCTGAGGATGTGATATGTGTTCCAATTCCATTACATTGGGAGCTAGCCCTATTGCTTACCAGCAGGGTGGGTGTGACAAAGGTGAGACAGGGGTTCTCCATACCACCATAAGGGAAGGATGGGGGCAAGATAAGGAGGTCATACTGGCCCCAGACGTACGGACCAAGCAAAGCCTCGGCTGTAGCAAGCATGGTTTCTGTCTGGAAAAAAAATCAAAGATATATGAGTTACAATGATATAATCAGTCATTCATTACCAAAATTACTTTTATTCTCAAGCATTCATAATTTATTTCAATAAATCTGTCATATTGTTATATAAATGAATCTATAATTTCTTGGATTCGGAAAAGACAATTTAGTTTTTCAACTTACCTTTAAATTACAAAGATGAAACAGTTTTACACCTAGATTTAAATGCATCCCAACTTGGAAAGTTCAGAAAGTTATATAAACTTATGGAAATGTGACTTTTACTGCAAATTCATACATATTCAAATTCTAAGAGATAGTAAGATAATCAAGCATCAAGGGACTAGCCACCAGCACTCCATAGAAACTATCATGAGACTACAATTAAGCCTATGTTGAAACTTGAAAATACTGCTAACCATACCTCACTAAATTCATATGCTGCTCTGTCAACAAATTCCTTCTCTGACCAAACTCTGGACCTTGGCCCTATTTGTCTATACGAGTAAAACAGAGATGCCATAGAAAGTCAAAGATGGAATGAAAATAAGTTGTTAAGTCCTCATGATTCTTCCAAGAGAAATTAGGAGCTCTAAAAACAATTATTAAAACATTTTTAACTACATGTAGTTCTTGAGAGATATCAAAATACTCATTTCTTTTTATTATTTTAACATGTGTTAAAATCTAAGTTAGACAATTATAATATTCAACCAGTAAAGCTTTTGGAGAATGTCCCACATTAAAAAAATGTTTGTATGTTTTAAAGCAGAGAGATTTATCATCTTGAAAAAATGACAGGTATTACAGACTTTTCACCCATTTAAGAGCCCTAAGGAAATATTTATTTGTTCAATTATGTAAGTGACTTCTTGAAACAAGATATTGGTATGTCCATTGAGTTTACCTGCTTTCCAATGCCCCAACTACAATGGCTATAAGATAGCTTGGCATTGGGACAGTCTGTGTGAAGGCATAGGTCTTGAGGGAACTATCTGATTCACATGGTTCTTCTCCTGCTCTCACTGCACTCATCAAACAGACAAGATCACGTGGAACAGTCACCTAAATATTAAAGGTTATATTATTATATTAAGACAGTCTTATTAAAGAGAGCTATCTGATTCACATAACTCCTCTCCTGTCATCATTGCACTACGGTAATAAAAAAGACAAGATCACATTATCAAGTATTTTCAAGCTTTATGAGGAGTACCCAATTCAGATCAGGAGTGATAGTGGGCTCTAAAAAAAAAATAGGTTTTTTGTTTTCCTCTTAACCATGCCCCCCTTGAGAAAAAAAAAGAAGAGAATTCGCAGGGGAAAATGGCATCTAACAACATTCCCCCCTTTCGAGTAAGAAAATTAGGGCAAAAATAGGGCAAAATAGAGAAGAATAGAGAAAATAAGGGGGAAATCGAGGAAAATCAGGATAAAATAGGGAAGAAGAAAAAAAAACTGGTAAAAAAAAATTTAAAAATTGGGAAACCGATTTAAATCAGGTTTTTATCAGGCCTGCAGATCCTTCTTCTGCTCTTCCTAAGGCCAAATTTATAATAAAAAAAACATGTTGAGCATCCTGCCTTTTTGAAGAATAGGAAGGAGGAGGCCCTTTTTTTTTTCTTCAAAATGGCCGCTCGGTACATTTTCCCTGACAGTCAGGCTATTTTTCAAGATGGCCGTCGACATTTTTTAATTAAAAAAAAAAAAATCAGAAACAGATCCATTTTTAGCTGTGTTTTTCATATTTTTTTTCTTTAAAAAAAAAAAAAAAATAGGAGGTGGTCCCCAAAAAGGAAGTGGGCATGGACGCTAAACATGTATATTTTTTTAAAGGCCTAAACACAAGGCAAAGGTAGATGTAATTTTGACACCACCACAATAAAGATATAAATATAAAATCTATAATCTGTAAGATGAAATACCTTAGCATCATATGTTGCTTTGACTGAAGGGCTATCCTGACATGGAAGGAGACTGCGGGCATGGATGGCCTGGATTGAAAACAAAATCAAAGTAGTAATAATCTACACCATTCATATTACAACAAATACAGCTGAGTTGTTAAACTGTCTGCAAGATATTCTCTTCTTTCACTTTGAGTTTTGCTCCCAGGTTTACTAGGATTCTATGGCAAACATCTATACATACTACAGCCTAATAGAAGTAAAACAACAATGTTAATGGAAATTTCTCATACATTTAGCAAAGTGTAAGTAGCAGTAGAAGTAGAAGTAGTAATAGCTGCAGGAGAATTAGTAGAAACATAATTCTCTCAGAATGTGATCAGACATCATACCTGGCACTGGCTGTAGAGGTAAGGAAACTGCTTGCCAGCTGTCTGTGAAGGGTCTAACCAACCAATAGCAGAGGCTGAGGAAGATGTCTTGTAGTTTATGTTGATGCACAACTTTGATCCCCTACAAAAGTACAAAAATATGACATTCAGTTATTTTAACCTTATGTGGTAGATATCCTTTTAAACAGCAATTCATTTTCTGAGGAGTCTTGTAACATATCTATAGAACATTTATTTTCAACGTTCAATAAAGAGCCTTTTCTTGTAACAATAACTTACTTGAATGTATAATGAAATTTCATTGGGAAAACTAAGAGTAATTGCTGAAATTAAACATTCTTCAAGCTTAGTGGAAGCCTATGGGTAGTATCATCAAGGCACACACCATCAGATAGATACCTCTGCTGATCTTATAATTTGTTTATCTGTAACCAATGCCAATTTCTCCCTTTAACCCAAGTTATTCTTAAGTTAACCTAAATTAATGGCAATGTAATTTGAATCAATTACCGGTAAATGTGATCTTGTTTTGTACCGTTACCTATTTTTCTCTTGTACCTTTAGTTAATCTTTAAAGGTACTATGTCCCTTTTGCAGCCAACCTCGAATTCTGTAGAACTTTGCAGGAATTATATGAATATGTCATGTATGTCCTATCTGTGAAATTTAAACGTTAGCAGTGTCCTCATATTCAAATTATGCAAGGAAACCCGTTTACTTGCTAGACTTCACTGTCAGACACTATTGAGTGACTGACTGGCTTTTTTCTTCTTTGGTAATAACATACATGAAAAGAGTTGTAAAGGGTACATGAGCATTTGTCTACATCAATAACCCACTTCTTGTGATGGCCAGGATTAAACTGATTGAATCTTTGCGCAGCATAAAACGTATGACCATTCGGTAAAATTGTCTGAAAATCAAGACTATTACTTTTGGGCTCTATAGCCCTAAAGTCGATTTGACAACTAATAGTCATTATTTTCCCACTTGAAGACATTTTCAAGCCCCACCTTTTTTAGGGAAGTTCTAAATAAGTATTATCTTTCAAATGCAGTTGGAATTTAACTTTTTCATTTTTTTGGCCTGCAAATGGGACATAGTACCTTTAAAGGTGAAATTCAAAGAAAATCACAAATATGTCAACAAATGTTTCACTAGAAACTGGTAAGCTAACATACAGTGTATGGCCATCATACAAGTTTTAGGTCAACTACATATCGGGTGATTTATAAAAATACAAATACAACCACCTCCATAGCAGCTGGGATATACAAGAGATTCGCCGGAAAAATAACGATGTTTATAATGACGTCACTATATGGACCAATACTGCCCAAGCAGATGACATCCGATAAAGAATGAACATAATTGCACAGCTATTATTTCTCAAATTATAATGAGTTTAGTGTATATAAATGTAATGGCTTGTCAAACCATTCAAAAGGGGATATGACCAGATTCTGATAACTAAAATCTTTTGCTCGTAAATACACAGGATAGGAGTTAATTAACAATCAAAGAAAGAAGACTTTCAAATTGAAAACCCCCCTGAATGATATTAAGGACGGCATTTGTTCCCTCTTGAAACGCCGAACATACCCCGGTGTGTGCAGCTGAATATACAATGGCATCTTATTTTGTTTACAAGCGACAGATTCCTTTATTTTTGTATCGCTGCATTTGTCATCAAAATAAAACCATGCACTGGGTTTAGAGTGAGGCAATAGATTATACATTTAGCCTGACGGTAGTGAAGTAAGAGAAAGAATTCAAGAGAAGATGAAAACACAGGCACTGAAAATGTGTGAGATGTCATGGGACATCGTCTACTCGTGCAAATCATGTCCATACTGTGATCTCAATCATCTCACACATCTCATCAGCGTTCGGAGAGCTCTTCAGGTGCAATGCCGGGGCTGTATTTAAGCGTTTTGTAATTTATCATAATCATTACTTTGCAAGTTTGCATGTTTCCAAGCATTGAATTTTAAAAACCTTGTCGAAATCAAAGTTTCAACTTTGCAATAATGAAAATAAAGTTAGTTTTTAAAATCAATGAATATTTACTTTTATGTTAAATTATTCCATTTCTTATAACGTTTGAAAGCTATTTTGTTTCTGTTATCAGTTCAATAACTCGCTTTATGTTGTATGGTGTTTTATATATGTTTCTGCAGAGCTGTGAGGGTCATGGTTGACGGGGCTGAGCACTCTATCAGAAGACGTTATTAATCTGTATTTTTGTTGGTATCACATCTGTGATTAGACAGAAATAACCGTCTGGTATCGGTAGTTCTTTAATAAAACTGTCATTTTTCAACCTTCCCCATGCACATACACAGGTATAGATGCGGTCATTGGATCCAGACGTAGTCTCAGCGAAACAACCTTTGATTATCATAGACTGAAGCTTTCAGTCTAATCTGTGATAGAAATGAAATCTGCTTACTTCAACTGAGCAGAGGATGGTAGTCTGATGCTGAGAGGCGATCCCAGAGCTCCCGTAGGTTCCTTCACTTCAAAGGTCAACTTCTCTCCTGTTGCATCATCAGTGACCTCTGACACACATAGGCCGCTGCTTGTATCCAATACCTGGGATAGGAATGAAAATAAAAATATGGTACTATAAATTAATCAGTCACGCACGCAGAGAATTCGCTAAATTTAGCAAACACTGTGCACGCATATTTGTACACTTTTTATTACCTAATTGCTATTATCATAGAGTAATTATCAAATTAGAATATTTATTTACAATAATAATATTGTCCATCAATATCATCAGAACTTCAGAAGTCTGAAAATATTTATGAAACTTTGGCAGCAAAAATTCCTAAAATTACTGTTTTTAATAATTAAACTGTCCGGATACACAACTTTAATACCATTACCAGAAGTTCCTGAACTATCATGTATAAATAAGGTTAGGGTTAGAGTTAGGGTTAGGGTAAAATGACAAAAAATGACCGTATTTGCAGCGCGGCGGAGTTGTCTCCAGGTCCGAGTTAGCCCGGAAACTATAGTAAACCACATGCTACGTGCAGTTTCAAGTACGTATACTAGGCCACTCACTCAGCTCATGCGACTCACCAAATTTGCAACGCCGTCTTGCAATGTTTCTAATGATAACTTCACATCACCAGAAAATATTTTCTCTGTGAAATCAATATTCCAAATAATTGAAATGTGCCTGGTTATGATGCTTGATATGTTAGAAAGTGAATTTGGGTCCTTCCTTTTGTCAGCCATCTTCACAACCTAGCTGATACCGACGTCCGGTGCCTATTTAAAATCGAAAGCTCGTAGTCGCTGATAGCTGCGGCGGCGGGGAGGCGCGGCCGACGGATCTTCGTTTATGGGGTCCGGTCGATTCCGCGAGTACTAGCCTAGGTATAGGATGGCTAGGTCAGGTTTTAAAAATGTCGCCACCCGGGGGTGTTTCACAAAGATCCTAAGTGGGACTTCACTATTATGGAAAGCCGTTAGCATCTTTGAAAATATTTTGTAAAAGTTATTTTAAAAGACGTAAGAAGTTGATTTAAGTCTTTTATTTTTCTGTTGTCAAGGAGATTTCATGTTAATCTTGATGTGAACTTTATGAAAAGTCTAAAATACTTGAATTTATGCTTTTGAATATGTTTTTGGTAAGGCTACAAATGGCTCTCCATAATGTATAAATCCAAGGTTTAAAAATGTTGCCGCTGTGACCCAACGAACTCAAACCACTTGGATTTCGATGCTGTGACCGCACCGTTTGTCCTACCAGTTTCGTTTGTCCGTCGGACATAACATGCGGGTTTTCTGCTCGCATCGATCGTCCGTGACTCGCACGGATCGTCCGAGGGACGATCCGTGCGGTTTGCTATCCGCACAGTCTGTCCTCATTTTGTTTTACGTGTATATTTGATAACAGGAAGCAACTCGGTAAATCATGTGGTAGACATTTTTTCTAGATATTACATAGTAATAACTCTCTACAATTTTTTTAAAGCAAATGGGCCAGTCCTTTTGAAAGTAGAAGTGAATATTTTATTTAAAACCTTTATTCTATGAATATCGGCCCCACAACTGTTGTAATCGATTATACTTTTGTACGTGGCTTCGTTCTTCAACCGACTCACTACTAGTATATACTCGTGATCCAGGGAAATAAAAGTGATTGAAAATGTGGTTGAAAGTGAGTCACAAATTGGCGGAAGCGCAGGGGTTTTAGGCATTAAAATTACGGTCAGATGAGCATCCAGGGGCCAGCCTTAGGGCACAAGGTGGGATCAAGGGGGCAGAGCCCCCGGAAGCTCAGGGGTATGGGCATTTAATTACGGTCACATGAGCATACTTTATTTTCTATTTCTTTCTATTTAATTATCTTTAATATACTTTTTCAAAAGTGTGGGGGGGGGGGGGCTTGAGCCCCCAAGCCCGCCGTTCCACAGGACCTGACAAGTATTGTTTCCCTGATCCGTATATAGGCCCTGGGGCAGCTAGCCATAATCCGATATTTGGGTCGTTTTCCGGTCAGAACTAGCCCTTAATCATTCCAGGATTTTGTTTCAGAACCTGAGACAAAGTTACCCAATCCCTTTAAGTTTCAAAAATTAGAATTCATTGACCTGTACAAAGGCTTAGGGACCGGGGGGGGGGGGGCTTGGGGGGCTCAGATATCATTGAGCCCCGCAAAATTTTTTGCGGGGCTTATAGATATCATTAAGCCCCCCAATTTGTCGGTGGGGCTTAGATATCATTGAGTCCTTAGGGGCTAAGATACCATTGAGCCTCCAATATTTAAGCGGTGCTCAGATATCATTGAGCCGCCCCCGATACTTATTGCGGGGCTCGGATATCATTAACCCCCCCTCCTCCCCAATCATTATATTCTAGGCATGAAACTCATGTATACCTATAATCTACAGGCTTACCATTCAAATATAAACATTTTATAAATATTTATTTGGGGAGGAGGGGGGGGGGGGGGCTCAGACATCGGATCTCGCATACCATTGACCCCAAAAATATATTTGGTGGATCTCAGATAATTATCATTGAAACCCCCAAATATTTTGGCGGGACTCTGATATCATTGAGCGCCCCCCCCCCCCATATTTTGGTGGGGCTCAGATATCACCCAATTGTTTTTTGTGGGGTTCGGATAACATCACGGAGCCCCCCGATATTTGTGTGGGGCTCGGATAACATCACGGAGCCCCCCGATATTTTGTGAGAGGCTCGGATATCATTGAGCCCCCCCCCCCCCCCCATATTTTGGCCGGGCTCGGTTATCATTATCATTATAGATTGGTGCACATCATTATGCTCGATTAACCTCTCCTATCTGTTTGTTTTCATTCCTCTTTTAGTCATCCTTTATTTGCTACCTATGATATTTGATAAATACCTATGTATGCAAAATAAACCCTGGAGGTTTAAAGTTGTAAAGTCCAGGGCAGTTCAACACACGCAATCATGAAATAAGGATGTCTTCATCGAAGTGTCTCTGTAGGTTTAGAACCACGCCCTGTGCCTACCCGCTCAGGCCACTCTACATTCAGGGGCGTCGCTAAAGGGGGGGGGGGGGGTTGAAGTCGGTGGGATTTTTGTTATGTCGGTCGGCCAGCAATTTTTTCCCCCTCGAGCTGTGACTTTTTATCGGACAAAGAAACATTTTTGGAAATTCAGACAATGATTTAGAGTCGGTACAATGAATAGTCTTCTATTTCTAATAATTTAATGAAACGTTGAAGCTCCCGCATTTCGCGCGAGAGGGGGAGAAACTGAATTCAGACAATTAGGGTTAAGAGTAGAGAACGGTACACAACAAATCGTCTTCTTTCTATAATAACTTAATGAAACGTCTAAGCTTCCGCGCTGCGCGTGGGATGGGGAAACTGAATTCAGATAAGGATTAAGAGTCGAGAACGGTACAACAAATCGTCTTCTTTTCATAATAATTTAATGAAACGTCTAAGTTACCTCGCTTCGCGCGGGAGGCCTTTCACCCTTCCCCTCCCCCACGCGCGCTCTTTAAGTGATTCGCTTGCTCAATACCGCCCCTCCCTAAAATAAGATCCTAGCTACGCACCTGCGTTTAAATATATAGCTATGATGCTAACTAAGTTGACGAAATAATTTGTATATTTATGTCGTCGACGAAAATGACCATTTGCGCATAACAATTTAGCCTTCGCATGATCATTTTTGCGCTTCTTGCTGCCAGCAAGATAGTTTCCTTCTGCATTTAATTTTGTTGCTGTTATGAGTTTATATTCATATTTTTGTTATCAAACAGGAATAAATAAATGAATATATAAATACATTTGTACAATACGATTTGTACGATAGTTGTACAATGATGATAGAAGAACCAATGAAAATCGCAACTGATCTTTCCTAATTCTTTTCCCCCTTTTCTTTTCTTCCTCTTTGTTTTCTGTCCCTTTCTCTCCTCTTTCACTTTCTCTCTCTCTCTCTCTTTGCTGAGGGGGGGGGGGGGTACACATTGGGAAAAATTGCAACTAGTGATCTCACCTACCTTTCTTCTTCCTCTTTTTTCCCCTTTCCCTTCCCTTACTTCTCTCTCTCTCTCTCATTTAAGTTTGGTGAGGGAGGCAGGGGCCTTTCACCCCCTCCCCCGATCCACATGATGTTGGTGGGATTAATTGCAACTGATCTCTGCTTCTTTTTACCCTTTTCTTTACTTCTTCCTCTTTTGTGTTCCATTTTAGCTCTCCTCTTTCCCTTTCCCTTCTTTCTCTCTTTTTTTTTTGGCGGGGAGGGGGGGGGGTGGTCGGGGGGCAGAGGCAAGGGCCTTTCTCCGCGATCCACATCTTGTGTGCATGAAAATTGCAAGTGATATCCCTTCTTTTCTTTTCTTCTTTTGGTTCTTTCCCTTTCCTTTCTTCTCTCTTGTTTTGCGGGGGGAGGCAACAGCATGGGCGGCAAGGCCCTTTCGACCCCCCACCGATCTCCTTCTTTCCCCCTTTTTCCTTTCTTCTTCCTTTCCTCTTCTCTCTTCTTTCCCTTTCCCTTCTTTTCTCTCCTTCTCTCTCTCTCTTTCTCTCTCTTTTTGTTTGCTGAGGGGCCAGGGGAGGGTAGGCGAAGGCCTTTCGCCCCCGATCCACACCGCGTTGGTGGGAAAAAACACAATTGATCTCCCGTACCTTTCTTTTCTTTCCCTTTTCCTTCTTCTCCTTTCTCTCTCTTTTAAGTTTGCTGTTGAAGGGGGAGGCAAGGCCATTTGCCGCCCCCCCCCCGATCCCCAATTTGTTCGCGGGAAAACTGCAACTGATATCCCTCTTTTTTCTTTCCTTCCTTTTATCTCCTCTTTTCCCTTTTTTCTTTACCTTCTTCCTTCTCTCTTTCTTTTTGCTCGGGGGGGGGGGGGTCAAGGCCCTCTCGTCCCCCCCCCCCCCACCCCCCTGGATCCGCGCTGGGAAGACCTGTAGTGTCATCCCTAGCTAGCTGGCAAAGCTGAATATGGGTTATCCAGTCGTTTCATTCATTAAGTATAATTATACTTGTATTGAATATGTATACGTGTGGACTAGAGTACGGACATTCGGTGCGGCAGTCGGACTATTGGTGCGAGACCTCTTCCGCACAGATTGTCCGTCAGACATTTGAGACGCGCACGGAAAGTATGATTTTTGTATACATATCAAAGTAATATTTAGCACATTTAAGCTCAGAGTGTCTCGTGATTCAGCTTTGATGGCAGCCAATAATTTTTTTTTAAATCATTCTATCTGGTTATCTTTAAAAATTAAAAATAAATTTCTCTGCGAATATCAAATCGACACTAAAGTTATGTTCTGTCGTTTTGGGGAAGTGATATGATTCGAGTCTTCGAATGCGTATTGTCATTCAATTCAATTAAATTCAAATAATTTTATTTCATAACTCGATCAAAACATGTCGGCATAACAAGACCCCTGAACATCCGGTGGCTTTGCCCCCCCCCCCCCCTGGACCCCATCTAGGGCCCTTAGGCGGTCCACTGGATGCTAATCTGATGGAAATTTAATGCCCAAAACCCCTAAGCTTCTGGGGGCTCTTTCGTCCTCTTTGTGCATGGCTGATTGTCAACGAAACGTAGTTAAGTCTTTTGTCAAGTCTGCTCGTTGCTATGGCAGGCAACCAGTAAAAACCAATTCGTTTCATCAAATTATGGAAATGCAAGCATTAATTTAAACAAACAGAACTTTGTTATTCCTGATTGAGGTGTCGTATGAAAGGGCAGAAAATAAACTTTCTAGAAATGTGATTTTCTCTTTGAAATTCAGATAACGCCCGCCAAATGACTTTTTGGTACCCTCTCTTCAATTTGTTTTTAATCACTCGCGCGTGAAATATGCATCATATGAGTTACATTAAATGAAAAAGGAGGATCTATGCTTTACAA